TTGAGGAATATACCGGTGGTTTAAAATTAAATCGGTAAATAGGCTGTGGACTTTCCTCTATATTTAATTATAAATAAAAAACAAAAGAAATGACAAATAAATATGGCCGATGCCAACGTTAATAAAATGGTAACAAGAAAAGGATGAATTTAACCGAAATACGAAATCAAGTTTCGTCTGTAGGTATTTGAGATGTTGCCAAAAGTTGTTCGAAATAAGAGGCTGTAGATCTCGTGTGGATGAAACCAGAACTAATGTGTAACAAATATTAAGACATACATACATAGTTTGCGTGGAATGCATCCGCTGTAAAACTTTGTTTTTACGTAGTTATGTTTGTATGTGTGAGTGTGTTTGTTTTGAATGCTTCAACATCTGATTGGATTTTATAACAATTTTGATGAAATTTAAAATATGTAATACTGTAAATAATAGAAACTGTATTTGTACCTACGGCTGCTTTACCTTAATCTTGACAACTATACATCAATTAATACAAATGTGTGTAATTTATATAGTATATTTTATTCTTATATATGATTTATGTATATTTATTCACATTAAATTCCATACATTCTAGCAAACTCGACGTTTGTTTTATAAGGGAAGTGAGACGCATATAGTTTTACTTTTTGCATTACGTACAATAAAAATAAAGGTATATTTCCATTCATTTCGCATACTATTATTAATATTATTCTTAGTATTATTCATTTTTCCTATAGCATATGTTTAAATGTTGAAATTTTAAAACATATATATTTATTTAATAACAAGCATTTACAAAAGTATGTACAGAGTCACACATATTATATAATACTTATTATAAGTTTTATAGGAAAATATATATAAATATATATGTGTGTGTGTGTATGTATGAAAAATACAAATCCGGGTTATATGACTAGTCTATCCCTGAACTATGTCAAGGATATACAGAACTATATAAATCTCAACGATATTTTCATCTGTTCCAAAGTAACGATCTCCCACGAATAAATCAAACGTGGCATTTTATTATCAACACAATTAAAACGTGACAACTTATAATTATGTCATTTATAATGATCATTCATAAAATGACGTAAAATTCATTTGACGTCATGTACACAGCATTTAATAATAAAGATACAAAAGAAACGCTTAACAAAAATGGTAAAAAACTTCGTAATTAATATGTAATATAAGGTCTGCTGCACACGACTGTTTCGTACCGACGTTTCTGTTTTGATATCCGCGTCAGGTGTTTTTAAATGTGTATAATATAATTGGAGATGAAATATAAACTTAATATAATATAATACAAGTGAAATGTGACCGGCGTTTGTCGGCTCGTGTGTGCCAGCCCTAAGACTAGACGTCGCGTCGATCTGTTTTACCAGCGGGATCATAAAGATCAAATGTCAACAACGTACTCATTATATGTTATATACTTCAGTGACTAAGATATTAAAGGAAATAAAATACTTTGTATGGAATATTTTAGCTAGAATAAAGCTCGCGTTTGAATGTGTGTGTTTATATCTGCATTTATACACATAGCACGTGTGCTCGCTTGTGTGTGTGTGTGTTTTCATAAGTTTATCTGTGTGTGCGTGTGTGTATGTATGTGTGTGATTGTAAGTAAAATATTGAATCAGATCGAAGGTTAGTCGTGATCATAACCTTTTTAACCGTCAAATCTTATCGAAATCTGTCTAGCGCTTTGAGACAATGGAAATTCACCGATGCTAATATCATATGTATATGTGCATGTGAGTGTATGTGTGTATGTAGAAGTACCTAACGTATATAAAGTTTAAAATTTTTGGATAGTATTGTAATCAAATAAATTGAAAATATTTTAATGAAAAAAAATACATTTACTTTTGTTAAAAATTCGTATCCATGTACTTACAGTTTATTATTTATACACTAGTAATACAGTAGTTAAAAAACAAATAATTAAAGGTCATAAATTATTCATTGAGACACATAAAAATGATTTAATTTCTTTCATTCTATGCAAATTGATTATAATTTTTATTTCATATACGTGTTTTGCACTATTGAAATACTTTAAGTACTTTATCACAATATACTATAAATATTCTAGCTTTCCGCCCGCGGCTTCGCCCGCGTGGAGTTCGGTTATATCGCGTTTCCAAGAGAACCTTTCAAAAGTCTGGGATAAAAACTATCCTATGTTCTTTATCAAGGTTAATTCTATGTCTGTACCAAATTTCATTAAAATCAGTTCAGTGGTTTAGGCGTGACAGCGTAACAGACAGACTGACAGAGATACTTTCGCATTTATAATATTAGTAGGGATATTTATAAAAACCTCTAAATAAGAAACTGTCTGCTTTCTTAAAATTGTACATATAAAAGTAATGTTTACGTTTGTATTCCAAAATATCCGATCGTAGAGTTTACGTGGCCTTGGTGACGTGACTTCAACGTAAACTGTACATGTTAAAATTACTTCATGAATACTAGAATACTAGAATTTATAGAACACGACTATGGAGAATACAACTATGATATGATAGTTGAATATCATAGATATTAAGTATCTAAGATATTATGTATTGAAAAGATAATTGGTAATACTTTCCGTTCAAATATGAAAAAGTCGGTATAATTCCGTAATTCAGAATGTTTAGTACGAGTTTGTAATATAACTACATACGATACGTTTTGCGTTTCTCATTTAATATTTTATTTAATTCTAATTCTGTATTGTGTGAAGATTAGTGAATGGAAACTATTAACGCCGCGTAAATAGTGTAACGTTGAAAAACTCATACTAAAGGTCCAGTTAAAATAATTTCAGCTTATCGCGTTATCGCCTTACTTGGTAACTAAAGCAATTAAACACGGCTTGTATTTAATGGTAGCTTAAAACGAATCCTTACCGTATTACATATACATATATACATTACTATAATTTCGTAAGCGACAGTTTTTAATAAAAAATATAACTATTTAATAAGATAAATCATAATATATACATATATGTATTTCAGTTAAGTTAATATAAATTTATAATTATTTGTACAAAATAACTTACTGCAATATTAATGTATGTATATATTCAGACATATGTAGGTATATATGTTAATATAGGTATATATATGTAGTTATATTTAGTTGTTCTACAATACCTGTCTACTCTAGTAAGGTAACCGCAGTTAGTGATATTTAACTGACATTTAAATGTGTCGGCTTCGTTTAATTAACTACGTAACAGTTAACTAACTAACTAACTAGTTTAATGTAGAATAGAATACATATATTCATACTTACAATTTGAAAATATATGTATATGGAGATATTAGTTTAAAAAATCTTTGAAGAAATTTATCAAAGCTATGTTATAAAGAACAGTTTTTTGTTTATAATATTAATAACTTGGTGCTTTTTCTTATTTCAGTCAATAAAAATGTGTTTAACGTTCAACAGTAAAATAAAAGCGATATATGTAATTTGTACAACCAATAAAAAGTTGACATTGAAAAAATATTCCACGATTCCAGTGCGAATGAAGACATAGCATAAAAAAATACCGCGAGAAATGTAGTTCTGAGATTTACCAGATAAAAAACAATTTTGTTTTATCCCATAAAAAATTATATAGTTTTGTGACATCAAGACACAAGTAAAACTTTTTCCGGCCATTTATTAAAAAATACATACAACTATTCTTTGCATAATGGGATCTAAGTGCTGAAACTAAATGCTGAAAAGTAACCGAAACGCCGCGAGTATGTAGTTTTATACACGCACAAATCATACGTAGTGTATCCGAAAAATATTAGTTTAATTTAAACTATTTTTTGGAATACATATATCCCAGTACTCATAGTATAAAAAAGTCATTGGTGACCTAGTGATTAAAAGCCCCGCCACACATGCATGAGGGCGTGCGTTCGATCCTGGCAAGTACCAATGTGATTTTTCCGAGTCATATATATAGCTAAAGCTGGGAAATTGATAGGTAGAAGACTCGTAGTATAAAAAATTAACCAAGAAAACAGCGTTAATTAAGTTTCCATCAATATCCCAATATAGCTAATGGATGTCGACCATGACTTCTAATTATCAGGATAAGCTATAGTTAGTCTCAACAATAGTCTTTAACGAACTCTTCTAATGGGTGTGTCATGTTAAAATACCATTTTCTTAAACCAATTACGTATTCAAATAGGTTGCGTGCTGAAAACGACTCGTGTTATTTAAATGACAATCAATGTTTCAACGAGTTTATTATTCACATATAAAACATTTAAAATATAAATAAAATATATATAGTTTTATAAAGTAACTAAAATAAATGCATTGAGTAATGGGTCTGCCTGGCTAGACCCTGGCTAAAGCTGGGAAATTGCCAGATAAAAAAAGAAAGTAGCTTAAATAAATATTATTTAGTTATACTTGGATTATCAAATCTGAAGAATTTTTCTTCTAAAAATGCCATTCTAGTTTTGAATATCATAACTGTTATCAGTCTGTCGAAAGCTCGTTACATTTTTTTGATTTTTCCAGTTAAAAGAAAACCAAAAACAAATGACCTTCAAATTTTTTATACCTACTACACTACGCTATGAGTACTAAGGAAGGTCTTAATAATCATCATATGACATTTGCTACTGACTACATTATGAAAGGCTTAAACGAGCACCAAACAGTCGTGGTGGCTAAGAGGTTAAAGGTCCGCCTCTAGTAAATACGGGCGCGGGTTCGAAACCTAGCAAGTACCAATGTGATTTTTTTCGAGTCATACGTATTTTCTAAGAGTATTTAGACACTACTGACTGATGAATGAAAACATCGTAAGGAATCCTGTAATAATAATTTCGAATTATAAGTTTAAAATCACCAAGCGGCAAGCCGTCTTGAGCAAGCGTGGTTATTAATGCTCAAACCTTCTCCATGTGAGAAAGAGGCCATGCTCAGCAGTGGGCTCTGATATCTTGATGAAGAACGAGTATCATATGACAATTGCCTCTAATTTCCAGGTGAGTGATGTCCGGGGCTGTGGCTATCACCTGGCCACCCTGCTAGGGCTGCTGCCGGCCCAGGTCATCAACGTCTACTTGGGGTCAACCCTCCGATCCATGCACGACGTACTTCATGAATCACACGTCACTGGGTACATCGTGTTCGCTTTTCAGGTAATATAATCTTATCACCCAACTATGCCTGTAGATTTTGCGAATACACAACACTTAAATCCTACCAATATGTTAATAGAGAAGACTTGTAGATTTAATTTAACTTATATATGTTTTTATTATATTTTGGAGTTATATAACTCAGTTCCTGATTTAATCTGTTTGTTTGTTTGTGGTTCAAATCTATTTTTACCTGGCTTAGCGTGTATAATAAGTAGTGGAATAATAAATACATAACGAAATTCTAAATATAGAAACTCTTTCATATTCGGGAGACTTTGAAATGTATATTCACATTAGAAAAAAAGTATTTTAAATGTTTTTTTTAAATTCGAATTACAGAAAACTACATAGCGTGACTTATTATGTGCATGATTGAATTCTACGAGTATTTTAATTTTGATTTGAATTTTAGAAAAAAAGTTTTCCTACTAAAACAATGAAAAAAATTTATTTTTTATTATTTGATCATACGTTAGACGTTCAAGGAATGTCGCTTCCGAATTTCTACTAGAACCTATTTCTTAACAATAATCCGAAAGACACCATTTATATTTTCGTCTGAAACAAGAAAATGTAATCCGTTTTGTTATTTAATATTTTTGTTTTCTTGAATGACCAAATTTCATTATACATATATTACGCCTTTCCAGTGCAATTATTTAAAGATCATATCCATAGTTTTCATACGAAATTATTAGTAACATGACCTCGACCTATAGTCAAGGCTTTATAACACAAGCGAAGGACATATGCATCCCAAATTTAATTGTGTGTAAAATCGTCTAGGTATTCTAGAACACAACATGGTAAATAGTGATAATATATTTTAAATAATTTAACAAATTAACCACTATAGTACAGAAAAGCTATTAAATAAGTCTCCTACATATTTAGATTAAGATAGTCTTAAAACTAATATTTGTACACATTTCTTTTCAAGGCCGTCCCATGTATGTTCAAAATTATAATTCGTTTTAACTTCTTTATATTTTTTTAAAAGAAACTGGAACATATTTCTATTTTTAGTCCAGCGTTTTTCATCAAGAAATGCGGCGAAGGCTTAGTCACGTACATAAACATTCGCTATGATATACAAGGGCCACTAGAAATATGTGAAAAAGGCCTAACACTTGACAACAAGCTCGCCGCTATATAATTTATATGAAAACCATTAAATTTTTTAGTTAATTTAAACAGTAAATATAGGTTTCTTTTCTACTAAAAATAGTACCTTATTGCATATGCAATTATTTTGTTTATCATTTACGATTGTATTGCTTAAATTTTCTTTTAATGTGTTAATATTAGTCTAATTTATGTCTATGTATACAAATATGTATGAAGTTATTGACGATTTTGGATTTAATTGTCTATATTGGACCTACCCTCGATTTTAAGTGTTCTGGTGTATAAGTTTTTTCAAGAAAACTCTGCTTAAGACGTCATTATAAGGCCTATTGCAATTTTTGTTGCTTTATATGCAGATTGCACATTATTAGAGGTCAATTGTTTTCAGACAACATTACAGTGTGTGATATTTACATATAGATAATGGAACTTTAACGAAAAAAATCAAATAAGAAAGGTTGAAACTTTAAATATATATTATACTAGCTTTCCGCCCGCGGCTTCGCCCGCGTAGAGTTCGGTTATATCGCGTTTCCAAGAGAACCTTTCAAAAATCTGGGATAAAAACTATCCTTTGTTATTTCTCAAGGTCAACTATATGTCTGTACCAAATTTCCTTAAAATCAATTCAGTGGTTTAGTCATGAAAGCGTAACAGACAGACAGACAGAGTTACTTTCGCATTTATAATATTAGTAGGGATTTTGAGATCCATTAAATTTAAATTTCGACTATATCCGAAAGAAACATAATACAACTGGCTGGTTCCTGTCGTTTGTCACACGTTCGCTTCATTGCGTCTTCAATTTGTCAATTGGTGTACCAATTGACATCTCGTTAGGTTAGCATAGAGTTCTCACCGCACCATTTACTACTGAGGATAAAAACACGACGTTGTTATACAAACTCCTTCGTATTACCTCCACAGTACTCAAGATTATAACACGTTCGACAAATCTTTATATATATAATTCTTCTGTGAGTGTGTATGTCACTGAACTTCTCTCAAACGACTGCACCGATTTTGATGAAATTTTTTGTGTGTGTTCAAGGGGATCTGGGAATTTTGTCCTCTGGACAATGTTTTTTAAATTAATTTTTAATTCATTAGTAGTTGTTGATACAAACTTTTTTTTTGACATTAGAATTGACAACTAACTAATATGTCAATCATTCTGTCGCACTTCAAAACACGGAGATTTATGGCTTTAATAGGTAAACTCCTAAAATATAAATAGAAAAACGTAACAGATATTTCTTGATTATAGGGCGATACGAAGTTCGCCGGGTCTTCTGGTACATATATGAACGTTGACAATGGCAGAATATTGCACGATTTCAGTGCGAATGCGGCCATAGCATAAAAAAAATATACTTTCAAACTCGACGCGATTTTATATCTAAAACATTTTATAATTACATTTGATTTAATATAGCAGTATATTCCAACTGTTAGAGTTGCCAGCTAAATCTCCGAATCCCCTTTGTGTGGGTAAACATTATAGCCGCAGATTAAAACCGTTGACACATGAACAATTTTCGCTCATATTTACCCTAATTCAAGGTTTATCGCTAGTATAATATATGGAGGTAAATCACAATTATGATGTGTACACACGGGGAATTACTTATATGTGTAATTTATTATCAGTGACGTGACGTCACTCTTAAGATTGTAATTTTAAAATGATTATTTAACTGCTTAGTAATAATTGAATCGTGAATGAAAAATGATTTGTTAATTATTACCTTAAAAATATTCACTTTCTGTTGAGAGAATAAAATTTCAATGACTTTTGTTTATCGAGAGTTATTTAATTTTTGTTCTTTCAATAAACATAGCATAATTATCGGACTATGACATTTCATGGCTTAATCGATTTCGATGAAGTTCTTGTGCCGAACTAGCCAAGACTTCAGAAAACTACTTGGCTAGTTATGAAACTAATCCTCTGATTCAGAAGAGATATGAATAGTACTTTGTAATAAGATTACTAGATACTTGAACAACTTCTTAAGCTTTGTAAACTACTTAAAGAACTGTTTGAAAACTGAGTTAGATTTTAAAGACTACTATAGATTAGGTATAATATTAAGTTATCTTATATCAGAGTCGTATTAATACTATCAAAAAATATTATCTGCCATAAAAGAGACATACGTGTTCTAAATAAGCATATATCAATTAATATATGATTAATCACTTCTAACACATTATTATACCGTCGAGATTTATTTGTACGATATTTTAGTGTGTACCGTCAGCATACATATTAAAAACAAAACAAAAACTATATGGTATGACGTTTTTTTTCAAGTCGTACTGTTTGGCACAAAATACTGGACTATTCAGTTTCTGACATAACATAATGTCGAATATACGCTATATATTGTCCCAATTACTAATGAGACTGTATCTTACTTTGGGCTATACGGAATGTGTAATACTAATTAGTAATTACTGTATAGTCCAGAATACTACATATATAGTCCAAATACTGTGAATAACAAATAAACCGTCCTTAACAAGTTAGTATTGAACACGAGACATTGACACTATTTAGTGTTGTAATTTTAGATACAGCGAGTAGCGAAGTAGTTTATTTATAATATTATCTTCAGCTGATAAACTATTTCGTATCATCTGTTCGTGATATTGGCATTATATGATAAAAATATGAATATCATTGTTATTAAGGATTATTGACAGATAAAATAATAAAATATATCGTTATTTTGTTAGGAATATCTTTATTATACATATACAAATGATTCATACAAAAATTATTTAAAGTAATGAAATAAATATAGTGGAAGTCCGCAAATAAAATTCGTTCCTACGCTGTTTATTTGCGAAGTAAAAGCATGGACTATAAAACATTTAATGATTTCGTGGAGCTAATAAATGTGGGTTTTATGATTAAGATAATTTCTTCGTGATTATGGTCACGCCTTTAGTGACGTCACTAATATTCAGTCCAACCTAGTTTCAGTCCTGATTATTACTTATTGTTGATGGAAGGGTTTTCCTTAAGGTTCTGGCTGGCAGATTAAACATTTTGCCTATACTCTCCTTCTTCATCAAATTGTCCTTCGTCAAATCAGATCACTCCATAGTATCTGCTTTTTAGTCCTATGTCCCCATTGGCGTCCATATTACGTCGCCATTACGTTCGAACTCTACGGTATAGAGCATAAGAATTACTTCTTTGCCATTCGACTTTTTCCTGAATCTCAAGAGTATATCATTTCCATTCATCATCTGTTAGTTAGCGAGAGTTATCTTCCCTATTAAAATCTGATGCATGTAGTTTTGGAATTAACTCTACCCCTGGGTACTGTATAGATAAATCTTAGAAGTTTTATTGTGGCAGATCACCCAGCAAAAAAGCAAATAACTTGCACTTCATCTACTCAATCTACATATAATAAGATCTAAGATTTTCGCGAGAACTCATTTAAATGAAACTAATATTTTTGGATTTACTACGCCCTTCTTTATTTTTGACTATAAACTACATAAATAAAAAATCGCGTAGTAAATCCGAAAATATTAGTTTCATTCAATCTACATTACTTAAAAGAAAAGGACGGAGAGTTTATTCAAATACAGGCAATGTATACATTATATGCCCATACAAAAAAGCTGTTTGTTATAACCAGCAATAGTATTGTTTAACTTCGAGAGGAGTGCAATATATTGTTTCACTTAGGAGTTGGACCAACATACTTCAAACATCATTGCAAGACCCTTGGCCTCGATATAAAACCTTCAAGAATAAGAAAGAAGAAGATTCTTCCTCAGCGTCTAATTACAAAAATTCCAGTAGGAAAATCCGATTTGCCAAAATACAGGAAAATATTTTCTTTCATCCAATGCTAGTGTAGTCAATCCGCGAATAAATTAGCAACAATTTTTACGACTTTAACTCAGTAAGGAACAATAGCGAATAAGTATTCAAACGTTATGTACCGTTATTGATATTATATTGTAATTCAAAAACATAAAGCGACACCTAACTTGTAAAACATCCGCTATAATTTTTTTTATGTATCGTCAGTATATTCAGTTTCCGTTGCTATTTGATGTATATGAACATTTTTGTTACATTTTATTATGTACATTGGCCGTGGTTTTATCTTGATCATAATGAATCGCCGTCTTATAGACGATGTCGAGGAAAAATTTTTACTTTAACAATGAGATTACTTCAAGGATATCTTGATTATAATATTTTACGTAAACAAATGTTGCGTTATGAAATATAGTTCTAATAACGAATAAAATATTGCAAGCAATGAGCCTTTACTGTGAGCTAGCGATGCCAGAATATCTTAAGACGTAACCTTAGATTTAACCTTAGACTTTTTTAAAAGGCGCCATCCTTGACATTACATTTCTTGATAATAATACAGTTTTAGGATTCATACTTTCAATTTAGTATCATATGGATATAGTATTAAAGGTCATTTTCATTTATTCAATCAGGACTTTCTTCTCAAGGCCATTCTTATTACTCGTACTGAATTTGTTAAACGGTTACTCAAACTATCGCTGTTTTATTTTCAATATACGACGCAAAACAAAAAAACTTCTCGTTCGGTTCCATTAAGAAAGATAATTTGATCCATACTTGCTAGGCTTGACTTTCATTTGAATCAACGATTATGGTTTTTCCGCGAAAGTGTTGCTATATACTATTTAACTTTTTTTTCATTATAAAGTCAAAGTTTAAATATGAATAAAAACTCTTTACTTACAACAGGTTGAAAGAATTAATCAAAGTGAATTTTCATAGTAAAATGGATGTTTATAGTACAACCCTTGACATACATACTGAAACAGTCACCTAGTTATCTTAATCCGTATGTTTGAGGAAGTCGGTTTGCACACATTACTGTTTTCACATACTTTTTAGATTACTTCATTTTTTAGTTATAACAAAACTATTTATATAACCATTATGTTAACCACAAAGAACTAATCCACTCGTAGTTGACGTGTTAAATTTATAAATTGCAATTCGTCCTCCCTTGGGGACGTGATCGCGATATTATCGCTGGCATTATATGAACGGCTCTAGTATTTAATTCTTATCTCTCTAATAATAATCATAGTTTAATAAAGAAATTATTTATTCCAGATATTGATCGGCATTACACTGATGGTGTGGGTGGTGCAGAAAGCGAGGAAGGAGTTGACCATCGCCATATTAGCAGCTGAGTTGGGACGCGAGACTTTATCTACTAGCAGTTCCTCGAGCTAGCCCACGGCACGCTCGTCCGACGCGGACAGCGCGAGCGACAGCTAGGGCTTCGCCCCCGGGTGCTTCGCCCGGCAGTGTGAGACGTACGTTTAGTGACAGGACTTCGCGAATATAACATGTTAATCATAATGGCAATAAAGTGTACACGTGTAACTCACAGCTAGTCGACCTGGCAGTGAAGTAACTGGCCACCGAGTGACCCTGAGTGGTCCTCAAACCTGTGATATTAAGATTATTAGTATAGGAGAAGGTGTTAGGTGTTGCGATGAATGTATTTTATAAGTAATTTACTGTCCCTCAGACTATGGCACATCCATCTCGAGCCGTTGACTCGTCATGGAGTTTATTATAATTCTAAATCGCTATCATCATGTGCTTATCGCTCTGACAGATGTCTCTGTTTATCTCCTAGCTGATAACGTGCTTAAAAAAACTTTTCTTATTTAATTCCTGCGCTCACTTTGTTTGACATCAATCTACTTATAAGATTATGCCAATAATACAATACCTTCCAAAACTTCCGATATAATATCTATATCTGACGCTTCTTCACGAATAATCAAAAGAAATCGATTCGACCTCGAGGGATTCATATTTATCGTATCATTGAAATGTGTGCATATTAACAATTTTAACTAAAAGAATTGAAACTCTTTAAATATCTCCCAGTTGACACGACATGTTTGTAATACACGACCTTGTCATTTGGAATCCAATTACGAGGACACAAATAAGCTAACACAACCTTTTAACTGCCGTCACAACTATAGTAACTCAATTATATAGGTAAAACAAAGAAACAATATTATAAAATATTTTTACAGCAATCCTAATTCCTATCAGAATGTGGCTAATCTAACTGACTGTACCTTTTTGAAGGTAGTTGACAAATTACAAATAAAAATATAATAAAGCAGCTAAAATTATAATAACAAATTAACTATTCATATTTAACTAATACAGTTATAATTATAATAATTAACCGGCGTTAATATTTCACTAAATAACAAAACAAACACCAAGGTCAATATTCTGTTAGACTTTATTCATTGGAATCAGTCCAAAGAATGTCTTTGTTGATGAAATAAAAATATGTTATATTTATCATCTGTTAAATATTTTTCTTAAACAAGGATTTTAACTCTGATTTATTTTACAATGTTATTTATAAAGTTGTCATAAATAACTTATATTATTATAAAGAAACTTCATTTATTGAAATATATTCTTAAATTCAGTTTTATATTTAAATGTAAGCATATTTTATTTACTTCTTATTTTTAATAGAGAAGATATAAAAAGCAAGATGAAATTGAGGTATGCCATTATAACAAAACAAAGAAACAAAATATTTCAAAATATTGCACGTTGTCAGCATTTAATTCAATTTAATACAATTAGGTAATAAACTCACACTTTATAATATGAACTATAAAATTCAACCTCCTTAGATAACAATGAAAAAAAAACGATATAGAATACACCAATGAGATTCATTTATTTTTGAAACGTTTAGGTGCATTAATAAAATAAACGAATGCTATTGGTGGATTTTACGTTGTTTTTTTTTTCGTCTCAAAACTTCAATTTAATGATCCATGTGTATTCAGTCTGTGTTCTTAGGGCTGCCATCTCAAACAAGTATAGTTATTGGTGTATTGTGATAAAAGTATGGTCTATTGAGGTGTACAACTGTTTATATAGTAAATATTAGTTGATTATATCTTATAATGTATTTAATGTAGCAATGGACAGCCCTTTGGAGAATTGTATTTAATTATGACTAGCATTCAAAATGTTGCCAAATGACTTAAATTATGATTATGGTCGTTAGAGTTGCCATATGCCATCATAATGACAAATGTAAAAAAAGTAGAAAGAAATGATTTTGGAAATAATTATAAAATTATTGAAAATTCTATTACTTCAATCGAGATTTATATTTACAGTAAACTTATTGAAAAATGGGGCCATATTTCTTAAAATAGTTATAAATGCAGCAAAAATTAGAAAGAAATGTATCAAATTAAATGTTACTTTACTGTACGTTCAGAAATATTTTTTGTATTCTGTCTGTTTCATATGTCTAAGATAAGTCACTGGTCCCCTTCCTGAACGATCCTATTTATATTTATTTATATTGTATAGGTGAAATATATATTTTCAATTAACACATTTATTACGGGCATATTCAATGAGGAGAGGAATTCAATAAGAAATTTCTATAGTAGAAAATGTATACGAAAAATATTGAATAATTCTATAAAATCACACAGTTTATCTTAGTACAACTCATTCAAAACTTAATATAATTTTATTGATATTTAATCCAATTTGATAATTTCTATGAAGATGTAACTCATATTGTAATAAAATCTTTATTTGTAATAACATCTCCTGTACAGTTTTTCTCCTTACTCTCTCGACCATGGCCATACTTTCGTAAATTAAATTATGTAAATATATTATATTTATAAATGTAGTATTTAGTATTCTATCTTGTCACCGTGTTTTTTGATTTCATACAATTTTTTCAGTATTTAATCTGCTCATAATTTAGAATGTCACGAAAATGTCAACAGTCAACAAAATGTATTTTCGGAGGAATGTTTAAATTATTTTCATCACTTTTTTTGTAATACAATATATATTCAGTGTATTATAACGAGGATAGTTATTTAATTTTATCTATTGTATATAAAATGTATGTTTAATAAAACAAATGTCGTGTCACGTGTCGTAGAGTGTAATGTCGTGTCGTGACGTGTAAACGATGTTACATAATGTCAAAAAATGTGTTTTTGACATATAAGAACCAATTTCATTTAACGTAATTAGCGCCTGAATGTCTTTGTATTATTTGATTCTTCCTTTTGACATTCTGAAGACTGATTTTATATGAAGATTTAGACTTTTTTTTAAACATTTTTTCTTTGTTTTGAAATCTTGTTGTAGATTATAATATATAATCAACATCTCCCGTTCTTATGTTTATATTCTATTCGTTCTATATTTAAAATCTGTGCCATAACACAATGACTTGTAATTTTCATTTATATCGAAGCAGGTGCCAAAAATATCTTATTTCTAATTTCCATATTAATTTTTATAGTATAATTAATATAATATATTGATTTGTTTTACTGACCATCTGTACTATTATTTGAGATTTAATCTACTTTTTCTATACGTCACTTCCATATATTTTATGTATAGGATCCATGGTGCAAGTGATATTGCTAGTGCAATTTTATACTTAATTCTTTAAAACTAAACTTTGTATTGAAACAAACGATGCTTCTAAAGCTAATATATGCTCAGTTTAAAACTATTTTTGTAATACTCTAGCGTATAATTGTGCATTTATTGTAAACGAATTTATTTTGTGTAATTTTAAAATAACCTATTAAAATGACTTCACTTGTCTGTTAAAAATAAACATTATTATTACACCTCGTGTGGCGTTTTATTTTTAACCATTTTTAAAATTAAAATCTGCATTGTATTTCGATATCTTAATTTTATCAACTTTTTTTTTTCTGAAAAACAAAATTGGAACATTATAAAAGGGAAATGTCTCTTAAGAACTAAATGCTCTTAATTTCAGATTATAAGGTAATCCCCACAAAAACCTAATTGTCTATTGTCTGAAGAGAAGGATTCTCTATGGTTTATCTAAATAACTTTTGGGGTGCTTTAAAATTGTTACCAATAAATGAAACGTAACATCAGAACAAATAGGAAACCGAAAGTGTGAAATAAGAAATTCTTCAACTCCGTAATATGAAAACAGAGGTGCATCATTAGATTTTTATGGTCCAGAACCTACCAAGAAATATATTTAGTCTCGAAGTATACCTTCACCTTAGATTTGAGTTATTTTGCTGTTTTATCCACAACCTAATATCGTTTCTTACAAATCAAACTTCTTGCAATGTTTACAAAATTTATTGTTGTTTTGGTTGTAACTTATACAACTAGCCAATGTGTAGCAAAATTTTAGGAAATATATGCTAGATATAAATCGATTTAAGAGATTATTTACCTAATAGAGTTATTATTTAAATTTTAAGATTACTAAACTGATGAATACGAATATTTCATAGAAAGATTAATTACATTATACTTAAAGCATTTATGTCTAAACCAAAGTAAAAAAGAAATTTTATAACACTATGTACAACAATCATTACGATTTATATGATGATTATGATTGAATATTATGAAGATATTACTTTAATAAAATTGGCTTAATGCGGAAAAGTTTTTAATCATGTTTATTACTATAATTATTATTTTTATTTGACATTTCTGCACATTCACTATTTTCAATAAAAAATATTGTAATTCCTGAACGCACCTACTAATTGTCATTCTTATTATCATGGCGGAGGACGAAGACGGTGTTTCGGATAAAAAATCACCTCAAAATTCGAATAATGCTAAAACTCCGCAAGACAACCAACAAAATTCGAAGAAGCCGGACTTAGGAATTGAAGAAGCCAAGTATGACGTCAAGGAAAATGGAGATAGCGGGCCGTCGGAGCCCGTTAGTTCATCATCAAGTATGTGTTTGGAGTTGTTTTTTGTTCCCAAAATATGAAGGCATATCATTAAACGACGCTATCTTTTACAGAATCTACAGGTGCGATGCGTAAAGAGGAGAATCCATTTTCATTTCGCCACTTTCTAAAGCGAGATCTGTCTCTACCCGGCAATTCAACATACGAAAACACCGGAGCGCGACCGAAAGTATACGCTAACACAGTGCAGCATTCACCGACTAAAATAGATCTTCACACGGAACCGAAAAAAGAGAAAACTCGTCCGAGTGAAATCCAAGCCAAAGATAAACAAATTGAGGGTGTCAACCATCGTAACAGTGATGATACGTCTTCTAGTAGTTCTGTAGAAATAGAGATTCCTTTTAGTGTAGTGTATAATTCAGACTCTAAGCATAATCTCTACGCGGACAGTTCCGACGGACCATTCTTTAACAGGCCGAATATAGCCTCGGAACCATTAGGTATGCCGTCGCTTCCAGACTTCGTTCAAGACCACATTCTAGTAGAGCAGGCTTATCTGAACTCAAACGGCCCTATATCAGTAGATTTAGATAATTTACCAGATTTTACTTTCAACACTAATTACAATGCCGGTTCATCGTCATTGGGAAGACGGAATAAAAATGGTTATAACGGAAACAGAGGCTACAATGATTATAATGCGTACATGGGAGTGGCTTCGACCTCCGCTGATTCGGGACCATCAAATCGTAATATTCCTCTCGACCTACCCACGGGGGCCGAGGCTTCAGGTCCAAAGCCTGTAGTCGGATGGATTCCCCCACATCTCATTCTGGATGTAACAGAATCTGTTAATTCCGCCGACCGAAGAAATGTATCTCCGAGAAACAGCTTCCCATTGGACCTGCCGCCCAATGCTGGTAAGATATTCAAAACTCATTAATTATATCACATCTACTAATATTATAAACATGATAGTTTCTTTGTTACTTTTTATATAAAATGTACTGAAACAATTCTAGCAAAACATTCCAGTACTGTAGCATACATGTGAGAATATTATATGGCTATAATTTATCTCCTAATTGTTTGTAAAACAACACATCAATAGTTGTATTTAATATGAAGTTGCAGACAATAAATAAATAAATTCCATTCTCTTAATATAATCCAGAAATTCAGACAAGTCGCAGGAAAATGTTGGTATAAGATCAATTGTATTCATGGCTATACTGTATGACTTTATATTTATAAAGGTATTAATATGCTGCTCATTTTTATACACACTAGCAATACAATTATGGTACTGCCATTGTAACAGTGTTTGTTACTGAATGGATTTTTAATATTTAAGACTGCATTCTACAATATGTGAATATCTTTTGCATCAATTTGAAAAGGTCTTTAATGTTCTTCACATATAAAAGCAAAAAAATATCAAGTCAAGTGTTAGAATTAATAAGTGTTAATTGTAAAGTATATAGAATAAAAGCTCACTTAAATTTCTTAAAAATTAGGATATTTATATTAAACTAATAGTAAATTACATGCTGCTTTTTATATAAATATACCCATTGTATGTATTATAAGTTAGTGAAATAAAAATTGTATAAACTTTTTATATTTTTGTGAACTATTAAGATTTTGAGTTGGTAAAAATTCAACATAACAATATAGCTTTGGATATTTAGATATTTTACTAAATGTTATTCTGTTTTAATCAATATTTCTATCAATATACATATGTATTGATAAATAAATATGTAATTTTTAACTTCCAGGTGCCGAGTCTATGAGGCTTCCTGATTTCCTCCCCGTCCATCCTGGAAGGACCTCTCCTGAACCGGAGCATCAAGATGAACAACTCACACAGATCATAGCTGAACTAGAACGCACCAGGTCACTTATAATTAATTATATACTATTTAATATTTTAATTATGGTGAATAAGACAATATTTGATCATTATTTTCGCATGAAAATAATGATCAAATAGCATTCTGACATATTCTAAAGAAATAAATATATATTGATAAAGTTTTTAAATGATTATATCGTAAATAGAAAAATATGCTTATAGAAAATTTAAGCAATATTGTAACAATAATGTGTTAAAGAAGATTTGTATATGCAGAAACATTATACTTGCATAATTATTAGGTAATTTTCAAACAAATTCTGCATTCTACACATTTGTTTTCACTAGGAAATGTGGTATAATGAATATATCGTTAAAGCATTATAAATTTTACATTTGCAATCTATTAGACATCATAAATATAAAAATATATAATTTTTTGAACTGGCTGAAAAATGTTTCTACTATTATAGTAAATTAAAAAAAATAGGCAGTATGGTCTAAGATCTTAGCCTTATGAACATAAAAAAACAATAATATTTAAAAAATAGATCGGAGCTGTTCACGGAGCGCAGTCGCCGCTCGCACGCGGAGGAGGATGCACGCGAGTCGCGAGCCGCGGTTGCTGCGTTGAGGGCTGAGCTGAACGCGGCGCGCGCTCGCCTCAGTGACGTCAGACACGCCGACAGACAGTACGCGGGACAACTAGAGGCGGCCGCGCAACGAGTCGAGAACAACCTCATTGATACTGCTGTGAGTAAAATATATCTATACTAATATTATAAAGCTGAAGAGTTTGTTTGTTTGTTTGTTTGAAAGCGCTAATCTCCGAAACTACTGGTTCGAATTGAATAATTCTTTTTTTGTTGGATAGTCCAGTTATCAAGGAAGGCAATGGGCTATATAACATCACGCTACGACTAATAGGAGCAAAGATATAGTGGTAAATGTGTAAAAAACGGCAGAAATTATTTCATCTTTGAAGCCTTCCGTTGCGTGCGCCGTGAAAACGGTTCAAGATACACAAAAAATATGTACTAAAGAATAATAGCTCTTTTAATGATCTAAAAAACAGTCGCGACAGTATATGTCTATCTTTTAAGATTAACTCATAAAAACCGTTTTTATGGTACCTAATTTGGTCGAAATAATTTTTTTAAGTTGTATCAATATAATAATATTAATCTTTATTCAAATAAACAAATAAATAAGTTGTTGGTTAAGAGTACTTCATTGTGAATAAAAAAAACATACGTTTTATCCTGAAACTTCTACGGGAACTCGACCATTCCGAAAACCCCGCAAGAACGGGAACTATGTGGGAAGAACCAAAAATCTGCTGGAAGTCACTATTCCACGCGCACGAAGTCGCGGCAAAAGCTAGTATTATATAATAACTATATTACTTATATGATAAAGGTACAGGCAGGTTTACCAATTTTCTTTACAAGAAATAAAGTATAACATTAAGGTCAATGAAGATTATTAAACAGCATTATTTTTTTACATTTTACTTTTGTAAAAACTTCATACACATCACAATTCATATCGAAAATAAATGAGGAGCTCTTTTTTTATTAATTTGATCATCCATACTGCTGCACAAAGGAAAATCTGCTTGTATTAAATTATATAAAAAGTGTATTTATCAATGATAATATCTGATTTTATTTCCATTGATAGGCCAGAGCAACAGAGGCAGAGAGTGTTGTGACGAAGTTAAAGAATGAAATTAAACGGTTAAAAGTAAGTGAAACTTTTTTAATATAAAATTATTAGTTCCAACAACTGTATCTTATACCAGAGATGTGACAAAGGTTCAGTTGTAAAGTCTTTATCATGCTTTTTAGAGGTTGCTATGCATTGTGGTTTTTAATTATTCATATAAACAATAAATAATAATGAACAAAGTAGCCTAATTACTTCTGACTACTGTCTGTTTTGTCCCAAATTGCTCAATTTTGGTCAAAAACGTATAGAAATCATAAAAACATACATATTATCCGCACGCATCTAATGAAAGGTATCTTATATATCCAGGAGGAGTTAGCATCTTCTCAAGAGGAGGTTCGTCAGCTGAGGAGTTCGCAAAGTGACGCGGCCGCTCACCTGCGACAGGCGACCAATGTAGCGGACACTTCACTAAGGTTCATACTTGAAACATACATAAATACTCTATATTTGTCCTAGTTATACTAGTTATTAGGGTCCCCTTAAACCTACACCTGGGTCGCAAGTCCCAGGCACTGTTGAAGCTTCTCTCACTACAACGATGGACCCGACACATGCACGGTGAATACATTCAATGCTAAGAAGTTTCGTCTGTATATTTGTCTTCTCGGCCGCATACCTACTAATATTATAAATGCGAAATTAACTCTGTCTGTTACGCTTTCACGCCTAAACCACTGAACTGATTTTAATGATATTTGGTACAGTGGTAGAGTTGACCTCGAGAAAGAACATAGGAACCAATTTGGACTTACGGTATTCAATTGTAGGGAACAGCCCAACAATGAAATTGTGTAAAGGATTTCAAAATAAAATGCTGACAATAGTAACTAATGCGACTTGGTTTGTCACAAATGAACGATTACCTAACATCTTAGATATGACAACAGTTACACAAGATATTTTGCATCATACAAAAAAATAAAGACAAAAACACCTGAACAGCTGAGCTAGTGTCATAATGCGTACACTGAAACGGAACATACCCCAGGATATACTGAAATAAAATATAATATAAAGTAGAATGTGACATAGGTCGCGTACAGATCATTACATCTACGGAACTCGCCATACCTACTGTTCAATGAACCAGAGAGCGATAGATGACTGAAATATGAGAAAACAAATGTCCTCTATATTTAAATGAAACTAATATTTTCGGATTTTACTTCGCGTATTTATTTTTGATTATAAAACTACATACTCCCAACGTTTCGGCTACTTTTTTTTAAAATCCGAAAATATTAGTTTCATTTAAATGAGTACTCGCGAAAATCTTAGTTCTCATTATGTCCTCTATATTGTGTTCAGAGGGATTTTTAACAGTATGCTCTTAATATATTATGTTAATTAACTGTCAGCGACATCTATCGTCTGTGTGGCGTAACTTCACACTAACGGCAATAGTTAATATTAGTCCCCTATCAACCTACATGGAATGATTTGTTAGAATTAGATCATAATCAATATGTCATTGTCATACATCCTGACAATATTTCTCATTTATGTTACTTGTAGAACGGTACAAGAAAACTATATAATTAATTATTACTACAGTTTGTCCTTGCTTATGCAAATAATTGTCTTATTTCCAGAGAGCTTTTGGCTGGCTTGGAGAGGTTAAGAACTCTAAGTTCCACATTAGACCCGACATGATGTGACAAGAACACTGGCTGAAGTCTCTCAAATGATAATATATAAGATAATTTATTATTATTTATCTTCTGTATACTGATGTATGTAGTTTAACTCAATGTAAAATAACTTTAACAGTCAGAAACTAAGTTTGGAAATGTTCGTTTATAGAAACATTTTTTATATGTATGTACTATATGAATGAATGAAATAACATATGGTTCAATTAGATTTATTTAAAGAAATATTCCAAAACAATTAAATCGTTGTGATTTTAATTAGTTGTTTTTATATATATAATATTTTTTATATATGTATATGTGCTTAGTTTTTGACTGTTGTTGTATATTAATGGAGCTACATCTAAGTACAACACATGATGTAATTAGACAAGAAAACATTCTGCATCACACTCATGTAATACGCATTGGATGTTCTATGTTGATAGTTTAAATTACATTTTTTTAAATAAAAAACTTATAATAAATGTATGTAAATATAAAATTTGTAATAACTTAATGTTCTTAAAGCATACCTTTTTAACATTCAATCTATTGTTCTACGAAATTTTCTGTAGAAGTTATTTTTGTAATAAACCAATTGATTGATGTTAGATTCCTTCAACTTTTGACTTTTAAACGAGATGAAGATTAGAAACATGGGATATGGAATAAAACAGAATCTTTGTAAATAATAATTAAATTTATAAAGTGAGGTAATGTTACTAAAAGGTTCGGGATATATAATACTTTTTTTTTATTTATATTTTTTATTGAAAAGACAGTTTTATTTTTAATTATGTGGAATGTTATATAAAATATGTATCATCACAATTATTGTTGCTTTGAACAAAATTAGATTTGGTTTGAATTTTATTTAGTTTAAAGTGCTTCAACTTTTATCTACAGTGAGAAGTATTTTTAATTATAAATTGAATAATTGCTTCCGTTACATTTGTATGGAGTTCCTATGAATACATTTACCATCGATACTTTAAGCACTTCCTATCATGTAGCTACTAACAGCTTACCTCAGAAATAAGTTTTCTTGGAATTTTTCGCTAATAGATGGCGTCAGTATCGGAACAGCTTTTTAAATTATTTTTTTATTCAATAATAATTACAATATCTTATTTTTGATGTATTAGAAGTCATAGTGAGCTTGAAAGAAAAATTCTTACAATGTATAAGAATATGGTACATAGTACATTATTCGATGAAAATCATATCCAATACGAATAACTTTGGGTACAATTTTTGCATTTAATACGTTAATTACGAATAGTAATTAGTATTCGATGTTAAGATTTGAGATTTTGTTTATTATGTAATCGAGCGTTTAAAAAAGAGTTCAATTTGCATCTTCGCAACATGAGTAATTCGTTTCTCATTCAATAATACCTTAATACTAATATGAAATACTGTTAACGCTACGTATCATGTCGATGCAAACTCAGACTAAGCGTATTTTAAACTGTAAGACACTAAATTTGATGTAAATATTATAAATTTATCATTTCATTAGCGTTCTGCTCGTTCAGTCATCGAAAATTGAAGGAGACTTTGTAAATTGAATTGGAAATTGACAAGTGATTGCATGGAAATGTCAAAATTGTACAGTGTAAAGATGGCGCGGGATGTGTAATTTTGAGTCGGTCTAAATACCACGGACCCATGGCTTAACGAATTATATTGTATTATGTTTAACTATCTCTGTGAACGGATGGATCTGTAATGTATGTACCGAGCGTGACTTGTTCTTGTATACTCTGTGTAACTTCGTTTCGGTCGAGGTTTATTTATAACTCGAAATATAACTCATGTGAGCCCCAAATAAATACATTTACTTTTAATATTGTTTTATTTTTTTCGGAACTAATTAATGAGTTTTTGTTTAGCTTGGACAATGGTTAGCATTGGGATAAATTTAGCGCTCTATTCGTAACTGAAGGAAGTTTCTCGAAGGTTAATAAGCAAATGTTCCAAAATCCTCTATCACGGGATGAATGTGTTTGTTATTCATTAAATTGTGACCAAGTTCTCTATAATATACATGTAACACAATACTTTATATACAAATTACCACTTCTCAGGGTCATAATAAAACAACACTTATCTTTGAACGTTTATTATGCTCTATATCACATTTGTTCTCTACAATAAATATCATTTGGAATGTTTAATACGTTGTTCCTTATTACTAACAGAATCAAGATCGACCGTAGTTTGAACTGCAACTAATATTTTAAATAAAATATTTAAGTTTATTATATTAAGGACGTCACTAAGATCGAGAATTGTTCGAGTGATTTCTTGAACACTAACTAAATTTAAGCTCTTTAAGCTTTTATTCGATTTGCCTCAATATATGTTACGTTTTAATATTATCTAGTTTCATACAAGTCGTGTATGTATGTAGGAGCGGGTGTATTTATGTCAGTAGTCAGCAGTGGTTGTCGTACAGATGGTCCCAGTGCGAGGGACAGTGCAGGAAGTACTTCCTGGTGGCGGCGATGAACCTGCGCCGGTACTGCTCGGGGGACACCACCGTCGGCTGGCCCGAGCCCAGGTTCTTCTTCACCAGGTGCTCCAGCTTCTTGTCCCACGTGAAGGTGCGGATGTAGTCTGGGGACGAACAACGTATACTGGTCGAACATTAACAGTAGTTACATCACTAGGAGATGAACCTTTGGATTCTTGCGAACCGATTATTTTGTACACGGGGTTCTAAAATGAATTGGTGGTCCGAACAAATTTATTTTTGTATGAAAACCAGTACAGACACGGATCTCCGTGGATGAATGACATGAGTCGCCAGTATAGCGTTTAGTCCGCTTCATTCAATGAAAGCGTCCGTATGATGGTGTGTGTGTATGTACATGTGTGTGTGTATGTGTCCGTGTGCCTGTGTCCGTGTGCCTGTGTCCGTGTGTGTGTGTGTATCTCCTCACCGATGACCCCCAGCTCGATGTGCCGCCCCCTCAGCCCCAGCAGCAGCGAGTAGTCCATGACGTGGTTGTCCGCGAGGAAGCGCGTGTCTCTGTCGATGGCGGCCCACAGAGCGCGCGCGCCCGCACCCGACACGTACAGCTGCTTCTCCCAACGAACTGACCAATAATAATATATGAACATAGATTAGTTAATGTACAGAGCCTTCAGTATATTGTAAAGCGATAACTGTCTTAATATAACTCACGTCTCAGCAGGTTCTCGTCGAACAGCACTTGGTTGTTGTCGGGCGAGGCGAGTCTCTGTCTGCTGGCTCCCTTGAGGTCGAACCTCAGCTGTGCTTGTTCCGGCTCGTGGTCGTGGGCGGTCGTGGGCGGGTACCACACGTTCTCCATCACGAGCACGCCGCTGCCCGCGCCACCCACGCTGTACACGCCCACGATCCTGGCCAGCAGACTGGGCAGCTTGTGTTGTGTGCAGCTCGTCACGTACTTGAAGTAGTGCGGCGCGAACTCCAGGAACTGCTGCCACTCGGGCTTCGTCATCTCCTTGAGGACGTAGCGGTCGTCTGGGAAATATCATCAATATTAAACTTTATACATATAATTCTTCTGTGAGTGTGTATGTCACTGAACTTCTCTCAAACGACTGGACCATTTTAATAAAAAAAATTGTGTGTTCAAGGGGATCTGGGAATGGTTTAGATTCACAATTTTGTCCGCTGGACAATGTTATTTAAATTAATTTTTAATTTATTAGTAGTTGTTGATACAAACGTTTTTTTTTTACATTAGATTTGACAACTAACTAATATGTCAATCATTCTGTCGCACTTCAAAACACGGAGATTTATGGCTTTAATAGGTAAACTCCAAAAATATAAATATAAAAACGTAACAGATATTTCTTGATTATAGGGCAATACGTAGTTCGCCGGGTCTTCTAGTATATTATATACACGACAAACGTAGTTTTGCATTTAAACTTCTATACGCATGCTACACTTGGGAGTAAACTGGAGAATGCGTGACGAAAGCGTTACGAAAAATGTGATCGGGCGAGGTGAACGAAAGTGAGAAGGAGATAGCAGTGCCCACGCATATTTTCTTATGAAATATATATATACATATACATTTGTATTACATATAGATAGCGCGAATGAAGTTTTACTTCAATCGTGTGGTCTAAAAAAACGCCGGTTTTAATTTATTTTGGTACATTAGTTGATGTATAGTTCCAACCTTTCGTTTTACAGAACGTAGAGCCGGACTTGCCGCCGCGCGCCGCCCACGGGACGCAGCTAGCTAACGAACGGATGAAGCCTTCCTCGATCTCACAGAGACCCTTGTCTGTACACAGATATGCAGAAATACATTTATACATACACATACACATATAATTAAAACTAAAAACTATGTCTGCATCGTAAATAAGAACAATCCCGGCTACATATATACCAAATTGAATTCTGTTTAACATTATTCCTACTTTTATTTACTGGAATAAACGGAAATATTACTTTAGTGACAGACCAGAACAAATCAGGTGTTAGTATTATATTACACAATTACAATAAGCGAGTTTCTATATTTCACAAATTCGTAAACTATATGTAGACTATAGAGTATGTACTGTATTAGTCAGTGGTGGCTAGTGGTTAAAGCGCCCGCCTCTCATGCACGAGGTCGCGGGTTCGCGGGTGATTAATGCATTCCCAAAGAGAGTTGATATTAGTCAGGCGGCCGGTCGTAAGAACAATTACCCAAAACTATTCACAACATGTAAGGCAGACCCTGGCTAATTCTGGGAAATAGCCAGATAGAAGAGAGTATGTAGGGTGACCTTTGTCCCGGGGGTCGTCGCAGCAGCCCGCGTCGTGCCGGCCTCCCTCCAGCGGCGCCAGCAGCATGTGACGTAGACGGTGGAACTGAGACGCATAGTACACGCGACACGACAGACCGTCCTATATAAACACACACTCCGATACACTACACCGGACTGTAGACATGACGCAAGATGGAATGTTCCAGACGACTTTATTTTAATACGTAGTCCGAAAGCCAGGTGCAAATTTGGTTATTTTTTCTTCTCGTTAGATAATTGGCGATACGCATCAGACAACAGTATCATAAAACCCTATGACCGTCAGCTGCGGCGCAGTTGGGGGGATGAGCAGTTGTTACCTCCCACGCTTGAAAAAAAAAATTCACTCATTACCTCTCGGCAAAAAGTTTATCAAGTTATAGCTAACCCAATACCTCAACAAAAAAAAAGTCAACTGGCTATAACATAGTGCATTGTACGTCAGTTGATGGCTAGATCATGGGAAAAAAAATCTTCACTTATAGTGATATCCTCTCGGCTAAAAATTTACCAGATGATAGCTTATATGTAACTATTGATAAATATATACGTCAGCTGGCTGTATCTCGGTGGAAAAATCGTCAGCTGATACTTTGAAGGTCGTTACGTAGAAGTTAGCCAGAAGCATTTACTGACTATTTAAAGGCATCAGCTGACCAGGTTTCCCTCGACTTATTGCTAGCTGATTTTTTTTATTTATCACAGTATTACATTTAAAATCAGCTCACAAATTTTCTTGTGGGAGGAAATGAAGTCTTTTTAATTATTCTTGTTATTTTTAAAAATTAAATAACAGTCGAGGGAAACCTGGTCAGCTGATGCCAGATAAGCTATCATCTCTTAAATTTTTAGCCGAGAGGATATCACTGAAAGTGAAGATTTTTTCCCATGATCTAGCCATCAGCTGACGTACAATACACTATGTTATAGCCAGCTGACTTTTTTTTGTTGAGGTATTGGGTTAGCTATAACTTGATAAACTTTTTGCCGAGAGGAAATGAGTGAATTTATTTATTTTTACTTCCAGCGCGGGAGGTGACAATTGCTCATCCCCCTCACCGAGCCTCAGCTGACATTCACGAGGCTTTATAGTTCGATTTTCTGATGCGTTTTACTAATTATCACTTGATAAGAATTTGGTCATATAAATCTGTTACTGGCTCTCGGACTAATATACTTCTGTTAACACACTTTATATGTAAAAATAAAAGTGATAATAAAGTTGCATGAAAAATATACTTTATACATTATACATGATAGTAAAATTTCACAATTTACATGCTGTATATAATAATAAACTATAAACCATTCACTATAGTGAATATATATGTACATATATCTTGGAATTTTATTTATAAATAATATGTAAGACTTCCGCGAGTATTCATTTAAGTAAATGTAATCCCGGTTGTATGTAATATGTTCTACATACCTTCAGTAACACCTCTATATGTTCGTTAGTCTTAGTCTTCGTCTTGTCCGCGTCGCTCTTATCACGCACAGAGCTAACTGTCTCTGCCTCCTCGCTCTCGTGAACACTCCTGTAGTTATATAGAGTATAATTATATATTTTAAAGTAATAGAGCCGTATAAACTCAATATAAACGATATATATATATATATATCTGTCATTACATATACTAATATCAAAAGCGATGTTTCGATTTATGGATAGGTATTCGGTAATGTTTGTGACGCTTTTATGAAAAAACTAGAATATTGATAAACATAAACCTTCATATTAACACGGAACACACGTTACGCTGACATGTACATCATAAAGTCTATCTTTACTCGGTTTAGTTTATGAGAACGTATCACGACAATCGTTTAAACATAACTCATGTTATACACAACAGATGGCGCTGATGGTTAACAAATATTTAATTGCACTCATTATCCTTATATTATATAGTGCTGTGAATACCTGTAATAGGTGTACATATGAAGACCTATATTTTTGTGTAAATATTGCATATGTGTACTGTTGGTGTTCCTAAGTAAATAAAATAAAATTATCCTCTATGTAGTGTGAAAGCGAACGAATCCGCGTGAATGAGCTAGTAGTAGAGTAGTGTAATATATCTCACGCTCTGTGTAGATGTAGCGAGCGGTGGTAGGCGAGCGAGGCGAGGGCCGCGGCGACGACCGACCCCACCTGGTGTGCGTGAACCAACACACTCACTAACCCGCCAAGAACTAACATGCCCTGGAAACACACACACACACATATATAAACATTATATGACGACTATACATATATGTATATAGTAAGGAACATCTTTAAAAATAGAAGCGGTGTGTGAAAGACATACTTTTCGGATGTCAGTAATCGAGGTGACGTAATTTAAGGAATTTAAGTGTTAAATATATATATGTTTATCGCTGTACCTGACTGGCCGGCTGGTTGTTCGTCAGTAACTGTGATATGATCTGCTTCACCGTCTTCTTGTCGCCCCGGTCTTCGTCACCCTCTGTAGCTTCATTAAACACATTATTATTATTAAAAAAAAAAATACTTTGTATATGTTAAGGAACATCCTTTTAATTTGAACCGAACTTTAGAAACTCCGAAACGCACCCGAAGTGATGACATTTGGTTTGAAAAATTTTGCGCAGAAAAGTAATGACGCGATGTCTGAGTGTTTTTATACATTAGATTTAAGGTGTTTTCGTTTAAGATAATAATTAGTTTGTTCTAGGTTAAGGTTTGATTTGGTATTTAAAAGTAGTGGCTTTATAAGAAAACAATATTTTAATTATGTTGTTAGAATCGTAATATATATGTATTGTAAGAATGAGATGTTAAGCACGGGACCACATATAAGCAGTTGCCAAAAGAAATAACGCGCGTTGATGTGATATATTAACTAATCATAAATTTTCGAAGTGTTTAAAGTTTAAACCATTCATCTGTGTTATATTCAGATTTCATTTCATGAAAAGTTTGGATCGAGATAATTGAAAGTTATTAATTTTAAAATGGCTTTTTGTTTTGTTTGAATTTAACAAAATTTAAAGTGAAATTGTATCGAATATTATTTAAAAATAATGATAGTGATCTGGTTTCTAAGAATATATACGTATTCATGAATGTGTCTGTATGTTGTATGAAATACTTACCAATATGTTCCTTATCAGTTTCTCTTGGCGCGTTCTCTGAAAATGATGAGATATTTATATAATATATGTCGTACATTTCCTTATATCTATATTCACATCACCTCACCGTTTCCGTCGCTGGTAACGTCGTGTTGTTCCTCCGCGTCTTGTTTGTCGTCCGCTGATAGAACAAGAGATCATGTTTATTATAAAATTTACAAATATATTATACGAAGGTCTATTTGTAATATGTTAATAATAAGATTTTTATTTAATCAAGTCAATGTATACAGTATACACAGTGCTGAGTGCATATACATATAAATATTTTTTTATTTTCTTCTGTCAGTCTATTTATTTTGGTTTGTTAACGTGACTTTCACGGGTAAGTAGCTTTTTATTGTAAGTAACTTGAGTATATACTTACTGTATTTTTTTATACAAAATTTGTTTAAGAATAAACGTATATAATGGAACATATAATATTCCGTTTGAATTAAGATTTTATAAAAATGTCTGGCAAGGGTTAATCTACGTAATAGTTCGTAGCACCAGTTTTTCAAAATATCGTGTGTGTGTGTGTGTGTCACTGACCCGTATGTTCCGCAGGTCGTGTCCGCGAAGCAGCGTCCCTGAGCGCTCGTTCAGCGGCCAGCAGACTGTCAGCTACGGACCACAAGCGGCGGACCCTCTCTATAACATACGCATATATATATTCTCTATCACAGTATATATCAGTATATCTCGCGCGTGTGTGTGTGTGTGTGCGTGTGTACCCGCGTGCGTGTCTTCGTGTCCGTGTGAGGTGAGCGCCAGGTGTATCTGTTCCATGAGTTGCTTAAAGGCGCCGTACTCCTTCTCTACGTCCACGTCCGTACAGTTACTGAACGTCTCGTGACCTACAACACACATACACACATACATTATATAACATGTTTGAAACGTATACAGGAACAATAAGGTTGACACAATGTATAATGATTATGTTCTTAAGACTTATGATAACTTGTTTTATTTGCCTTTCTAATTCCTACACTCCATATACAATAGCTGCGGCAACTGTTCCGGCAAATTGTTTTAATCTGACGAAATACTTTTTTGTTATATAACTTGAATGGTTACCGATAAATTAAAAAAAAATTAACTCATAAAAAATTGGCGAGTTTTGAGATTTCTTAGGCCAAATTTTGGAATACGGTATTAGTAAAAAAAATTCAAAATAGGCTAAGTATTGTTATACTAATTAAAAAAATCATAATGAAACCAAATTAATAATATATTGAAAGTCAAATTTGTCTTTCAATCCTATTATGAGTGTCACCTTTCAGCATGAGTTCATTGAGTGTCGCTATAAGGTCGTCCCTCATACGGCGCGTGTCGTGACGCACGGAGATTACCTCGGGCGGGAGGTGCACCCAGTATGAATGGATCTTTTCATACCTGGCGTAACGACAAAACATACGGGTTCAATATATACTAGATACTATTATTATACTATGAAGATTTTCTTTAAATAATAACTGGATAATACTTCGCATTAAAAATCATAACGTGTTTTTCATTTCTAACAATATATATATATGTATGATACCTAAAGCACGCGGTGGTGAGTCTGCTAACGAATGCGTGGTGATGTGTGTTGAGAGGATGCGGGCAATGTCGGCGGGCGTAGCGGGGCGCGCGGACACGACCACGGAGGAACTGAGCCAAGGACAGGCCCAGCGAGCGACGACATACTACACGACCTGGCCACGAGCGACCACACGCGTCACAGCGAGACCAAAACACTACCTGCACATATATATGGGAATATTATATTAAGATTTTAATATACATACTAGAATGTCACTTGGACAAGTATAAAATATAGTGATGTGAACAACACTAAGATTTTTAGTACACCACGTGTTTTTCCATCATATTGAAACTTCAATTCATTTTGATACTTGAATTCGTCGTGGTGGCCTAGTGGTTAAAGGCCCACCTCTCATGCATGAGGGCGCGAGTTCGAAACTGCACTGTTTGAGAGTATTTAGACACCACTGCTACAAAATAATTAAAATCATAGTATTTATGTGAAAGAAAATTTCTCATACGTGATCTGATATGATTATAAAATATATAGAATTAATTCACATATACAGTGGTGTCACGATAGCTCAGTATGGAATGTAGTTGAACTACCATAAAAAAAAGAGTTCGGGTTTATATACCGATGTCGTTTTTTATTTTTCATTCAAATTACTTGAATTTTAATAATAATAATGAGTACCTGTTTGTTCTGTTCGTTGGTTTTATCCACGTTGCTGTGTCCTATCGTGTTGCAAGTTATTGTTATACACACGTCTTCGTGCACAAACCTGAAAATTAACAATTAAAATTATATATATGTAAACAAAAAAAAGATTATTCAATAAAAAAATCAAGTTATAGATGAATAGATGGTGTGGTGTAAGCCGAGAGAAATGAGTAACTTTAGACATAATAATATAATGGTAGAATAAGGTAATGAAGTATATATTCTGTATTTTGGTAAAGATATTAATTTTAACTACTAGTTGGTAGTGTATAGATATTAAATTTCAAAATGAAAAAAAAAATCCAATCATAGAGACTTAATTAACTCGGCGGGAGGCCCTACCGGGTAAAATTAACCATATAGTGCATACTTTCGAAAATATTTATTTTTGTAAGTAATTTTGTGCAGCGCCGTTTTAGATCCCTTTCGACAGATGTTCGACGGTTCGACTAATAAAGAAAATCGTGAGATTACTTGAAGGTGTTGGCTGTGTCTCTTGTATTGCCACAAATTAAGTGTAAATCTACAATCTTAAACCTGCCTACATACTTTTATGAAAAGTAAAATAATACTTTTACTTGGCGGTAATGGCGAGCAAAATAATAATATTCCGAATAAACAACAGGAAAGAGCCGTCCAGCCACACTAGCAAATATTTCGTTTTGTACACAAAATGGCTGAGCTTTTGGGCTATGTTTTAAAATTTCAAATATTACATATTATACCAAGCGTTATTAGTTTCCAACTGTATTGTTTAATTGAAAATGTAACACAATATAGTATAAAAATTGGTTATATTTAATTATCCATAAAATAACTCTAGTTCTGACATTAATATTATTGTAGTATTTTTTACCCAGTAGCGACAGTCAGTGTTGGTATATGGGGCTCGCCTCCCGCCGAGTTAATAAAAATTAGGTAAATACATTCCAAGATTCAAGATCCAAGTTCAACATTCGAAGTGACGCAATATATATACTAGCTGACCCGGCAAACGTTGTTTTGCCGTATAAAAAATAGGGGTTGTTGATAAAAAGTAAAAATTTAGGGTTAAAATAAAATTAAAATTAAGGGTGAACAACTCTTATGACTTAGGGGTATAAAAAATAGATGTTGGCCGATTCTCAGACTTACTCAAAATGCTCACAAAATTTCATCAAAATCAGTCCAGACGTTTCGGAGGAGTTCTCTGTCTGACACCGCGACACGAAAATTTTATATACAGGGTGACTGGTGAATTACTATCAATATTTAAGGAGAATACTCGGTAAATGATTCTGATTCGAATTATGTAAAAAAAATAGGTACTTAATTTTTGACCATATTTCCGTATAAATAAATAAAGCGTGGACACCTTGCCTGCGGCGCATGCGGCGGCGTGCTGATACAACACCACGCCGCCGCACGCGTGTGTCGCTACCTCCAACCCCCGCCACGTGGCTAATTAGTCGGGCGAGCGCCACCGTGAGGTCTGTACGTCCGTTTTCCCGCGCGCTGGCCTAGCGACCGATCTTACGCGTGTTCACACGATGTAGGGTGTGCACACGATGCGTAATTAATTACATAACTTTAGGTTAACTTTACTTAGAAGTTTATTAATATTTATGTTATATTAATTTTTATTTTGTCATATATGATCGTCAAATATCACGTCATCAAATATCGATAGTAATTCACCAGTCACCCTGTATATAGTAGGATACTTACTAATATTATAATTGCGAAAGTTTGTGAGTGTGTGTCTATGTTTGTTACTTCTTCACGCTCAAACGGCTGAACCGATTTTGATAAAATTTTGTATACAGGAAGGAATAATACATAGGCTACTTTACATCCCGGAAATCCGCGGGTAACACCGCGGGGCGCAGCTAGTGTAATATATTGTAAGGTATAATGTTCTAACCTCCTAACGTGTTGGTTCATGGGCACGGGACAGTTAGGCGAGGAGCACTTCTGGTCCGCGTTGAAACAATACTTCTCAAGGAAGGCGCCCAGCGAGATGTCGTGACGACCGTACATCTCCATAGTTACTATCCTTAAAATATATTATATGGAGGCTTAATTATTACATATAAAAACATGACAATATAGATTTAGACCAAATAACAGTATAATAAACGGAATGAAATCTGCAATTTTTCTATTTTGATATATTCTCAGAACAATGAAACATAATATTATATATATATATATATATATATATATATATATATATATATATATATATATATATATACTTTATGAGGTCGTCAAAATTGTTTAATTATTATTATTTAAAATCGTATGAATAGCATCTGTGATATATTGAGTATGATATACTTCTATAGTAGCCGGAACGTAACTTTACAAAGCTTTATATTTTTATAAGTGCTTCCTTCTACATTTAATACGACAAAAAGTGGTCGTATCATGTTTATCAGTAACAAAAACTGACAGTGTCAAATAACGGGTCTAATTTAACTGCTCGCAAGTGTAATCAAGAACATTCATTGCCCCGCATCATACTTATGACACCTAAAAATCGTATTCTATTCATCTATCGTCTCTTGCCAAATACGCATAACCAACTATACTTCTTCTTCTACCTGGCAATTTCCCAACTTTAGCCAGGGTCTGCCTTACATGTTGTGAATAGTTTTGGCTATTTGTTTTAACGACCGGCCGCTTGCCTGACATCAACCCTATTTGGGAATGCATTAATCAGTGATATCTAAATACTCTTATAAAGTACATATGACTCGGAAAAATCACATTGGTACTTGGCCGTGCCAGGATCGAACCCGCGCCCTCGAGCATAATAGGCCATAACCACTAGGCCACCACTGACTTCATAACCAACTATACTATTTTTTCTATAGTATAGTAGTATGTATATATTCCCCCTTTTGTATAATTTAAGTAGAAAAAAAAAGAAGTGTTAGATTCATGTTTTGACAAATTTTGACAGCGAGTAAATGCTGTCCTTTTCCATGACGTGATAACTTTTAACCGAAACATCACTTAGCTAGGATGTAATTATCTTTATTTTAAAACTTGTAAATGGTGTGCGTTTTGTAAGTTGTCCTTATATGTATAAATAAATAAATAAATGTGTTATACCACGGGTTGACACAGAAGTCTGGCACGTTGGGACTCTTGCTGCTGTAGCTGTAGAGCAGCACGCTCAGTAACTGGTGCCGCTCGGGACACAGCGGGCCGAGCTGCGCGGGGGACGGTTCGCCGACCTCCACCGGGCGCACGATAGAACACTTGTATTGAGGACACTCGGCTGGAATGAACAATATAATATAATTAGTATTAATTTCACCCCAAAACCAATTCTAAGTCTTCTTCTACCTCGCAATTTCCCAGCTATAGCCAGGGTCTGCCTTACATGTCGTGAATAGCTTTGGCTAATTGTTTTTACGACCAGCCGCCTGCCTGACATCAACCCTTTTTTGGGATTCAACATTAATCAAAACCAATTCTAAATATAAAATAAAATATAATTTTCTTAACGTGTCATAGACAAACCCAATGATGTTATCTGTGGTTCATTCAAAATTGTATAACGTATAAAGGAACTTTTGCCAAGAAGAGAATTTGTTAAATAGATCATATTTATTTTAAATTGTGATATTGGAATCGTCATTGTAAATTGTTAGCTATAAATGTCATTTCTGTTTACAGAGATACCATTGATATTTTAATTGATTGTGTCATCCAAATCACAATATTATTCCTACTAATATTATAAATACGAAAGTAACTCTGTCTGTCTGTTGCGCTTTCACGCCTAAACCACTGAACTGATTTTAATGAAATTTTGTATAGATATAGAGTTGACCTCGAAAGAACATAGGATAGTTTTTATCTCAGACTTTTGAAAGGTTCTCTTGGAAACGCAATATAACCGAACTCCACGCAGGCGTAGCTGCGGGCGGAAAGCCAGTATCTTATATTAATGTATGTATGTCTGTTATACGGTTATGTTTCCCCGCAGCCAACACCCCGCCGGTCGCTCTGAAGTGTGCTAGCGACGCTCTCAGCGCGGGGTCGTCCATTGAAGTCGTTATCGGCTGAGTGACAAACGGGTGACGCTCCTGGAATATGAGAGGTCAAATATTGGAGGTCACAACAATAAGTGTCGGTTGGTATAAATAGAGACGAGGGTACAGATTACAAACAGTCTCGCTCGAGCCGTTGTAGCGATCGAACCTCTTACAAATAAAATATTCGTCAAATCGTCTCCTACCAATCGAAAAAAAGGCTTTGTTGACGTCAATTATGCTGACGTCATATTCTTTAAAATGTATGACGGGGATTCTAAAATATAAACCAATTATCTAAGAACACACGTATAGGAGATAATACTCAAATATTCTTGTTTACTAATGCTTATTGCTTTTTCACTTATCCATGTATATTAATGACATGAAATTTGCCGCTTTATTTCAATACTAATTAATAGAATTGTTGCGAGTTATTTTATTATTTTGTACATATTATTAAAAGAATTGAAGAAAATGCTATAGACGAATAATGACTTCAAATTTAGCGTATAAATTTTTCCTTGTAATATTTATTTTCGAAAAAATTCGCGTATATAAAATTTGTTTAATATAAAATATTCATTATATATATATCCATTAACTTACAGTCCACTCACATATACCTTACAAGTATCTCAATATTATCTATTGTTTTTAAGTATGAAGTACTATACCTTCTTTCTCTTTCTTTTGTACCTTTTCTTTCTCTTTCTCCGAGGGTAGTCTCGCTGAATCCTTTCTGTGCACGCGAGGCGTGTGAGGCGCGGGTCTACTGAGTAGAGACAGCTCGGGCGCTGGAATCACGATGTTAGGAGACATCGATAGTACTACGTCATCAGTACACCATCTATGATAGAAATAGGGAATAATAAAATGTATTTTATATTAAAAAAATACGGATATAAGAAATATATACTTGAGACCTCAATTCAACTGAAATTCACACACACACACACCCACACACACACACACACACACACACACACACACACACACACTTTTGTTTTTAACACCATTTGCTTTACTTTTTTTCCCTTTTCTTTTTATCCTTAATTGTATGCTCGAGTGCATCTGTAGAACTGTAAATTGGTGTAATCCTAAGTAAATGGGCCTTGTTTATAGCTATATTGTTACTATTTTAAAATTACTGTAACGCTATTGGATTACCAATAAAAAAAATTAGTATGCAATTAGTAAGGATAATTATAATTCTTCAACAGCTATCCGGACTTTCTTATTAACTAAGAATTTAAGCTAACTACATTGAAAAAAGTTAATAGTCCCAAGATCATTTTCAAAAACTTTAACATTTAAGTCCCTTATATATAGCTCACCTCTCGCTGTGTGTATCGGCTTTCAGTTCAGCTTCTTCGTTAGTAAGGAACACGTCTTCGTCTCCCGATAGCCGGGAGTGTAAAGGATCACTAAAATCTTGTATAGGAACTCCACAACTTAAATTCTTGTCACAATCCAATTTCCTACCGAATTGCTTGTATTTGAACGAATCTTCGCTATTTTTGATCTCATTTTCGTTCGTAGCGTTCCCATCATCTATTATTTTTTCGACCTCATCTTTATTACATTCATTCACATCTTCCTTACATCCGAGCTCGGTTATCGATTCCGTACTTGGATTGCCAAATATATTATCATCTTCTGGTATGCACGCTTTGTCTTTAACGTCTTTCTTATATTTATCATCGAGAACCGTCTCTTCACTATCATCAACGAAGGTATCTGGTTCAGGAAGTATAGCTTCTATATCCGCCAAGAAAGATTTCTCCAATTTCCAGTTGTAACAGGCCAGCAACATGAACTTGACTATCCTTTTCACTCGGACTAACTCCTGTAGAGATCCGCCGCGGAGTAGAATACAACAACCTAGATTTGGTTCCGCACAACCTTCTAGCACCATCAAAGTCTTACTTGTGACTGAAATGTTACATAAACAATGTAATTTAAATCAAAGAAGATTAATAACAATAAAAATTACATTTTACGTACAATTTTTAACGTAAAAGTTTTTACAGACACCCAATCTAGGCATTCCAATCCTTGCGTCTATAGAAGTAACTAGGTCAGCCTTAGCGCATCTAGCGCTTCGTTTGAGAGCCTTATCTCGTACACCCACAGCTAGCGCTACGCCCTCCGCTCTCAAAGCGTCTTGCACAGCGCGGGCGGCGCTCCCTCTCACTAACACCACCTTGGGGCGAAGCGCTGATATCCTCGCAGCGCAACGCACTAAGTATTCTTGCTCCTAATATCATAATTCAGTTAATTAACAGCCAAAAATTATATCCAAATTGGAAGAATGTATTTACCTGCATCAGAAGTGGCTCCAAAGAAGTCAACTTCCCTTCAACCCTCTGGTAAGCGATCGAACAATCCAGAAGTAATACCGACGGATTCGTTATTCTTTTCGGCATGCCTCTGTTATATACAGCTGATTAGATATCGTGTTATTAATATATAATCTATAGTATATATTATATATTACATACCTGTGAGCCACGTTCTTAGTCATCACCACACCCTGTATAAGGCAGCTGTCGGTCATCTCCCCGCCCGGGACTTTCTTCACTTGAACGTAGTTCCGGATATCGATGTCGTTGCTCATCATATCTATGAAATTAAATAATACTAAATTCCCTATCTCTCTCTAAACCTTAAAGAGTGAGAGAGACAGACATAATAATTCCTTGATTTCAGATCTTTTCATCTAAAGTATTGACAGTGAAGAAAGTAAATAATACAATCTTCCATCTCACCTATACCCAGTACATCAATTAACCTAAACGTGCGAAAGAGACAATCATAATGACATCATCATTTCCTATATCTTCATCCAAAAGAGTGACAGAGACAACAATACTAAAACATGAAAGTGTGAAAGAGACGGATACAGTTTGGTGGGTGTCAGTTAAGAATCCCGCCTCACCTATAGCCGACCCAGTACATCAACTAACATAAAGGTCCACAAGATACAATCATAATGACATCATCATTTCCGATCTCTTAATCCTTAAGAGTGACAGGGACAGCAATATTAAAACATGAAAGTGTGAAAGAGACGGATACAGTTTGGTGGATGTCAGTTAAGAATCCCGCCTTACCTATAGCCGACCCATTACATCAACTAACATAAACATGCGAAAGAGACAATCATAGCGACATCATCATTTCCTATGTCTCATTCCAAAAGAGTGACAGAGACAATAATACTAAAACATGTAAGTGTGCAAGAGACGGATACAGTTTGGTGGTTACTCACCTATAGCCGTAACATCAGCTGCTCTCACACACAGCGGGTACAGCGTGTCGAGCCAGATGGCCGGCAGCGCCTCCCGAGCGAGCTGTTGACGCATCAACAGCTTGAGGTGATCCTCTCCCGACTGCTCGATAGACTTACACGGCTGACGGGCCTCTGGAACGACACGGGTATACACATACAATTATAATATAAATAAAAGAAAATTGCTGTTCGTTAGTCTCACTAAAACTCGAGAACAGCTGAACGGATTTATCTTATCTTAGTCTTGAAATGTTCGTGGAGGTTCAGGGAAGGTTTTAAAGCTGAAAAAAATTTAATCATTTCCGGAAAAACCCTAAAAACAGCCCTTTTCTATTTACCATACAAACGTTTTCTTTGACATTCGATTTGACAACTAGCTAATATGTCAATCATTCTGTTCGATTGAACCAGGAAAAACCTGATTAGCTATATTTATATTACTAATGACGAAATTAACGCGGACGAAGTCACGGGCAAAAACTAGTAGATGATAATGAAAAGTCTATTTGACAAATGAAACTAATATCTAAGGCTTACTACGAGTTTTTACATTATTTTGGAAACTAAGTACATGATCTCGACTGTTCAGTTACTTAGAAGTTACTATGTAACAGTTTTTTCGGATTACTAAGTAAACTTTTTTTTTGGATAAAAAATCTTAAATTTCAATGATTATTTACCTTCAGAATTGTCTAAAATCGGTTCTTCCTCTTCGCCTGTAGATGACGCTTTCACTTCTAAAAAAAATTATAATAACTTGTTAATTATGAATATATTTTTTATCTGTACTAGATTACTATTCTGTGATGAAGTATCAGTTTTTTCCATTATATTTAATTATATATCTATATAATAAAGATAATAATATTTATTTTCTATCTGTCCTTACCAGTTTTAGTAGCTTTAATCAACCTCGCTGAACTGTTTCCCAGGTTAAGATCCAGACAGTATGAAGAAACACTTTCAACGAGCCTGTTGTTACATTCCTCGGATGGATCTTCACCTAAAAAATATACATTAATAGTGAGTTTCCAAGCAAAGTTTAAATAAATAAAGTATAATACATAGCAGTAAATGAAATCTGATTATTTTATCAATAATTTCAATTCAAAGCACTGTCATATTTAGTCTAATATAGAATTATATTTAGATGTTCACTATATGTATATAGTATTCACACAAGACATAACATATTTTTTGAAGATCGAACATTCCAAGTATACAAGAAACAAAACAGATCATTAATAAAACATGACATCTACAGACTAAATCTAGAGAAAGAGATATAAAATACAATATACTGGTGATAGAAAGGGACAAAAAATTATATAGAGAGAGAATATAGTTTTACCTGTAGTAATATCAGTAGTGTCATTGTTCTCTAGCTGTAGCGGCCGGTAGAGGGCGTAGTCCGCGAACTGAGCGGGCTCTGTGACGCGCTCCATGAGACCCGTTAGTAGCAGGCTCTGACATAATAGAACGGCTTGGGCTCTACGGACATACAGAACATATATATGATATACAATACAAGGAAGGATTAGTACTATTATTAGAAGAAATATAATAGTTACATTAGTCAATTCAAAAATGTCAAATGTCAGATGTCAAAAATACTGCATAATTGAATGCTATATCAGATTTTGAAATACTGAGATAGGTGGATTGATTTGGTTGCAGATTATATGGGTTAACTCCACAAATAACACTCTCAATAGAAGAAGTTTCTACACTAGAATTTATGATTAAAACTAGACAAATATTGTCCCAAAAAGCTATTTCTTTCCCAATACTAAAATTACTTGGATTATAATACAACCAAAACGATTTGTGTTTTGTTTAAACAATATAAAGAATTGATGTCATATTGCAATGTATTCCCTTACATTAAAGTTCAATTTACTCTAGCCTTATTATTAACAACTGAACCTTGTTTTATGTGACGTATTCTCCATCACCCACTGCATGACGTCACACCCTCGCCACACTCCATTATAACGCACCAATCTATATCTAAGACAAAATAATAATAACAAAATTTTAAATCCCAATTTATATAGAAAAACATTGAATTTTGTCCTAAAAATATGATTGTTAGTTATTTACATATCATGCGATACGATTTAATGTTATAATATTATTAAAATGCCAGTACAACACAATTTCAATTACATATAAACTTGGTAATCAATTATGAACCATGTTTTGATCTCTTTTAACCACATATACCTGTGTTGTTGTGTTGGCAGAGCGTAGTAAAGTTGTCTAAACACATCAGCCAGTGGTTCTTTATTGCTCCGGACATCCCCGGACTCTACTTCATGAGAGAACAGGAACTCTCTGCTCGATGGAGACGGCTTGTTAGATGGAAACTTCACCTATAACACATGTGTTAAATATATGAATTAAATAAAATGTCAGTAGATTGCTTTACTATATTATATTCCATCATTGAGTATCTTCTTATTGTGTATTAGTTATACTTGGTGGGTGTTGTTAAATAATAATGTGAAGTGTAATGTAGGTAGATTATTACAGCTGCGTGCAAAAGTATTAGGCACCCCTATTGTTAGTCACTATCTCATTATATTGCGGTCAAGTCTGTGTTTTATGGTTTAGCTATTGTATTAGCGGCAATTTTTAACCAAATTAAGATAAAAGAAGATATTTATGACATCCAGGTGTGCTCCTAAGCGGTGTTTCTTCGAATTTGCTTTTTTTGCGTTTCGGGTTATAGTGTGTTATCAGTGCTTGCAGTGAACATACACGTCTTCTACGCAACTATTCCTATCACAATTCTAAAGACTTACATTTAACGTGTTAATCATGCCGAAAAAATCTGAACTTAGTGCTGAACAGCGTCTAAGAATTAAGATTTTACATGAACAAGGCATGTCTCAGGTTAAAATAGCCCGAGAAGTGAAGTGCTCGCGATGTGCAGTTCAATATGCTATAAATCGCTTCAAAGAGACTGGCACCCATGAAAATAGACCAAGAACAGGCAGAAGAAAAGTTACCACTGAACGGGAAGATCGATTGTTGATTAGGCAGTCTCTACAAAACAGGAAAAAAACTGCTTTAGAGCTCGCTGCAGCATTATCTGAGTCAAAAGGCAGCTCAGTGAGTGTTTATACTGTGAGAAGAAGACTTCTTAAAGCTGGATTAAAAGGATGTAAAGCAAGGAAGAAGCCGTGGCTGTCAGAACACAATAAGAAAAATCGGTTGGAGTGGGCACTCAAACATAGAGATTGGTCAGTGGCAATATAAAAACACATAAATGTTTCTTAAATAACGTACTGCAAGAAAAATAATAACTTTGAAAATAAATGTGTTTTTTTCGTTTGGCATAGGTGTTTGGAACACCCGGTGTGACTTATGTTAGGCGAAGGGTTGGCGAAGAATACAACCCAGAATGTGTGGTTCCCACTGTTAAGCATGGTGGAGGCTCAATAATGATCTGGGGCTGCATGGCTACCGACGGAGTGGGCGAAATGGTGTTGTGTGAAGGACGAATGAATAGTGTTAATACACTGAAGTTCTGAAAACAGCACTAGCAACGTCGATAACGCAAATTTTCGGTGATACAAACACCGATGGCCTGAAATTTCAGCAAGACAACGCCACTTGCCACAAGTCCGCGCATACCATGAAGTGGTTTGCTGAAAATCATATTGATCTTTTGGACTGGCCACCACAATCACCAGACCTCAACCCGATTGAGCATATTTGGTCCATTTTAAAGAAAAATATCCGCAGGCACTCGATTAGCAATAAACAAGCTCTATTGGCCGCGTTACAGCAGGAATGGAAAAATATATCAAGAGAAGAATGTTTCAGGCTGGTAGAGTCAATGCCAAAAAGAGTGGCTGCGGTTATTAAGTCAAAAGGTGGACCTACAAAATATTAATTATTTTCTTAAAATAAACCATTGTAATCATAAATGCAGTTTTATTTACACTCGCTATGCTAAAACACCCTAAAACTTGTCTTACTGTAGGGTGCCTAATACTTTTGCCCGTGGCTGTATATAATATTCTGTCATTCAGTTGTAAGGTAGGAAAAACATATATTACAATTTTATTATACTTTTATTGAATAAATACACTAATATTCCTTCATTGTTCCAAGTTTATTCATTTCATTCATTTTCATTCAAACAATTGCCAGCTTCACACTGTCCTCAATTTCCAGTCAATTGTTTTTAATATGATAATCTCGATTTTAATATATTTATTTTCTGTTTGTATGAATATTAATGATATAATTTTGTTCAATCATTGAAAATGTTTCAATTCAAAAGATTTTTTTTATTGTGACCTTTATTTCTGCCAGATACCATATTAATCATACAATAATGGACAAACAATTATAATGTTATTGCACTGCTTTCTATTATTTGAAAAATTGTTTATAGAAAAAGTTGCAATTTAAATATTAATTTTTACTAATATTATAAAGCTGAAGAGTTTGTTTGTTTGTTTGAAAGCGCTAATCTCCGAAACTACTGGTTCGAATTGAATAATTCTTTTTGTGTTGGATAGTCCAGTTATCGAGGAAGGCTTTGGAATATATAACATCACGCTACGACCAATAGGAGCAAAGATATAGTGGTAAATATGTAAAAAACGGGAGAAATTATTTCATCTTTGAAGCCTTCCGTTGCGTGCGCCGTGAAAACGGTTCAAGATACACAAAAAATATGTATTAAAGAATAATAGCTCTTTCAATGATCTAAAAAACAGTCCGGGACAGTATATGTCTATCTTTTAAGATTAACTTATAAAAACCGTTTTTATGGTACCTAATTTGGTCGAAATAATTTGTTTAAGTTGTATCAGCATAATAATATTAATCTTTATTCAAATAAACAAATAAATATATTGTTGGTTAAGAGTACTTCATTGTGAATAAAAAAAAACGTAGGTTTTATCCTGAAAATTCTACGGGAACTCGACCATTCCGAAAACCCCCCAAGAACGGGAACTATGTGGGAAGAACCAAAAATCTGCCGGAAGTAGCGTTGCCAGGCGTCCGGATAAAGCCGGACATAGTTAGGCTTTTTGATTGCATGTCCGGTCAAAATAAACGGTGTCCGTCTTGTCCGGCTTTTGTTAGGCTTTTTACATTTCGGTTTTTACATGGATAACTTTAAAAGATGTTCCTGAGTGGAATCAAGTTTCCGATACTATAAGTATTCTCTCGCAAAACAACGTTAAAATCGACGATAGCAAATTTTTTGACCAACTACAAAATCTTAAAAGTTTTCTGAATACTAACAAATAGAACGTTGATTTCAAGAAGCTATTACTTATTAGCACATAAGAAATGAGTAGCCTATTTTAAATCGATGATAAGTCAAGATTGCTTTTCAAAATTCCTTACTATTTGTCAGTATTATTTTTCTATCCCAGGACATAACGCAAACGTTGAAAGAGTTTTTTCCTTGATAGAACGCAACAGATTACATGTTGATACTGTCTCCAAAATGTTGGTTGTAGAATTTAATTTAAAACATTTGACATGGAAGGATTTTTACAACTACATTTTGAAAGAAACTGAGCTCTTAAAGCAGGTTTCGACAAACCAAAAGTATTAATATTTATTTTTATTGTGTAACTCAAAGAGAAAATGTTTTTTTTTTGTTTTATATTTAAACTAAAAAAGAAGTTATTTATTTTTTTAGTAAAAAATTTTTTATTTGTTCATAAATGAATTTAAACTTATTATATAACTCAAAGGGAAAATGTTTTTGTTTGTTTTATATTTTAACTTAGAAGTTATTGATTTTTTCTAAGTTAAAAAATTATAATTTGTGGCTTTTTTATTATTTAAGAAAAATTCAAATATGTTGATAAATGTTTAATCTAGAATTTAGTTTCGTCTGATGACTATTTGACTGATTAATAATGAAGTACCTATCTAAGACTGATTTTTCATTCGATTTTATTTATTATTTCACTGGTAAATTTATGATAATAATCAAAAAGATTTGATTTTATATAAAAAAAAATTGTCGTACCTATTTATACTAAGACAAAATCCTAAATAATATAGACTATAGAGTGTCCGGCTTTTTTAACCAAATGTCTGGCCAAACTGGCTGGTCTGTCCGGCTATTAGGTTTGGCGACCTGGCAACGCTAGCCGGAAGTCACTATTCCATGCGGACGAAGTCGTGGCAAAAGCTAGTATTATTATATTCTACTTATTAGTATAGCCAGTAAAAATTAAAATAATAATAATATGGTTAGAATATATTGTTGGCAATTATCCTATTTAAATATTATTAAATAATTTCCTAGTACATAAAGACTAATTTTACCTGTAAGCTCTCTTGTAGTGTTTTAAGATCGGGCGATATATCCTCAGTCATATCATTTTCTCTTAAATATGTTAATACTACGTTGCAGCAATAAGTACACACCCTTAGACCACCGGCACAGCCGAAAATGTGACCTGAAATTAATAATGTACCCAGGATTAAAACATATTTATTCATATTTTGGATAATAATGATGAAAAAGTCAAATTTATTTATTAGTTTCAAAATCTTTAACTCTAGTTTTTCTTATTATCAAACATATTAATAATGACTCCAAAATATAGTTGTTATATCTATGTTATGTACAAAAATATACCATATTTTTCAGCTAAATTCTCTATATACTTAAGTGTATAAATATTGTATTATGAACCTGGGACTCTTTGGCTACAACAGCGTGAACAGAATATCTGTCCACACACGCGACAGTGATGCCTGCGTCTCAATGCGCTGAACCGAACAGCACACTCGTAACATTCACGGGATATATCGTCCGGCATCCAGTAGCGAGCGAGTTCAGTATCGGCGTAACGTGTTCCCGACTAAATAATAACAAACAAACTACTCTATTACTATGAAAGAAAGTCTATATATTAAGTTTCCAATATGAAAATTTAAGTCACATACCTTTGCGTAACCGCTTATACGATTAACTATGTTCTGCAGACTCCGTCCCTCACATTCAACAACGCTTGCTGTCTCTACTTTATTCTCTTCATAATCCTGCTTCTCAACATTATGGACCTCACTCTGCTTAGTCTCAATAGTTTTAACTTCACTATCACCAGTTTCACTTCCCGTAAATATCGGGAACTTCCATAATTTATTTAAAAAATTAGTAACTCCCCCTTGATTGGAATCACCCTCGAAACGGGGAAACTCAGTGAGCTGAGAAGTATCATATTTTTCCATATCCTTATGTTATGAGCGAAATTCTAATAAAATAAAGATATTTTATTTATTATGAATAACATACAATAAACATAACTGTAATCAGTCATCTGTAAGTCATTGTCATATTGACATTTATGCAATTAAATTCTTCAACAAATGTAAAGCTTGCGTTGGACTTGTCCATCCCACAATATTATTTATATGTTTTCATGTTATAAAATAAAATTTATTATTTTAAATAAAAATCTGATAATATTTTTTTTAAGTAAATTACTCTTGAGGCAAATAACTACAAAAACTCAATCTTTTTTTTCTAAATCCTAATAACAATACTAAAGTTTATTTTAATAATTTATTTTCGACATTATTTGATTTATTTCACTAACAGAGCATATAATATCATCAGAAAGGAGTTTCTTCTTACTTTTTTAAAAATTATTTTGTACATCAAGACTAAAACATTTGACTACAAACCAGAACTAGATAAAAAAATACATAAGTTTAATTATGACAGGACGGTATTGTCTAAGAAGTTAAGTGGATTCTCATTTGGGCTTGCTGCAATTATTGTTTTCCATATATTTAAATTAAAACAATTGCAAAGAATTTAAAAAATGGGTGAAGTTACTTTAGATACCGTTGCTTATGCTAAAATAATGCTGCACGCAGCAAGTTATCCACATTGTGCTGTTACTGGAGTGCTATTAGCCGATGGAAGTAAAATCCGAGATGGAGCAAAGTCCCAAGATCTAGATATTGTGGACGCTATTCCCTTGTTTCATCACAGTCACTATTTGTCTCCTATGGCAGAAGTAGCAATGACACAGGTTAAATATTACTAGAATTATCATGACATGTTAAGGCTCTTCAGTTTGTTATTTTCTTCAATAATTTTCTTTTGATTGCAGGTAGACGCATTGGCACAAGCCAATAATAGAGTAATAGCTGGCTATTACGCCGCATGTGAGAACTTCAGAGATAACACAGTAGAAAAATGTCCAGGTCAGAAAATTGCAGAGAAAATAGTGGAATTTTTCCCATCTGCTGTATTTGTTGTTGTAAGTGCAATAAAACTTATATGAAAGGCTTATAATATTTTATATTACTGTATTTATATTGTATATAAATAATAATTTGTACCTATTAACATATTTTACTAGGTTGATAACAAAAAGTTCAGACACCATTTGAGTAACCCAGCTATAAAACTACACAATTACAGTGAAGGCAAGTGGAAGGTCATGGATGATAATAAAGTTCTTTTCCGTAAGTTACAAATAACTCATATAATTCTTTTATCAGCAACACTTAAATAAGCCACTTCCAATTTTACTATAGTGAATTATAGTAAAGCTTATCACAATTATTACTAAAGCAATTTAAAATCATTACTACTATAATTGTTAAACTTGCTACTTTTCACTGTTTTGTATCTTTTTGTTTGTTAGAGTCAGTAACAGATATTTATTCCAATTTCATAAGATAACTCTGCATGAAGAAACAAATGCAATATTTCTTTTTTCTTTAAAAAAAAACTATTATTTTCTTTGAATACTTAAATGAGGATATTGAGTTTAATTTATTACAAAAGTGATATTTGGGTCATTTGTCATAATAATGAATATTTTATGGTAACTATAAAACATTGTATAAATCAAATTAGATTAAATGCAACCTCTTGAAAGTAAATAATTTAACTTCTGTATATACACAATTTTATTATGTGTAACTCTCTCTCACTGAGTTTGCTTTTAAGGTGTCACGTCACTTGGCGTTGCGTATTCGCCGCATTTGACCAAATATTCGTACATAGTCTAAAAATCGCAAACACGACATCCACACTTGGCATGCCAACACGTCTTTAATCATTTTTGCTTATTTGTGAATGTGTCTTATTTGTGCAAATATGTCAAATGAAGACGAACAAATCCTCCACACATGGTCTTATTGTGCCAAACACAAGATAAACGCCAAGTGAAGTGCCACCTTTATAACAAATCAACTATTGATTAAACATTATTATTACAGAAACACCATATGTTTTGGAGACTGTGTCATTATTACTGCACAAGGGAGTCCAAAAAGATTTGGTAGATTTTGACAATTATTTGGATGATATATCTCAGGATTGGACAAATCTTGGTATCGAAAAACTGATTGCAAGTATAAATGCTTCAAATTCTATAGATTTTAAGAATGACTAAGACCTAGTTAACATTTTTATGATTATTCTATGTAAGTAAATAAATATTTAGTTAATTCAATGTGTTTCTAAGAATCCGTTAAGTTTTGTATTTACAAAAAATTCAATATTTAAAATAATTTTTCACTCAGTTTTCTATACTTTAAATTTGTTTGTACAATTAAATCCTATAGTTATTTCTGATTTTATCACACCAATGTGAAAATGATTAAAATAAGGAAACATTGTTTTCTTAAAAAAATAACACAAATGAAAGTTATTAAGAAAATTAAGGGAATTTCATTATGTTAAAAATATATCTTTATATTCTTATTTATATAAAAGTTGTTTTGGGTAATAGATATTCATCATACACTTTCAGTTATTTCTGAGAGTTAAATTATTATGAATTGTTTGACTATTGTGAGGTGAAATGGTATACATGTATTTTATTATTTAATCATATATTATTAAAATATTCCTCAATTATTTTGGTACATTTATTGAAGCTACCAAGATCACTAGCCTTCCCTTGAAACTTTCCATTCTTGAAAGCACCTTTGCCTTTCAATATGTCCATTATTCTGAAAAACAGTAATAAATTTCAACATCTGTATTAACATATACAGGGTGACTGGTGAATTACTATCAATATTTAAGGAGAATACTCGGTACATGATTCTCATTCGAATTATGTAAAAATAATAGGCACTTAATTTTTGACAAAATTTCCGTATAAATAAATAAAGTGTTGACACGTTCCAAGTGTTAAAGTGTGGACGCGTGCGGCGGCGTGTTGATACAACACTACGTCACGACACGCGTATGTGTGAGTGTGAGTGTATACCTAATCTGTAGGGTGCTCACACGATGCGTAATTAATTACACAACTTTTGGTTGACTTTCCTTAGAAGTTTAGTAATATTTATGTTATATTAATTTTTATTTTGTCATATATGATCGTCAAATATCACGTCGTCAAATATCACGTCCTCAAATATCGATAGTAATTCACCAGTCACCCTGTATTGTGAAATTTTTATTGAGAAAGAAATATTTCTTTCTTAATTAAAATTTCAATAGCAATATGCTTCTATATTATTGTTTTCACATAAATAACTATCTAGTTCTGCTGTACTGCACTGGCAATGGTCTTTTCACACACTTAATAAAATAATGTGAATTGGTAATTCTCTTCAGATTTGCCTAACTGATAAAAAATTTTGTGGTGGAAGTGAATAATGTATGAAAACACCTGGAACACTTGATGAACAATTGAGAAATGATTTAAATAGTAATTTATTATTTTGCAATTAAATAAAAATTATGATGCATATTTTTAGGATGTAAAAGTGTATTATACATTATGTTAATAATTTTAACTCCACTTACTGTTGTCCCAAAGCATTACAATGTATTTCTGGACCTTGTAAATATATTTGCCCCTCCTTCGCCTTGTCAGGGTCTTCAGATGCTAATAATATAAATATATTTTCTGTTTCAAGACCCTTACATATAATTCTATTAAATTCTGGTGTACTCTCTTTTTTGAACAAACAGAAATACTTTGGCTTGGGTTCACTGTTCCTTATTTTATCAATTTCACACTGTGCTAATTCCGCCAATACATTTTGTAGATTCTTATTAATTAATTTCAAGTTTTTCTGCATTTTTGATACAAGCTCTTCATGTTTGCTGGGTTCATTTCTAATAAAATAAACGTGTATTTATTATTTTAAGTTTTATATCAACATATTATTAATTTTATTATCGATTATGCTTACTTTAGTAGTGCTGTCAGAGCTTTTTCTCTATCTAACATTTTCTGGAATGTCTTAAGAACTCTATTGCCTACAATAAATCTTAGATTCGTCTTTCCTTTTTTTCCTGGTTCCATGCCTAAGAATTTTATCATCTGGAGCTGGCTAAAATATAATGATATATGTTGCATTCATTTCCTATAGATATTAGATCATTTATATATAAAATTAATATTAATGAACCTTAAATTAGTAACATGTGTCCCACAGCACATGTTTTCATCAATATCTCCGATACATATGACTCTAATGGTGTCGATGCAATCTTTAGGTAGACCTCGTGTGTGTGCCTGAAAGATTAAAAGGTTTTAGTACATTTATATACAGATAATTATAGAATATGAACATGTTATATAGAATTAATTGAATATCAATGCTTTTTTGAGCAACAAAACCAGTAAGAAACAAATTTTTATACTAAATTTATAAGGAATTGTGCAAATGGTTTGGACAAACTAAGAAAACTAGAGGCCTATGAAAGAGTTTATATAAATACAATTGTAGAACTATCAGAATAAAAGTAATGGGATACATTCTTCAAAATTTTTCATTATACAGCGTGTTCTAAAAACTGTCCTCCCTTAAAGGCATGTATACATATAAGTATAAGCTTATTAAAAAAATAGTATAACTTAAAAAATATCAAGCAGAGATCAGTTTCAATGCATAGGCTAAATAAGTTTTAAATCGACATTATTTGAAAAAACGATTCAAACATAGTCGCGTCGGCGCACGCACGGCCATTCATCACATGCACCGGGGCGCCGGCGTTGTTATTATTATTTTGTTAGTTTTTCGAACAGAGATTTGCAAGTTTAAAAACTAGGTATATCAATAAATATTCTACCGCTATTTTCAATATTGCTATAAATAGTTATGCTTTTCAAATTATAATTATTTCATTTAAAATAACTTTTATGAATAATAAATATTATTAATCAATATTATAATTTAGAACTTCTTTAGGTAAATTAACTATGTTGTATTATTAGGATAAATCGTTAATCTACTTCTTTTAAAAACTATGTTGTACAATCAAAATAATATTAATGTTTGATATATCAAAAATAAGTATGGAAATAATATGAATCTTCTTCTATATATATAAAAATGGATTGCTGTTCCTTAGTCTCTCTAAAACTTGAGAACGGCTGAACAGATTTATCTTATTTTAGTCTTGAAATGTTCGTGGAGGTTCAGGGAAGGTTTAAAAGGTGAGAAAAATTGATTCATTTTCGGGAAAACCATAAAAACAGCCCTTTTCTATTTCCCATACAAATGTTTTCTTTGACATTAGATTTGGCAACTAACTAATATGTCAATCATTCTGTTCGATTGAAACAGGAAAAACCTGATTATTTATGGCCTCTAGGACGGAATAGAGTTCGCCCGGTCAGCTATACATATATTACTAATGATGAAATTAACGCGGACGAAGTCGCGGGCAAAAACTTGTATTAAATATTTATTTTATTATGATTTTTTAAATATCGATATTTTCATTTATCGATATTTTATATTCGAGCCTATGCCGCCCTTTTAATAAAAAAAACTGTATTAGTTGGTTCCTCGTGGAAATTTCTTCCGAGTGGATTACTTTTTGTTTACGGTTTTATAAAATTGTGTTGTTTTATAAAATGAACTCCAACCAGGAATATTTCAATATGTTTATGTGTCTAGGGAAATGTGATAGTAATTATGTCGAATCGCATAGACTTTATGACGAACTGTTTGCTTCTCCAAGAAACCTACCATTACCGTCACTTAAGGCATTTCAGCGTCTTCATATACGCATGTACAATTTCGGAAATGTCGATGGCCGTGAACAACAACGTGCTAATGCGGGAAGGCCGAGGGTTAATAATGACGATCTAGAGGAACAAACATTATATATTTTTCGACAGCACCCTACGCAAAGCACGCGCTCGGTGGGACATCAACTCGGTGTCAACCATACGCGTGTATGGAAAGTTTTAAAGGAAAATGGACAGCACCCGTACCTACCATTATCGTCGAGTACAGTTATTAATTCCTACCGACTTCGAGCCTAGAATGGCGTTCTGCAGATGGATTTTAAACGAAAACGATGAAGACTGAATTCTCGAGCCGTATACTTTTTAGTGACGAGTGTACTTTTGCTGGAACAGGCGTTATTTAACAAGTATGGCCCTCTTTTTTACCCCAGTCTATGAGTGGTGACAGTTATCTTTCCTTCCTGCGAGAACAACTAAGCCAGCCAGCTTGATAATTTAAACTTAGATCTTTTACACTGTATGTACAATATATATATGACAAATATCATATATACAGCTGCGTGCAAAAGTATTAGGCACCCCTGTTGTTAGTCACTATCTCATTATATTGCGGTCAAGTCTGTGTTTTATGGTTTAGCTATTGTATTAGCGGCAATTTTTAACCAAATTAAGATAAAAGAAAATATTTATGACATCCAGGTGTGCTCCTAAGCGGTGTTTCTTCGAATTTGCTTTTTTTGCGTTTCGGGTTATAGTGTGTTATCAGTGCTTGCAGTGAACATACACGTCTTCTACGCAACTATTCCTATCACAATTCTAAAGACTAACATTTAACGTGTTAATCATGCCGAAAAAATCTGAACTTAGTGCTGAACAGCGTCTAAGAATTAAGATTTTACATGAACAAGGCATGTCTCAGGTTAAAATAGCCCGAGAAGTGAAGTGCTCGCGATGTGCAGTTCAATATGCTATAAATCGCTTCAAAGAGACTGGCACCCATGAAAATAGACCAAGAACAGGCAGAAGAAAAGTTACCACTGAACGGGAAGATCGATTGTTGATTAGGCAGTCTCTACAAAACAGGAAAAAAACTGCTTTAGAGCTCGCTGCAGCATTATCTGAGGCAAAAGGCAGCTCAGTGAGTGTTTATACTGTGAGAAGAAGACTTCTTAAAGCTGGATTAAAAGGATGTAAAGCAAGGAAGAAGCCGTGGCTGTCAGAACACAATAAGAAAAATCGGTTGGAGTGGGCACTCAAACATAGAGATTGGTCAGTGGAAGATTGGTCCAACATACTGTGGTCAGACGAATCTAACTTTGAGGTATTGTTATTTATTTTATGTACAATATTAAAACACATAAATGTTTTTTAAATAACGTACTGCAAGAAAAATAATAACTTTGAAAATAAATGTGTTTTTTTCCTTTGGCATAGGTGTTTGGAACACCCGGTGTGACTTATGTTAGGCGAAGGGTTGGCGAAGAATACAACCCAGAATGTGTGGTTCCCACTGTTAAGCATGGTGGAGGCTCAATAATGATCTGGGGCTGCATGGCTGCCGACGGAGTGGGCGAGATGGTGTTGTGTGAGGGACGAATGAATAGTGTTAAATACACTGAAGTTCTGGAAACAGCACTAGCAACGTCGATAACGCAAATTTTCGGTGATACAAACACCGATGGCCTGAAATTTCAGCAAGACAACGCCACTTGCCACAAGTCCGCGCATACCATGAAGTGGTTTGCTGAAAATCATATTGATCTTTTGGACTGGCCACCACAATCTCCAGACCTCAACCCGATTGAAAATATTTGGTCCATTTTAAAGAAAAATATCCGCAGGCACTCGATTAGCAATAAACAAGCTCTATTGGCCGCGTTACAGCAGGAATGGAAAAATATATCAAGAGAAGAATGTTTCAGGCTGGTAGAGTCAATGCCAAAAAGAGTGGCTGCGGTTATTAAGTCAAAAGGTGGACCTACAAAATATTAATTATTTTCTTAAAATAAACTATTGTAATCATAAATGCAGTTTTATTTACACTCGATATGCTAAAACACCCTAAAACTTGTCTTACTGTAGGGTGCCTAATACTTTTGCCCGTGGCTGTAGTTTATTTTGTAAATATCTATGTAGGTACTTGCAAACAAATAATTTGTCAATAAAAGAAATTGTATATGCATAAAAACAGACCTCATTTAAAGCGGGATCATTCGCTTTGAAAAATTTTACATTAACAGAAATTCCTTCACTAATAAGTTTGTTACATCTTTCTTCTGCCGTTTTTATGTCTTCATATTTGACAGTAGTTGAATCGAGTTCCACAAAACATTCCTCGGCTCCCAACCACCAGCTTGTTGTCGGTAGATTGTGTTCTTTCTCAAGAATCGCTGATAAGAGATGCTGTCCTGATAAGATATTAAAGGTCTAAGAGCTTTGACAACACATTCCATAATTACATGAAAACTTTTTGATGACACTATGAAGGTTTTTAAGATAAGTCTTTTATTTCATAAAATTAATTTGGATATTATATAAGATTCTGTCAAATTGTTATAATCATTGATATTATAAGATCTTATTAAATAATAGATTTTTTCACTATGATATTTGATTTCAATTAATTTAACAATGATTGTCATCAGCCCTCCCAGAGCCCATGGCCGAGCAAAGGCATCTTTCTCACATGGAAAAGGTTAATAATGAGTACAAATAAATATTATCTGAAAATAAAATCTAATTTTATGATTAAGATTATATATATAGCATTAAGATGAGCAAGATTTGAAATTGCAAACTATGAAATATATCATTTTGGTTTCTTTATTTATTATTAAACCATGCATACAAAGTAATTATTTTGAGATGTCTATATTCATGTTATGTATTATTTATACTTCCTCTATATTGTTATAATAATATGATGTCAAGTGTAATGTAGGTATATCACTTTATTATATTAGTTTCTGTCATTCAGTGTTGATACTTAGCACAATACATACATAACAAATTTAATATAGTTTTATTGAATACTACAATTCACCTGTATGTTGCTGCATATGATCAAATCTTCTTTGCCAATCAATCCTCTGTACTACCTCCGATCCTTCAATTATAGGTTCGAGTGTGAAGTGAAGAGCTTCATCACCTTTACGTAACACTTGGAGCACTTCTGTGTCATTCAACCACCCCTTATCATGAGGCTGGGAACAGATTTGATGAGTAAATTATATAGAGGTCTTATGTTATACCAATATATGGTGTCAATGTACACGTTTTGACTGTATTTCATGTGTTTTTTTGAATTTGTACTGGTAAATGTATTGATAGGTATTAATGATAAAATAATATATTTCCCAAGTTTAAAATCAAAATATTCATTTATTCATGAGAAAGTACTATTCACAGTACTATCTTGTTGGTGTTTATATTATTTCTAAATAATACTAGTTATTACCTGGCCGCCTCCTGCTGGAAATAGTATTGTATTCTCCAATGTAATTTGATATCCATCAAATTTTGAAACTTTTCCATATTCAACAATCGGTTCTTTTGTTTTCTCACACTTCAAGACTTTAGAAGTATACTGTTAATAATAATATAAAAGAAATAAAAATATGTTTAAGGCGGCCAACTTTCCGAAAGCTGAATGACGTTACCTTTCGTGAATGGCGGGGGGGGGGGGGCTAGGGATTGTGAATGTCATAAAAATCTTCGCAACTGTCCATATTAAATTTAAGTACTCTCTTACGCGTCATGAGTTCAGAAGAAAGAAAGAAAACGAGATTATCGCGTGCGCGATACGCTTGTCCCTATTATAGGTAATCTGTGTTCCTACACTGTTGGCCGTGGTATGGGTGTCGTAGAAAAATAGGGATGCGGGACGCATACTACGTTTTGCGGGACTATTTTACGAATAATTTCAAAGCGGGACTTCGTCTAGAATTGCGGGACGGTTGGCCGCCTTATGTTTGTTTTATAAAAAACAATGTACATATTATTGTTCAATATTACTAGGAATTTTCGTAGCAGTTTACATAATAAGATAATATACAAATTACAATTTCATTTTCAGTTTTATTATTATATATTATTAGTTCCACTAATAACCTCTGCTAAAACTCATAATAAACTAACTCGTTTACAAGTTACGTATTGATAAATAATTAGTTTTTATTATTTATATTTTCTAATTTTCTGTTAAAAACATTTCTATTATTGGCTTACCTCAGTAAGAAAACTGTCCTCCTGACATTTAAATACCATTTTTTCCTTAAAATGTAACCTATATTTTTTTACTGAAAACTCAAACTCCTGAGTTTTATAACAATAAGAAATATTATTTAAAAAAGGTCTCCGAATTACTTATATTTAAAAATATTAAAAAATAGGAACCAACTATTATGACTTCGTATTTAGTGTTGCCATTAGTAGAATTAATAATAAGTATAGGAGTCGGAGAAAACTTTGTCGAAGAGAAGTGTGGTAAATTATCAATATAAATAAGTTAACAAAATCTTTTAATTTGTTATCTATTACAAAGAAACAAAGTCCAGTTGTATACATATTTTAATAGACTCGTCGGCATAAACAGTTTTCTTTTTTGACGAATGAAAATTGGTGTTTTTCCTTCAATGGCTATGTTGCATTAGTTAAATAAAGGGGAAATGATTAGGATTCAGTCTAAAGTAAAAAAAATGTGTATAATATTTATATTTTAAGTTATATTACAATGTGTAAACTAATTTGATGTTTTATTTTGTGAATAATCCTTTAGTGACTGATCCAAAACCGATATAGCGTAATCTACATCCATCTTATTTATGCACATGGGTGGTTTAATCCTAAGAACCTGTGAAATACGTTTTATTATAATTATAGTAATATTAATTATATTTTTTTATTTTAATCGACTTACATTACTCCAACGCCCGCCCCGTCCGATCAAAACTCCCAAGTCCTTTATGCATTCCATGATGTCGCTTACATTATTTTTGTCTAACGGTTTCTTAGTGCCAGGTTCAACCAATTCTATTCCTAACATGAGCCCCTTACCGCGGACATCACCTATCACAGCATGTTGCTTTTGTAATTGCATTAGCTGTTCGATAAAATATTTTCCTGTATCTTTACAGTTTTGTTGAAGATTTTCTTCTTCGATTACCTGAATATAACAAATTTGTGTTCAATTTTATAGTTCTTTTATATAACCGGTACTTTCAAAAAGTTACGGTTTTTTGGTTTATGAGTAAAATATCGAATAATAAATCTGTTCTACCTCCAACACGGCCTTTCCAACTGTAGCCGCCATTGGATTTCCCCCAAACGTATTAAAATAGGCAGCTCTCGTGTGAGCTTCAGCAATCTCTTTCCTAGTAACGACTGCTGCCATCGGGAATCCATTACCAATTCCTTTCGCCATGGTGACTATATCGGGAACTACATCGTGATTTTCAAATCCCCAAAACGCATCCCCGGTCCTACCGAAACCTGTTTGTACCTTAAATATTTGAAGAAACATTCAAACTTCCATATCATATCCATTATATATGAAGGTATTATAAGTATAAGTGTACCTCATCAGCGACAAATAGGCCTCCCTTGCTTCTAATCAGCTCAGCGGCTTGTTTGAGGTAGCCTCGCGTGAACTGTACGGTCCCATTAACGCCCTGCACGGACTCCGCAAACAACGCGGCCACGCGACCCGCTGGTATTGAATTATCTATAAGCTGTGTAGTGTGTTCCAAATTTAAATAAATTCAAAAGGATTTTCTCTAGTGATGTTTAATTTAAGAAGTGGTTTCTGATTGGTTAAAATAAATTTACCGATTTTTGTATTCAACTACACCTTTATAGCTTCTTTTAAAATATTTATTTAAATTTGATATTATTATTACTTCAATTTTTTTTTCATTGAGCTCTTATATTACAGCCATATTTGTTGCTGTTTGGATACATATTGAAAATGAAGGGAAATAAGAAGTTATTTTGTATCAAACGAACTATTAATGTATTATCACCTCAGATAGTTGGTGTACATATTTCTGTGACGTCACACAGTCACCGATACACGAACATGAGCCAGCCACTTGTGACAAGGAGTCCCTGCATCCGCCCCAGATACCTCGGTACGGGTCCGGCAATAAAGCCTGAGTTATACTCAATATAAATTCATTATGTATATTCATAGGTATTATAAGCAATTCTTTTGAAATGTTTAACACAACACAATTTATGCCAGACTAATTTTTGAACGCAACTTCGTCTGCGTTAGTTTCAGGATAACGAACTCTGTTCTTCCTTAAAAGCAGTTAATAAGAACGTTTTGGATTTTTTCAACTAATTTTTTTTCGATCGAATAATAAATCCCATGTCTTTTCCAGGTTCTAAGCTATCTCTCCACCAAATTTCAGTCAAACCCGTCCAGCCGTTCTTGAAATATAAATAGTGTAACTAACACGACTTTCTTTTATATGTATATAAAAATATACGATACGATTTATGCTAACTCAATAATCCCCCGCCCACAGTTATGGAAGGTTTTAAAAATTCTTTAGTTCGTCATCACTACGTGACTATCGCGTTCAGGACCTGTAGGTCAGGGCTGAATTAATCACCAGGTCATTGACCCGCCTGTCGCGATGACAATACTCTGTGTGACGTAAATAATTAAAAAAAAATGAAACTAATATTTTTCGGATTATACTACGCGACTTTAATTACGTAAAAAATTACATACTCCCGACGTTTAGGCTACTTTTCAACAACCGTGATAACGGGCAGACGAGATGTGATGTGATCACGGTTGCTGAAAAATAGCCGAAAAGATAGGAGGATATAGTTTTTTACGAAAAGAACGTCGTGTAATATAATCCGAATAATATTAGTTTCATTTAAATGAACAAAACTCGCGAAAATCATAGATCTCTTTAAATGAAACATATATTACATGATGAAAACCAGCCGGTACGGAGAGCGGCATGCGGTAAGCCTGTGTAGCTGTGAGCGCCATTATCGTGCTGGAGTAGCCGTGGTAACAGCTTTGGAGGGAAATGACGTCCTCATGGCCGGTGAACGCACGCGCCAATAAAATCGCCAGATCATTGGCTTCCGTTCCACTATTTACTAAGTACACTGTCTGGTGATTAAATTATTTTTTTAATTAAAAAAAACCGCCAAATCAACTGTCAAAATTAAGGTTATACAGTTCAGAAATTCAATCAGGTATTTTCACTAATATATTTCGTACACACCTTTAAGTCTCCTGGGAATTTAGAAATAAGTTTTTCCACGTATTCATATATTTTTGGATGTCTGTATATATTCGTTGTGTGCCACAATGTGTTAATTTGTTCGTGTAAAGCAGCGGTAACTTTTCTAAAAATAAATTATATAATTAGAAATACATTTAAAACGACGGTAAAGTAAGCAAAAGAGATTTTTCTTCCATTTATTATGCCGTTGCAAGTAATTGTAGTTTATTCAAATAAGGGCCTATTTTGTTTTAATCCGTGTTTAGCCGTATTTCGTTTGTGCTTACATAAAAACGCCTTCAAAGCTTTACTGCATTTCTTACTTTCATTTATCCACTTCAGCTTTACTTCTTTAAAATATAACTGTGATATAATGCTAAAAGACAGTGATGAATTACATTGTAAATAACATATCATCTGGAAAACAAATAGAAGATGACTTTAATTTTCTTACGGGTGGCAATGTCCAACGGAAACTGTAACAATTCCTCCGAAAAGATCCAAATATCGCCGACCTTCGTGGTCAAACAACCACTGCATACGACCCTGATGCAGCACCAATGGCTTCCTATATATATTGTGCACTGCGGGAGGGATGTGATTCGCTTTTATTTCATCAGTTCTTTGTAGTGATGGGCCCTAAGATAAGAAATATATTTTTTGAATCGTAAACAAGGCAACATGGATTTCTAAACAGCCAATTACATGTTACTATAACAATTATTCTGTAAACAACCAAAATATTTAACTTACCGTATATGGTTTTGGTGTAAAATCATATTTGGGTAACGTAGCTACGTTTCGCCTGAAGATTGAGTTATGGCAATGTCTTACAACTGTAACAAACAAACTATATTATAAATATATAACATAAAAAGCTTACATTGAAATATTCGTTAATCTCTTAAATGAAACTAATATTTTCGGATTCACTACACAATATTACGCGAATCACGTAGTAAATCCGAAAAAATATTAGGTAGTTTCATTTAAATGAATATTCGCGAAAATCTTATTATTCTACTACAACATATATTTATATCGAAATAAAAGTTACATATATTCGCCATAATGTAAGCCGACAGTCGAACGACAGAAACGCAACTGAAATTATTTTGAATAATAAAACATGACCGTTGACTTCAAACGTATTAAATACTATATTATACGCCGTACACACCGGTTCATATTTGAATAGAATTACAATAATTCATTTACGTTTGCTATTATACAACATTTTTAAAACAAAGGTTTCAAAGCTATTTTAATTTGGATCACAATTAAATTATTCATGACGTAAAATATAATAATTCCGTTAATTTGGTTTGAGCCTTAAATCTGTCACCGATTATTAAAAAAAATAAATAGATCGCAACAATTTAAAACATAAGTACAACTCTATTACACATGTACACATTACTTTATCTTATTTTTAAATTGTAAATGTAATCGGCTTATTGAGATCGTATTTATCTTTACGTATGTTTGTTTACTTTAAAAATAAATTTATTTTATTATTTATAAATATTGTAATCAGTTTTTTTAAGAACAATAACTTATTTTTATGACTTGTTTAATGTATTTTATTTTTGTGTCAAGTAAGAACAAATTGTGAAAACCCTTTATTGGATGATACCTATATTTAAGAGTTTACATAGCTGTATTAACACATACTATCTGCCTCCTAACATATACTATTTTCGCTAAATACCTTGTAGATTAAAAAATTATAAAGTTTTTCATCGCTTCGATAATACATTTCTGTTCGATTGTAAAATTATGTTTCATGATTTATTTATGTCCGTATCGGCCATTAGAAAACTATTATGTTTTAAATCCAAAATTTTATGATTATATAAGTAGGCATTTAAATAAAACGAATATTTTCCCGATACGCCACTTTATTTTTGTAAAAAACTATAACCTCCCTACTATTCAGCAAACTGTGATGATGAGTGATCACGGTTGCTGAAAAGTAGCCGAAACTTTTTGCCTAAAAATGTCATTAATATCAATTCAAATTAATTTTTTTAAAAAACTAACATTTTCGAAAAGTATGTACTTTTAAATAAGTAATTTTTTTATCTTACTTTGTAAATTAATTATCACTGATAGGATTCTATAAGAGTTATCGCATTTTTAACATTCTATTATAAATAAAAGGGTTTATTTATAATCATTTAGACAAATAAACAAACTTTTAATGGATTGAGATAAAACTGTAAGAAATAAACATTAAATCCATAAATTCAAAACAGTAAATTTCAATAATTAACAGTTTTATTGTCCCTTATCTAAAATTAAAAAGCTTTCTATGAAAAATTAAAACGATATCAGCTGAAAAGTGACACAAATATTAACGCTTAATATTTAAAATATTGTTTGTAACGTTAATTTCGTGATCGGAAAATTGAAATGGTATCAAGAAATTAATAGTAGACAACATTATATATTTTGAACTTGAACTGCACATTGCAGTACTAATTACTTAATAAAACAATACTTAAGACGATATACGCTTGTTAAAAAATGTCATGATATTTATTAAATCACTCAAAAAAACATAAATATCATGGAGTACTTGCAACATTATATGAAAATATTAATCCTAATCATTCGGTTTATGCGAACCGAAGAAACTTATATAAAGAACCTTTGACATTATTTTTATACGGAGGCCAGTTATCGTACAACATGCGATAGATTGCATTAAAATTTGAGGCAATGTAATAATAGCTTCACTTTAAAAAATATAATAAAATTACTTACCTCTATAAAGAAATATTTATACAAATGATTTCTATTAGTTTAATCACTATGAACTTAACATTAATTTAAGTAATTTAAGAGTTATTAAAACTTGTTTATAAATAACCGGTAAATATCGATTATCGGAACTTAAAGAAAATAAACCCTACTGGTGCGTCACTAGTGACAAGGTTACTTCCACGTCAATCGAGTTGGAAATAAAATTGGCATTGGTGAGATTGAGTGTACGCGGTGGTGGCTGTATTGTATCGAATGAAGTGAATGGTCGGTCACTTCAATATATCATTTACATTTTAGACAAAAATAAGTTAACATAATAATAATCAAAATGAAACTATTTTTTATTACGTTATTGGTTCTACCGGCGCTGCTCTGCTTCCAAAGCTGTAAGTATTTTACCGTTTTATAGAAAGTGTCACGTACGTGGCATAGCTTTTCAGTGATATTTAAAAGAAAGTACCTATTAATACCTCCTGTACGAAGAGATGTGAGGTGTAAATGACGCATGATATCTATATAACGTATAAATTACTTGTATTTTATTCATAAAATTTAGTTTGTTCTCCTATGCACTTCCATCGTAAATCGTAATCTACAAATTGTAAAATGAAACATCATTTATTACTTCTACTAATGTTACGTAAATTGTACTGTTATAATTAAAAATAACGATGATAATGACGAAAAGAATCTTCAATAATACTACAAAACCTTTCTATCCATCTGCTTACATAAAGCTGAATACCAGTTACTTTTACTTTGTTTTATTTATGTTAAGTTAAATTGTAATAATTCTTTATATTATTACAAAGGCATGATATATTTATTCAAAGCCATCTATAGTTAATGCATTTCTCTTTACCATAATTTTATTGTGTACTTTCAAAACTGATAACATTATGAGCTCTCAATGAATAATTTCTTCGTTTCAGCGAGCACAATATTTGCCAGAGCAGATGAGGATGAACTCGATGATGTAGTTGACATTGAGGGTGAAGACAACCAGGTGGTGGGTGACGATGCTCTTGGTGACGATGATGACTCGATCGTTAAATCATCACAAGATGTTGACACAACTATACTGTTCATGAAACCCATCACCAGTTATGGTGATGTGGCATTCGGTAAGATTATTCAACACATAATGTAAAATTATTTCAATATTTTTTAATAAAGTTGATATTAAACAGTAGATTTATGACCTATGCAATTATTTAATAATATTTCTAACTCCTCGTAATTGTCTGAAGTATGAATACATCATTAGTAATTACTACATTTTAATATATTCTCATACTATTTATTCGATTTCAGACCTTCAAGCCGGCTACCCTGTTGAGTTCCTCGTTGGCTTCATCAACAAGGGCTCAGAAGACTACATAGTTGAGACTATGGAAGCATCCTTCCGTTATCCCATGGACTACAACTATTATATTCAGAATTTCACTGCACTACCATACTACAGAGAGGTCAAGCCTAAACAAGAGGCTACATTCGCTTACTCATTTATCCCTAACGAAGCTTACGCCGGACGTCCCTTCGGACTTAACATTCAGCTGAACTATAGAGATGCCAGCGGTAACTATTATCAGGTATGATATGGAATCAATTATTCTTTTCTAATTAAAAAAATTCATTGATATTAAATTTTACAAGTACAGTGTAAACTCCATATAACGACACTCGATTTAACGACAAACTCTCTAAAGCGTCGAAATCATTTGACTTTGGTTGGTTTATCTTGTCTACCATACAATGATACACTCTATATAGCGCCACAGCCACTCTCAATAACGACAAAATTAAGTAATAAAAAGTACCCTTTAAGTTGCTAAAATTAGTAAAAAATGCGCAGCTGTGTACGTTTTTTGTCGCTTTGTTATCCTAGCCCGCAATAAACTCCACTGTCGTAATCATGCATACCAAACTTTCTAAGAAATTCGTTCTTCACCAATATGCCTCAATATCGCAAGATATGAATAAAATACGTAAAAAATACAACAACATTACTGGTGCAGCAAAACACGTCAAACAAAAACAACAGACTTTATAACATTCTTTTTTATGTACATAAGTACTAACACTAGTCTGAAACAAACTTTGTCTTTTTCTAATTCTGATTTTTCTTCCCTCTATTTAACGGCAACTCTCTATAACGCACTAAAATGCACGGTCCCTTCAGTGTCGTTATATAGAGTTTACACTGTAGTTGCTATATAGTATACATATTTACTACCTTTCCGCCCGCAGCTTCGCCCGCGTGGAATTAAGTTATATCGCGATTCCAAGAGAACCTTCAGAAGTCTGGGATAAAAACTATCCTATGTCCTTTCTCAAGGTCAACTCCATCTCTATACCAAATTTCATTAAAATCAGTTCAGTGGTTTAGGGGTGAAAGCCTAACAGACATACAGACAGAATTACTTGCGCATGTATGATATTAGTAAGATGTAATTCATTTATTATTTTTATATCACAGGAAGCAGTATACAACCAGACAATCAACATTGTTGAAGTATCTGAAGGTCTTGATGGAGAGACATTCTTCTTGTATGTGTTCCTCGGTGCAGCTTGTGTATTGACCTTAGTTCTCGGACAGCAAGCATTATCTTCACTTGCAAGACGGTCGAGGTCCCCACGATCTGTGTCTAAACCCATTGAGACTGGAACGGCCACTAATGTTGACTATGACTGGCTGCCAAAGGATGTCGCTAACCAACTTAGTAAGTCAATACTTTCACTAAGAATATTTTAACTAGCTGTTGCTTGCAGCTTTGTTTATATATTAAATCACCTTTGATATAATGTGTCAGTATCCATATGAGAATTCAATTGATTTTTTGAAGTTTTATTTTGATTGATGCTCCCTAGATAACTGAAAATACCTCAGGACAATTTAATTAGCAATATTTTTAACTATAATTGAACCAATAATAGCATTAAAACATAAGAATCCAATAAAAAACTTGCTCTTTTTTTAAATCAGCCAAAACTTAGCCTAAAATGCTCTTTATGATCTTTAAGTGAAAGTCAACAAAATTGGTTAATGGTTTGAGATATCCAAAACACTTGGAAATGCAAAAAGTTTAAATGAATTTTTTATGCATTTATCATGTATTCTTTGTTAAGAAATGAATGCTTATGAATTCAGTGAGCAATATATATTTTTAAAATTACAAAAAGACGCGTCCCATTTCATTTACTCGTATTTCTGTTAATTATGTCAAGTCAAGTATCTGATAGTATATTAATATAATATTTTTTTCACAGAAAAATCACCCAAAACACCAAAACAATCACCACGCGCGAGGAAAGCGAAAAGATCTGCTGGCGATGATTAAGAAGTGGAGTTATTTAAGAACATCACACCCATATGTGTGAAGATGCAGTGTGTGATTGTGAATGCAACTAAAATAAGATTAAGTCTCATAGTTCTGACATTTTTTACAAACATCTATGGTTGAACATCAGCCTAATCTTATTTAAGTTGCGTTGAATTAAGACTGTGTGATTTTTAGTTGATGAGTAAGTTATGGAACAAAATGTGTGGACAGCCTTGTAATGTTTGCGTTGATGAGAAGACATAATTTAATTAAAACGTTAATTTTTTATTTTGTTTTATTTTGCCTTCCTTGTAGTAAAATGGTTATTAAGTGAGCGAGGGCTAATTTTGAGGACGAAACGCAATAATTATTATATTAGTCACCTGAAAATATGGGGCGCTTTTGTCCGGAAAGAGAGATGAGCTATTTAATAAAGAAAAGCAGATAATCCATGAACGAGCGAGGGTGGAAAAATCTAGCGAAAGGGATATTTACACATAACACGGCATTCTAATTTGCACATGTCAGTTGTAGACTAATATACTACTTTACTTAAAATCTGTAGTTTCTTAGATTATAATGTCCAACCAAACCAACTCTTCAGCTTGATAAGTTGATTTTCATCCAGAACCCTAAACAAATAATCGATGAGTGTATAAACACATTCTATTATATACGCCAGTATGGAAATGTCATTCTGTATATCACTACTAATATTATAAATGCGAAAGTAACTCTGTCTGTCTGTCTGTTACGCTTTCACGCCTAAACCACTGAACTGATTTTAATGAAATTTGGTACAGATTTAGAGTCGACCTTGAGAAAGAACATAGGATAGTTTTTATCCCAGACTTTTGAAAGGTTCTCTTGGAAACGCGATGTAACTGAACTCATCGCGGGCGAAGCTGCGGGCGGAAAGCTATAAAAATCACAATGATTTCCGTAAATTATTTCCCAATTCAGTATATAATTGATCCAAAACTGACTGTATATTTTTTTGGCGAGTAATTTTATTATTGTTAATTTATGCGAATTAGTATTAAATTGATTGAATTAAATAGAGTAATTAATTATATTAACCAAAAATATTATGTGTTGAGCAAAATACAGGCTAAGATATTTACCTGAGATACTAAAGAATAATATACAAAAAAAGAAAATAAATTGCCAAAGGAGTAATAAATAAAACGAACATGAATTAAATTGTTAATATATTTATTTAAATTTTTCCTAAATTTGTTTCTAACCGTTTAGTATTATAGCAATCTCAAAAACATTTCGTTGTCATCTGATGCGCAAAAGTAATATGTACAAATATTAAAAAGAAGAAACTAATAAAAATTATATAATACTGGTTAACAATTAAATAAAATAATTTATTTGAAATCTGAAATTTCCGAAATGCAATTAAAAAACCGATTTAATTCAGTAAACCGTTGGCAACACTGGACCGGTAAATTTTCCTGTTAATAATTTTTATCTGTCATTCTTTCCTTTTTCGTACACGCTCTTTGCGTTGCACGTGTTATTTTGAGTTACTCGCTCGATATCTGGATAAAATGGACAAACCCAACGTTCTAGCTCGCGTTGTTAAGGTCTTGGGCCGTACTGGATCCCAGGGACAATGTACTCAGGTCAAAGTTGAGTTCATCGGAGAGACCAGCCGTCAAATTATCAGAAACGTAAAGGGACCCGTCAGAGATGGAGACATCCTCACTCTGTTGGAGTCTGAGCGTGAAGCCAGAAGATTAAGATAGGTGAGGATTCGACCATTAACATAAGCAAAATGTGGAAAATTCTGCATCTAATGGTAGCTGTAGTACGATGCTCGTAAACTTACATTTGACATCGCAGTCCGTAACCAAAATAATTGTCATGAACATCAAATATGACTTTCTGTTTGCAATTAACTGTTTTATAAATTATATTTTTTTAGTTATATTTCATGTCAAAACTAATGTGAAGTTTTCTTTTCCAGGATGTGGAGGAACTACTAGGTTAAGCGCTTACATGTAACAGTTATTCAAGTTGTGAAATATAAAACCGTCAAAGATGTAACCAGCTCATAAATATACGACTTAAATAACATTTTGTCTTTCATTTACCTTCACATATTCTTAATAAATAGGTAGCAGTTGGGGATGTTTCATGGGAAGTAATCGGAGTGACAAACTGGGAATACATACATTTCAATATTAAAAGATTTATTAACAAAAAATATTTACAAACAGATAAGTCAATGTTACAAATTGATATAATTTATAATTTTGAGTAGTTTTCATTAAATTATTATTTACGAGCATAATTAATTCAAATCTGATTTAGTGAATATTTCATGAATTCTTCAAACTACATTTTTAAAAGTTTGCTGATTAAATATAATTTAGCAAGTTTCTTTTATTTCATAAATAGTAAGATTAAGATTAAAATTTTTGAAAATATGTATATGAAAAAAAAATTTTATTTTTAAAATTGTAAACAATTAGACATGAAATACAATGTACACTTTTATCAACATGATCCCGAGTGACATAACTCGTTGGTTTTGGTTGGTTTAGCTTGTCTTCACACAGTTTAAATAATAAAAAGTATTATTTAGTCCACAATAAACTGTCAGCAAACAAATAAAACTTTCCAAGGAAACTTCTTTTATTTACAAATTGGGATTGATTGCACATGTACATGGTTATTTAGTCATGAATTAAATACATATCTTATTCTTTGTTGGCCACAAACTTGAACCATTATCAAGACATCAGAAGAAAATTGTGAAGAGAAGAGATTTGACAATTTTTGATAGCATTTTATTTGACCTTTTTGTTACCGTTAATATGACCAGTGTCTCACATTATGAATGAAATAAAACAACAAAATTACTTTCGCAATGAAAGACGTCAAACATAATATTGTAAGGCAGAAGGATTCCAATAAGCATTGACTTCATTATTAACAACAAGTCTGAAATAGAAGTATTTTTTCATAATATAAACTTTTTATTATTATTATAAACTTTTAAATAAAGTTCTTAAACCTGAATATACTTTCATTCTTTTATAATGTTGAAATACAGTCTCTTGATTTTCATTATAAGGTTTTGACACTTTAAAATGAAATTGTTAAAAAACTACAAATTCTTTAAGATATTGGAAATGTTCAAATATTTTATAACTTTTATGATAGTTGTTAGTTGAAAAACCGATCTTATCTCAGAAGTTTCAAAGTATAATTGGCACCGACTTCATAAACTAACTTTGTAAAAAATAATAAATTTATATAATTTTTCTACAGTGAATGGATAAGAGAATTTTGTCTACATGTCAGAATATAGATTGTCTACAGTTTATATACACATATCATAGTTTACATCGGATGACGGCAGAGCATCCTTTTACAACCACATTATTATTATCTAAGCGTTATCACAAACATCTTATCAAATTTATATTAAAACCATCTACTTATTTTATAATTTGCTGACATAACTAATACATTACAAGTTAACAGAAATGAAAATGAATTTAATGCTGTATATTTGAATTTATTCACATATCAATAAGTTTATTTGTTAACATTTACTATACATCGGACCACATATTCAATAAACATAACAATCGTGATACATAAGTACATATCGGCACAGACTCGCTTCAACATCATTAATTACATTGTAAATAACCCATATCTATTTACAAAAATATACACAAGTCATTTTTGTTGGTGGCGAATCAACAGAGACAAATCACTTTGCACTTTGATCAAACTGCGCTCCGAAAGACGATACTAGGTGTCGTATTTCTCACTTTCGCACTGACTACCCCAAAATAAGCAATTTCCTATGCCACTATAACATATTAGGATGACCGCTGCAAGAAAAACTACACTGCACACGGTACATGGCTTCCTTTCTAAGAAAAATCCGATCAGGTACAACACCATGAACATTACGTGGGTATTCACCAACGCCGGATGCACAGGTTTTGGTATTAGCAGCACGGGAATCAGCCATTGCAAACAATACATCTCGCTAATGATTACGCCGATACGAAAATTATAGAATCAGAATTAATTATATGTAGGGCACGACTGATTACTGCAAACGACATGTTTTGAATGATATCATTGTTAATTAGCCATCCATTAAAATAATGTCAAGGAATCCATTAAATGCGGAATGTGGAACAGTTGACATTTGCAGTAAGTTATACAGTGTAGGTACCTACTACTATCTACTTAAAATTTTGTTTTTGACAGCTGTCTATTGACAGTAGCCTCTAATGGTTGTACCTACTTCTTTCAGGACTGCCATATTTAAAAAAAAACATAATGTAAGACAACTCTCTAATCAGTTTTTAGTATTTCAATGATATCAAGATATTAAGAAACGTATTGTATGAATTATTTTTTCAGGATTATAATTATTAATCAATTAAAGACATATTCAAGTTTTAATTTTTACATACGATCAAGTTTAAATTTTATTCTTCATTAAACACACGATTAGTATAATATTATGACTGTATGTTTTTCTTATTTGATATATTATTTTATAAAGGTATGTACTGTAATATTTGCTTTGATTCATATACAATATATGTACAAATAACTGAAGTTCATGGTGTATGGGTATACATAAACGGGCTCATCTTTGTTTCTTGGACTTAACGTGACATTAGCGTTTTCTTACGCATGAAACCAGTTTTTATTTGAATCACCGTACAATTTTTTATTAAAATAGGATCAAATACTTTAACCATTTTTAATGACTGATGAAGATGTTATAAATTAATCATAAAATTATTTTGAAAGGCTTTATCAAAATTCTAACATTAGTAGTTATGTTACTAAGGTTAAGAACTAATTACTTAAAGTCTTATTACCTCCACCGACTACAAAACTAATAGCATTTGTATTTCACAAAGACTGATGACTAATTTCACTTCACAAATGATATATTCAATCCTGTATATGTAATATTCTTAAATAAAATTGTATATCTAAAATTTCAATTTATTAAAGAAATTGATGTTTAAGAATATTCATTTGTTATCAAGCCCATAAACACCAATTTAATTAGAATTATACCTACTATTCTGATGCAAAACAAAATTATATTATGTGTATCTTAATGTTTTAAATGATAATAAATAATAATTCACTTTAGTTATTAGCTGATAGCATCTGAAACTTAGGTCACGGTTCATTGCAAATTGCAATTGAGCGAATCACTTCGTATTATAACGTTCTGGAATCATTTGTTGTGTAATTATAAACAAATTGTCAGGCCACCTCAGTATTGCGTATACCCAAAATTACTGTCATGCCCTTAAAATATAATAATGTGAAGGTGAATTACAGTAACACAAATAAAGCCCTAAAAACCGTATGGGTAGGCAGTAATGTTTATATACCAATTAACCCAATTTAATAGTGCTATCAGATGTCTTATCTCAATATATCCATTGACTGTTTATGTATTACAAGTTATACATAGAAGTATTGATTTGAAGTCAACAAATGTATTTAATAATATATTTATGTTTCATAATTACGTAAGCGTGAGAAATATTCATTACACTATTGAATGAAACGAAAAATCCGTTCTATAATACGTGTGCTATGAGGATTAATGGTCAGAGGGTACAAAAAGGTTTTCATTGGCATCTTCCATTCTATAAACCTATTTCCAAGACGCATGCGCGTTCAGAGTTCCCTCACCCCATTTTTGGATAGTTTCCCGCCAGTGCCCTTCCAGAATTGTGTCTGCGAGGGTTCCCTCGTAGCCACGAAATTATTAAAACACCAGATCATATCCGTCATACCATATCGATTAATATATTTTAAACATGACCCAAATTGTATTCAAATCAGTGGTCGAATATTTTCTATTACATTTTATTGAATCTGTTCTATCATTGTTTCTCATCTTTTCCGTGATGTGCCACGACGGTGAGGAGGATTCGTATTAATTAAATAAATAACATGACAATAAGACACGCATATTACAAGTAAGTTACATATAATATACAATCGTTGTAATCAATCGAAGATGGCGAACACGGCACATTTGATGAGGCGACAGAGTTCGCGAGATTTGTACGCCCAGCGTTCTTTGGATAGAATGGAGATGAAGGAACTGAGAGGTCGGCTGGTGACTATGGAAAACGGGCATCCGATACACCGCACCCACGTCATATACGGCGCCACCAATCAAGCCTTCGAAGACACGAGCCCCAATAGAAGATCTTCCGAGACACCGACTAGCAAGGCCAGCTCCACTGAAGGTCCCGTGGGTTTGAAGCCCGAAGGAGGAGAGTGTGAACGGGAATCATGGGACAGCAAGCTGACGTTCCTACTTGCAACTGTTGGATATGCTGTGGGTCTTGGAAACGTTTGGAGATTCCCGTATCTAGCACAGAAAAATGGCGGTGGAGCGTTCTTAATCCCGTATTTCGTGATGTTAGCTATCGAGGGTATACCGATTTTTTATTTGGAGCTGGCCATCGGGCAGAGATTGAGGAAGGGTGCGATTGGTGTTTGGCACCAGGTCTCGCCGTATTTGGGTGGGATTGGTATCAGTTCAGCCGTGGTATCTTTCAACGTGGCGTTGTATTATAACTCCATCATCGCCTGGTGTCTGTTTTACTTCGCGCAGAGCTTCCAAGCCGAGCTGCCGTGGTCGGAGTGTCCCAAGAAATACTTCAACAATGGATCCTACATCAGCGAACCAGAATGTGCTGTGAGTATTTCATTGTTTTAAAATATTCATCAAATATTATATGGGTAATTTTCACGAAATGCCGAAATTTGGCTGTCTTAAAATGACAAAAAATATTGAAATAATTTGATATTTATTTTATGTGAATTTGATAGTAATAATGTTACTAGAATTTAATTATATGGAGGTCCAAAAACTAATTGCGCTCTATGAAAGTTATGAGGACATTTAAAAAATACTGTATACTGTATATATAAATACTTAGTCATGGTAACAGTATGCGATACTTCAATTACATACGTTAATGTTAAATTTTTCATATTTCAATAAGTCTTATTAACTAGTAAATATGTTATATTCTGTGTTAAATAATCAAATAACTGCATTTCTAACTTGAAATTATAAACAGACTTTGATATTAATAAATGACAACTATATTTTCGTTAAACGCCTATAGCAAGCAGTAATTCTATAAATATTATTTTATTATATCTCTTCATTATGATTACATAACTAATGTTGCATCGAAACATTTGTACTGACAGATAAACTTAACGTGTCCGTCGGAAAAATGTAGTCGATACATAAATGTATACATTCACATAAGTTGCATTTTATTTGATAGTAAAATAATATGTTATATATAACATATTAATTTAATATATGTATATAGCTGCTAAAACTATTAAAAATAAATTAGAATGAGCCTTTTCAAAAGGATGTCGAGTGTCATTTCATTAAAAGAGACACTTTATCCAAAAATGGTACTGTAAGTAAGAAACTTATATTTTTTTCTTACCATCGGTAAATAGAGATTCTAACGAACAGAAAACACACAAAATTTTTGAAAAACGCTGATATTTTGACGGGTGAGTTTTCGATCGAAAATGAGGCTGAGTTTTCGATATTTATTCAAAATAAGCTAAAAAAACTAATATTTCTAATCAAATAAATTACAGTGTATTTGGGACATCAAAATGTAAGTTTTCACCAAATTTCGTGACAAAATATTGTTTTTTGTAAGAAATAAAATAAAAAACCAAAAATTTTGTTGTGTGTTATGTGAAAAACGTGTTAGTACAAAAGTTTTAGATCTTTTTATTACCTACAACTTTGTCATATAACTTTTTTCCTCAGGACTTTGAGTTTTACTTAAATACCATCCCCTTCCCGACCTCAGATCGCCCGTAATTTTTTTCCTTTAATTTTTATAATATTACCCTCCTTTTCTAATGAGTTTCATTCTACTATAATTTATTTTCACTTTTCATTAATTTTAAAGGCTTCTGCACTAGCGTCTAGTAAAGAATGGATAACCTTGAAATGTCTTATACTAGAACTTATGGCTATTCAGAAAAAAAATGAAACAAAGTAGTACTAAAGATAAGTTTTTTCCCTTATATACCAATTTTCCTTATATACTCATTAACCTTAGGTATATTCCAATTTTCCTTAAATACTCATTTCCCTTATATACCAATTTCCTTTATATTCTCGTTTCCCTTATATACTCATTTTCCTTATATACTTTAGCCGCCTACCAATATTTTAGCCGCATCCTCATATCAAACATTTTATTTATTTCTAAAACTTTTTCAGATTTGGTTTCAATTTCAAACTTATTTTCATAATATGTTGATTCAAACATATTATGAAAATTATATATATTACCTTATTTACTTTAACCTTAAAATTTTCCTTAACTTTGAAAAAAAGAACATTAGAGCTCGGGACCAAAGTATTCGACATAAATTTTTGCCGTAGACCTCTGCACCTTTCTGTGAATTAATATTATATAGACTTACAATCGTACAATAAAATACCATAAAGTTTTTTTCAGAAAACTTAACTGAGAAATATTTAACAATAAAGGATCAACATAATAAATGTACTGTTGAAAAGTCTGTAGGTACAGTAATTAAATAAAATATAGAAGGAACCAAAGGTTGTAAAATATTATTTTTTTCAATTCATATAACAAATCACTTGTAATATATAGTTCGAAATGAATGAATGATGTAAGAATCTAAATAAGAATTTATTTTTTGGTGTAGGCGTAAGACCTTTCTATTAACAGAAGTTTAAAAGACATTACATTTTCATCTAGGTCAAAACAAGGGAAGCAAGTTTGTAGTTTCGAACCTAACAATATTTAAAGTGTCCTTTCAAGAGTTGTATAGCTATTAAGATTTTTACAAAGAAAAAAGATATTTCAAGTTTCTGTTGGACTTTGTAACTACTACTTACTTTTTTATTAATTACCCAGCTCTGTCAACACAGTTATTATGACCATTGTATCTATAAATGTAAAGCTATTCATCTTGATGCAAGAACGTTTTGTTATCTAAGTAATTGAAATATAATTAAACTGAAATAAAATACTATAAAATCATGAAATACTATAGAAACATCGTTATTACTATGACGGGATTTTGTATGTAATTTTATCAAATAAGACTAAAAAATAAATCGAACAAAAAAACAAGTCGTTTTTAGAACTTAATAAGAACAGAGAATCTCTAATTTAAGTAAGATTGAGAGAATTTGATGCAAGAAATGAAAAATTGTTAGGTATTAAGCTCTGTGTGCTGATAGATTAGCTCATATATTGCTACTGACGGATGTTGAACCAAACAACTTTGTAAGATATATTGCAACGTGGACTTAGATAATAAAGTGTAGTACTGAAGAATAGAGATATAAAAAATCTTAATACGCTATAATAATAATCTTTATTAGAATATTTGTTACAAAATATACAGACTAAAGTTAATAAAAATTAAGCCTTATATTATCTTTAAATTTAAGACAAGTACTTTAATTTTTCAATAGGTTTTATTCGAGGCTATATACATAAGTAGCTTTCCGCCCGCAGCTTCGTCCGCGTGGAGTTCGGTTATATCGCGTTTACAAGAGAACCTTTCAAAAGTCTGGGATAAAAACTATTCTATGTTCTTTCTCAAGGTCAACTCTATGTCTGTACCAAATTTCATTAAAATCAGTTCAGTGATGTAGGCGTGAAAGCGTAACAGACAGACAGATAGAATTATTTTCGCATTTATATTAGTAGGGATAATAGTGGGGTAAATGATGTAATTTCGTAAACGTAAATATAAAATGGACCATACTCAGCTCAAATCTCTTCTTATTCTTTATATAAAGTCGTATCTGAGGTCTATTTATAACTTCTAATAGAAATAAAATTAGAAATATGGAAAAGCTGTAGTAATCCAGGACGATACAGTAATAGAATAATAATTTGATTCGTGTTACTTTTATGATATATGAATGGTAATTTTAAAATCAACATTGTTGAATAATCTTAAAATTATTAAAGAATAAGACGGGTACATGCCGAGAATAAACCGCGAGGCTATTGAAATAAAAAAATATATAACAATTTCAATAGAGAAGATGGCTGGAATTTATCTAACACCTAGAACCCTCTCGTATAAAAAATATAAGATCGTTTGTCTGTGGCAACTCAGGACCTAGAGAGACAGTGAACGCATTCTGCCGCCATATAGACTCTAGAGTGGTACACCAGAAAATTAAGAAATCGATTAATAACAGGAGGAACTGACAGAAACTAACATCTAGTCTGTCCGTGATCATAGTTGCTGAAAATTAATCGAAACTTCGGATATTCGGAGCATATTGTTTAAAATAAAAATAAGAAACGCGTAGTAATCCGACAATATTAGTTTTTTTAAATGAACTCACGAAAATCTTAGATACAATTAAGTGTATAAATAACTGTCTACATGTAAAAAATTAATGTAAGGATTATATTTCTCGTTCCCGGCAAACAGTTTGAGTCAGCAGATGTGAGTAAAGGCTTTTTAATTGAAATACCCTAAAATAAAGGTACATTCAGTATCGCCATCAAAAAAGTTGGCCACGCTAGCGTATTTTTCTGCTTAGAAATTTCTTTGAACCCGTATTAATGAAAAAAGTTTTTGTTAAATTACATAGTTATGTACCTAATATTAAGCGTCGAGTTTAGGACAGTAAAATTGATTTTTGTGATTCCAAATCACTGATAGGATATTTCTATACATATATCTATTATTATTATGTTCTTTTGTACTTAATTTATAAAGGATTTTTTTCCAGTGATAACATGTTAGTGATCTTGTATTAATGCCAATCGGTCTGCATTTATTGGAAGGTGTTTTTATAAAAGGTACTTTTTTTGAAACGACAACACTATCCTGTGTAATAATTTCACCAAATCTAAAATGATTGGCATTATTACTATATATAAAGTGTGCTTTTTTAAACTATAACATATTTATTTTCGATAATAATTTTTATGTTCTGACCGTGTGTAAGCTACCTGTAGAGGGATTTATTATAGATTCCTATAATAACCAAGTTTCAGAGGAAACTGTCCGAAGACTGAATAGAACTTTAAGATTTAAGATTAGTTTCTTAAAACAATTTATTCCTTTTGTTTCTTCTCAGAATAAACCTGCCTTAAGACTAACTTTGTTTATTATAAACAAAGTTAACATGTTTATTCAATAGCTTATTTCAAGCATAAACTCATAGGAAGAGAAGCTTTTGAGGAAAAAACAAAGCATTCACGAGCAGTCGCTGGAGTACACTTGAAAGATTAAATACGTATTTATACGTTAGAAAGACTTTCATGTTAAAAAATGTGTTCCCTCACTTGATTTAGATTTTTATTCAAATAAGCTATATGTACATACAACAATTAGATTAATAGCCAATAAATATCGTAAACTGTTCGTATGTCTTTGATAATAACAATATACTTATTTATAATATCAAATCCTTTACAAGCACTATTGATTCGTTTATAATTGAGGTCAGCTTTTGTATTGTTTACACAGTATAAATATATTATGTATATAGAACATATAAAATATTATTACAAACTATATATCTGAAATATTTAAGCAATGTTTAAAAAAACGTTTGTGATATCAGAATGATTACTTGAAAATCTTTCACTTTTATATTACGTCCCGAAGTGTATGTGTAGTGTATTATAATGTTTATGAAAATAAAAGACAATAAACGAAATCATTTTATTAAGTTGCAATGAATTGATTACATGAAGTATCTTGAAAAGCAATACATTATATAGTCGGAAAGTCCATTTAATATGGCTATATTATTTGGTAAACTATTTTCTGACTTTAATCAAACAGTTGGAATATGGAATATGAGCAGTTGGTTAATATTCTAGTTTCTCTTTATCCCTTGATACAGTAATATTTAACATGCATTAAATGTATTTGGGATATACTCTGTAATGTGTAGCTGGCGATTTCACTAGAATGGAATTAGTTTTAAATGAATTAATTATTAGTTATTTATTTAAGGCTTTATCGTGAAGTTTAATACGGAGAATTTACAGTTAATTCACGAGTAAGTTGGTAGTATTGTTTTTGAAGATTTATCAATGAGAGACTTGATATTCTCCGCATTTGCGAAAGTGTGGTAATATACTCGTAGTATGCATGTAAACATTTGGTAATATAGTAAAGAAGCATGCATGAGTTTCATAGTTCACAATTTATTACCATTTATTACAAAATGTAAAAAAATAAAACCAATATTGTTAAGGAATCTTATCTTTTATATTTACTTTCTGTAAATGAAATTGGATCCTAAAATAACAAGATTATAAACGAGACGTTATGGGTGGTTTATGTTTTATTGACTTTATTATTTTTGTTTATATCAACGTTATTATATTTAGTTATTAGATGTCTGTAGGCAGGCTTTTAGCAAAGGTTCTATGTAATGAAAAAAAACGCAACATGGCAGATACTAGGTAGTAGGTAGCACTTAAAGCGTATGTTCCCGTTGCAAAAAATTTAAAGTCCGTAAATTTTTTTACGGAAAATTTGTCGCAAAATGTTATTTAGTGTAGTTACGAAAGAGCGTTCGGAAATAAATGGTATCCAATGTAACAAAAACTTGAAAATTAAATATACAACCTTTTTAGTCTTTTAAATAGGGAATAAAAATAGAGGTAGAGACATAAAAAGGTTTTTGCAAGTTATCTGTATTTCTTTATACGTTATAGGAACCACTTTTCAACAATGAACATGCGATTTTACTCTGAATAGTCCTAGTTCAACACAAAACCTTATACCCAAAGCCTTTGTCATATTTTATAAAGATTACGCAATGTCCTGGGCGCGGATAATTCTTATATTTCCAAATACATTATATTAGAATTGAACCTTTACGTTTGTGTAGTCATATAAAATTGAAATACTATTAAAATTAAGATTTTTGATTTCATTCCTTATTAAATTATATAATTAACATTATGTTATAGGATATTTTATGATATATGTTTTCCCTTTAATTCATAGTTTTTAAAGGGTGGTTTAATTTTGGCATTCGTATGCGAATCGTTGCAGCGATGACCTTTCCCCTTTAACCTTATAGCTGTGTCGATGTCGTGGGCGGTGCGTGGGCAGCTTCGAGTCAGCAGCTACCGAAGCGTAACTGTTTTACGAGAATATAAAATAAATGAAATTATAACTTGCTATATAACTTACTTTATCTTAATTTAATTTTATGTGGAATAGATTTAAAATTGAATTAAAAAATTAAGTTTGATAGACTGATTTATTGAGACTTGAATGATTAACATCGATCTATGAAGAATATTTTTTTAAATTAACCTCATAATTAAAAAGATGGTGCTGGTACAGATGATAAATTCATCCATATTTATTATCTTCCCCCACAAATACGGTGTGTAGATAGATGAGAGAAAATTTGACATAATGAATTTCCATATATTAATACACAAATAGAATGAATACAGAATGTTGCAGTCGAAGCGTATAAAACGTTCAGTTCGACTGAAACGGAACGTATTCAATACGCATTTGAAAGGATATTATGGGATATAGAATGAAAAGACCAATGCGCTTTGAATAAAACAATATTATATCAAATGCTATTGTGTAATAAGAATTATTTGCAGTTTTTCTGTTTTGTTTACTCCCATTTTTCTGCTATAAATGAGTTAAATTACTTTTTAAAATCAATAAAACTTAGTGAAATGTATAACAGTAGTTGTGATTTTAAGTTTTTCCATTCGTCAGACATTTGAATAAAGTGCTTTAACTTTTTCACTAAAAACATGGCGTGAAACTGTTCTTTTAGATGAAGTAGTAGAACTGTTTTTAAAATAGACTTTTCTGGTGTATTGAAACATTAACATAACGTTTATTGCAATAAATATTTAAAATAGTACTTTTTCACATATATTTAAACAATAAGATCTGTATGAAACACGAACTAAATAAACAAAACTTTAAATAAATATGTAATTTTATTAATTAAGTATTTTGCTTACATTTTTGTATTTCGTTTCAGGTAAGCAGTCCCACGCAATATTTCTGGTACCGAACCACTCTGCAGATATCGGAAGACATCAATCATCCCGAAACATTTAATTACAAGATCGCGCTAGCGCTCATCATCGCCTGGATCTTAGTGTACATGTGTATGATCAAAGGCATAGCGTCTTCTGGGAAAGTCGTCTACGTCACAGCCACCTTTCCATACATAGTCCTGGTAATATTCTTCTTCAGAGGAATAACTTTGAAAGGAATGGGCGATGGGCTCGTTCATCTCTTTACGCCGAAATGGCATAAGATCTTAGATCCAGTTGTCTGGTTGGAGGCGGGTACTCAAATTTTCTTCTCCTTGGGCCTAGCTTTCGGAGGCCTTATCGCGTTCAGCTCATATAATCCAGTGGACAATAATTGCTACCGAGACGCGATTATGGTCTCAATGACGAACTGCCTAACGTCCATGTTTGCCGGCATTGTCGTTTTCTCCATCATAGGTTTTAAAGCGACCATGGTTTATGAGAAATGTTTAGCAATACGAAATGAGACGCTCCTTGAAATTTTTGGTCCTGAGTACACTAAAATGTCGTTTCCCGAAGCCGGTGAAAAAGTGGCAGTCATGTTGAACGATACTGTAACTAATTATATAATGCCACATCTACCGGAATGCGATCTGCAGAAAGAGTTGGACAATGTAAGTAGAATTCCATTAAAATTAATATAATAATATTATCAAGAAAATGTACGAAAAATATCTTTTCGCTATTTTAATTATCATTACAAGAATGTTATATTTCAATTGTATCATTTTCATCGCTTGCTTTATAAATTTGCATGTACCTAGTACTGTAATATTTATATCATAATTTTCAACTTTTATACCTTTGTGGCTTACTTACGTACTGGTTTCCACTTTCCTGACATCCCGCAATTCATTAACTCACACTTAATTAAAGCGGATTTGGTTAAATTATCATAACATAATATAATTAATGTCAATTGAATTATACATGAAACAATTCTAATATTTTATAATACATATTTAAATGTTAAGGACACTATGTTACTTCTTGTTGTATTGTATATGTATACCTATATATATAGTGTATCCAGATTCCAGAAGTATTAAGCTAGTTGTTATTTTATGACCACTTACCATTTGACTACCAAATCTCCTCATGCAGCATAAGACTCTCTTTGTAATATATACATATATTTAAAATTTAAATAAGCCATCCGAAGTAGTGATATAAAAAAAAGCATAGAATTTTCTATTTTTTCTTAATTATAGTTTTCATTTATATGTAATTCTTTGGTTTTTATTTGCATGCTTCAATAAACTGCTCATTCGAATTTAAATGAAACTAATATTTTCGGATTTTACTTCGCGTTTTATTTTTGATTAGAAACTACATACTCCCGACGTTTCGGCTACTTTTCAGCAACCGTGATCACGGGCAGACGAGATGTCATCTCGTCTGCCCGTAGTTTCTAATCAAGAATAAAACGCGAAGTAAAATCCGAAAATATTAGTTTCATTTAAATGTGTACTCGCGAAAATCTTAGATCTCATTATGCTCATTCGAATATTTTATACCAAAATCGAAAAGTTTTTTAATATGTATTATTATATAAGTCACCGTAATATTGTTTTTTTTTGTCTTATATTATGTATAGCTCTATTTAAAATGTAATATTTCAGACGGCATCAGGTACTGGCCTCGCGTTCATAATATTTACTGAAGCCATCAACCAATTCCCTGGAGCTCAGTTCTGGTCAGTGCTTTTCTTCTTGATGCTGTTCACTCTGGGCATTGATTCACAATTCGGGACCTTGGAAGGCGTGGTCACCAGTATTGTTGATATGAAACTCTTCCCAAATCTTCGCAAGGAGTACCTCACTGGTGGTCTATGCCTCATCTGCTGTTTACTGTCCATGGGTTTCGCTCATGGTGCTGGCAGCTATATATTCCTGCTGTTTGACATGTACAGTGGAAACTTCCCGCTACTCATCATCGCTTTCTGTGAATGTATTGGGATAGCATACGTCTATGGTGTCAAGAGGTTAGTACGTAATTTTAATAGTTTGTGTAAATAATATATTTAAGTATTATTTCTAGATCAAGAGAAAGGGTTTTTCCTGAAGCTTAGGTACATAAGCAGCTACTTAAAGTTCAGAGTAGCATTAAAACTTTAATCAATATGAAAATAATAAATACATGATTTTTTAATTTTAAATTATAATATATAAGTAAATTGAATCTAATTATTTGGATCCTTCTCTTATATAAGGAATAAATAATTTTGTCAAAGAACTAATCTTTTCTTAGTAAACAGCTTTAGGTTCTGTGTATATCAAATATCATACAGGGTGCGCCAGAGAAACTTACTTATTTGAAAGGTCAATTAAAAAAAAAGTACTTCAGTTATTGTTTTAATTTTTTTTTTATTTGAGAATACAATATCCCAATTTTTTTTTCATGCAGTCTTAAAAATGACATCGGTTAAATGGTGACCCCCATGGCGCATACACTGATGAAGTCGATTTTTGAAATTCGTATCCACTCTTCGCAGCATATCAATCGGTATGTTGCCAATGGCGTCGCGAATGTTGTTCTTGAGGTGTGCTATGGTCCGTGGTCGATCGACATAAACCAGGGAAATATGAAAGTGAGCCTCGTCACTGAAAAAAACGACCGCGTCTTCAGGCAGGTTGTCAATCAGCATTTCACATGCATTTTGACGGGCAACAAAATCGCGTTCAGTTAATTCTTGCACAACAGCCAATTTATAGGGATGAAATTGAAGGTCTTCATGGAGAATTCGTCGAACAGTGGTATCAGAAATTCCCATAGCAGCTGCGTGTTTGCGAGCCGAACGCCGAGCAGAACGCACAACTGACTGCCTCACTCTTTCGATATTTTCCGGAGTTCTGATGGTCCGTTGAAGTCCATTTCTGGGCTTAGCGACACTTCCCGAAACTCACTCCCGAAATGAGTTAAACCACGACAGAATCGAATTACGGCCAGGAACGAGTCTGTGAGGAGGAATTTCAAAGCGAGCGCGGAAGGCACGTTGCGTAGTAACAAGTGAGCGACCGTTAAAAAAGAAGCTCTCAACTGCGAAGGCCCGCTGCTCTCTAAACCAGAGCATGATGGCAGCTGACTGGAGGGAGAAACAAACTTGGGAACTTCCCCCTCCAGATGCGCCCCCTCTTGCCCCTCTACCCGCCCAACTCACCGCGCGGTAATTTTTTTAAATAAGTAAGTTTCTCTGGCGCACCCTATATCTGCTGAATATGGTAGATTCAATGTACTCGTAATCTTTGCCTTTTTTGTTAAAGTTGCTAAAGGTGTTTTTGTCTAGTGGGACATAAAAAATTGTTTCAGAAAATATATCCTTATTCTTAACTCGATGATATTCCCTATTTTAAATGATAACGAGGTATTAAAAATATTTATGGCCCAAAAAATACTCATTTTATTAAGATGCCGCCACACTTTTAGTTAAATTCAAACAATAATTAAAAATAATTAATTTTGATATCAATAGAAATAAAGCTATAATAATATAACAAACATAAAGTATAATAATCAAATTTTTAGATAAAATATATTGCTAAATTTATATACTATTGAGAAAATATTTAAAGTCCTGTTATTCTTTAGCGATTTAAATATAAAATAAAGCCTCTGGATGTTAAAGGGATTTAACATTGCAGTCATTATTTCTATTTAAGGCAACTGATGGTTTTAAAACTAAGTTTTATTACAAAGCTTAACCCAAGTTTATATCCTAGCTATACACGGAGCATTCATAAATCTTCGCATAGGTTTTCATTCATAAATCTTCGCATATTATGGTATGGTATAACCCACAATGGTTATAGAATAAGAATCAGGAAAGCTTGGCATATGGATTGAAGATACTATGTTTTATTTGTAGCCAAACTAGTAATCATAAGAATTTTACCAAAAGTTTACAAACAAATTGGCAGTAATGAGTTTTTCGTTCATTTAACTTGATACTATCGCGTGCGTTACCTACATATAATATGTATAAAAGAAAGTCGTGTTAGTTACACTACTTATAACTCAAGAGAGGCTGTACGGATTTGATGGAAATTTGGGGGAAGGTAGGGTGAAATCAGGAAACGGATATAGGATACTATTGAATTCGTGAAACCAAGATAATTTTGCTAATAATAACCAAAATCTGTTTATTTACTGCCTCTAAATCGAAACGAAATTGGTCAGCTCTACATTTTTATTATGAAACTAATACAGACAGAGAAGCGGGCTAATGCTAGTACCAATATAACAAATAAATATATAAAAAACCTGGAACCAACCTGTCCATTTTGTATTTGATGATAAAAATCTCGGTTTAAATGCAAATCCCATTTTAAATGTCTCCGTGAATGGGTTTACGCGTGTTGTTTCACACGACTCAATTAATTTTATGGAGCTTTTAAAAGGGTCGAGTAATTAAAGTAGAAGTGAAAAATTGAATTAGAAATATTATATAACACAAGTTGGAAACTGTTAATACATGAAAATAAATTTGTTTTAACATAAATCATAATGAATAAAATTTATATTAACGACTTAAAAAACGTGTTCACATAATTTAAAATGATCTGTCAAAAGTTCGGTGTGATTATTTCATACTTAAATTGGCAATGTGTTTTTATATTTTATGTGCATTATGTTATTTTTATGTCATCTTCTGATCAGGTCAGTTAATAAAAATATTAATACTTATCCTTCGTAAAGACTTTCTTGACAAAGGCATCTGGACATTTGATCGAAAAATTTAAGAATGATACGTTATCAATTTTCTCACATTTAAATCGTATACATACTTCCATTTAGACATTTCTTAGTTTACTGTCTTACTTTCAGTAATCAAACTTTCAAACATGTATGTATGTACGTACGTAAACTTTTGATGTATGTCTTTTGTTACTTTTCGTACTAATATGACCCTAAATTTGCAATAATACACCAAAACATACGTGTATGACTTTTAATTATGTTTCTTTATAATATTTATAGTAAAAGTATGATATGTTTTAGATTCGCTGACGACATAGAACTGATGACGGGTCAACGACCTGGTATATACTGGCTGATCTGCTGGAAGTATCTCTCTCCTCTGGCGATGCTGTCCATCCTGATATCTTCATTCGCGGAGCTAATCATGGAGGGCTCGAGCTATGAAGCTTGGATCAGTTCTGAAGGTGATACTATGAAGAAGCCCTGGCCGCTGTGGGCTATCTTGTTGGTGTTAGTGATGGTGCTTGCTTCCGTACTTTGGATACCAGGACTGGCTATTTGCAGGTGAGATGTTTTTTATATGAAAGGTGGCAAACTAGGTGGCATACTTGATGGGCAGTAGTGACAGTTGACCATAGACGTCCGAAACAAAAGAGTTCGTGATGCGTTGTCAATATATGTTGTTGAGAAAAAAGGACGGGATAGAATAAGGATAGAAGATATAATCGAACATCCATACTATATACGTTACGCTAGATAAGGGGCCCCTTAGGCCTCGGCCTCGAATTTTGCGGGCAGCGGAGCGGCAGCGGGAGCGGCAGGATCTTACGCGTATAATCAAATGGACCGACCCTCGAATACAGCGGTGCCCGCTGCCCGCTAGTTTGGAGAATAGTATGCGTTTCCGTGCCGCCGCCGCCACCGCTCCGCCGCCCGCAAAATTCGAGGCCGAGGCCTTAAGCCTACACTTGGGTCGCAAGTCCCAGACACTGTTGAAGCTCCTCTCTCTGCAACGCGATGGACACGGCATCCGCACGGTGAATCCATGGAATGCTGAGAAGTTTCGTCTCATATATTTCATTTAGTACATATTGTGTGAAGTAAAATACTTAGTTCGATACTATTAAGAATTTTTACATTTTATATACATATTACTCTCTTTATTATTATTTCATAAGACGTATATGTACAATGTTGAATAAAAATGATAGTATATTTAATCCTTTCGCGATATACATCCATAAAAATTACATTCACATTGAATTATCCAACTATTATGAGCATATTACGTTGTGATGATTGAAGATGAAGTGTTTCCTAAAAATGCTATATAGTGATTCAGAAAAGAAAAGCAGTAATCGAGCCCAAGCACACTATTACGGATTTTTTTATTGGGTTGGACTTACAAGAACATAATAATTTTCCCAAACTCTTTAGTTTTCCTTTTTTTCCAACCACAGACTTATACTATTTCTATTGGGTTAATAACTATTACTATTAATTATGATTCGTTGTCAACGTTAAATTTTCTAATCTCTATAAATATATATTCTCTTTTGTGTTCTGTCTTTACATTTGTGAGTATGATTATTTTCAGGGAGGGAAATTAGCTGAAACACATACTTGTTATTCGATATTGTAAATATTTGTAATATTATTTTTTTTTTCATTTATTCGATACTGTACATATAATTTAATAGGGCAGTATATTATTTTCATATTTAGTGAATGAGAGTTGTTTATGATTACCAAGTTTCCTATCTTCTTCGTTAAGGAAACCCATGCATTAAAATTTTGTTTTACATTTTCTATCAAAGGATAACTCCTGTTTAGCTGAACTATTTGTTAATGAAAACTAAGACTTTTGCGAGTGCTCATTAAATGATACTAATATTTTTCGGATTACTATGCGTATTTTATTGATGAAAATAAATTTCATCTAATCTGCCCGTGATCACGGTTGCTGGCAAGTAACTGAAACGTCGGGACTATTTAGTTTAAAATCATTAAAAACTCGCATTTATCGGAAAAATATACCTAAGTTTCATTTATTTAAACTATTAGTTAGTTTATCTTAACTAATCCGTGTTCCAGATATATGGGTATCCAAGTTATTGATGACGAAGAGCGTGCGTGGTTCCCGGCTGATGAGTTACGTGACTTCCACGGCTTGGAACCTCGACCCGTCTCCGCTTTGGAGACGCTGCTGTTCTGTACACGACCCGACGGCAGCGAGAGGTGCTGCTGGCCGGGCTGCTGCGACACTGACGATGACGAATAGGAGAGGTGATGAGTGAGAGAGAGAGAGAGAGAGAGAGAGAGATAAGATAGAGAGAGACGGAAGATGATTGGATACGATTTGACGTTTGGATTTGACGTTGCGGATTTGACGTTTACAGTTTGCTCAACCAAACACCGGTTTAATGGAAAGAAATTCGAAAGAAAGTTAAGTAATCATTTTTAATTAAAATTATACTTGATGTAACATTTACGAATATAGTAACTACGACAATAAATCTACTTAAACAATATTAGTGAGCACAGTAATATAAGTAAATATTTTTTGTCATGTAATAAGAAAAAAGCGTTATGATAATAAAAAAGACGCACAAGTTAATTTATTATTAGTTGAATTTATTGTTTGCATGAAATCATACAGCCGAGATTGCTAGATTACATTTTTCATCTATTGAAAAAAAAGTATATTGTTTATGGCGCCGTAGTTAATATAATAAATAATAATAAAATAACGGTAACATATCTTATGACATATTCTTGTTCTCTCTAGTTACGTAATTAGCTACATATTATTATTTTTGAATATTTTTAATAAAATCTATCGGAAATGTTTGGAAAACATTTACATGCGTTTTACAAAGCTATTTAAGCGATGTTACAGACAATAAAAAAGTCAGGTATTAGAATGGGTTTTAATGTTTTTAAGATTTTAGACTTTGGTTGTACTATCTTAGAGCCACAATTATTTTATAAAAGATATTTTTTTGGTTCAAATGTTATGCTTTTGATTTTTATATATTTAATATAAAATATCTATTGACTGGCTCATCGAATTATTGTGATTCAAATTTTCTTTTAGTCTTCAATAAATATATTAATTAACCCATAAATTAAGACAATAATACGATTAAATATAAAAAATATACATAACCTTATAAATGTTAGTATTTAATACTCATTTGTTATATGCTATATTCAAGACAATAATTTTTGTAGTATTAAGCAATTTTGACTACACAAGTTTTATAGAGTTTTTTCATTAAAAATATATATATGTAGACTGGAATTTTGTTATCTTTACAAAATATTTGATTGTTGTTATTTTTTAGAACAATATAATATGTATAAGAAAAATTCTATAACGTAAGGTTAACATAACACTTTCAATATTTATTAAAATACATATCTATACAGGTTTATTAATGTACCTATTTTTTATATTGTGTTATAAAAAATATATTTAATTTTATCTTTTTTAGTACAGTAAAGTTTGATCAAACGTAAAGGTAATTGATTCATTTTTATTTTGGTAATTCGTTCATTAAATTGATGAAACTTTTTTCAGATCAATATTTAATTCACATAAATTTAAATAATTAATTAAATTGTTTGGAAAAAATAGTAATAGTAATTTAAATAGTAAGCTTATTCAAGCATAAATATTTACAAGTATCTGCCATAATCTAGCGTCCTCTGGTATTAAAATCAGATATTATACGTCTTAATATTAGATCTAGACTTGTTATACTTCAGTCTGCGCACAGCTTTTAATGTGATTTCAAGATGGCGTCAATTAAAATGTCATGTCACAAAAATCTTTTTTTATTTATTTTTAGATTTAATGCGCGATTATTTCTTTAAAATATAAAACTTTTGTTGTAAATTAAAGAGAATATTTTGAAACTATAAAATACAAGACATCGAATATTATGATTCTCACAGATTTTTAATTAAGTATGCATATTATATTTACAAATACTTATTTAAATTGTATTATCTAATTGTGACATAGTTAGTTCATATAGTACCTAGTAAAGATAATTTATAGAAAAGAAATATGCTTTTATCATAATATTTTTAGTCGTACCTAATAAAAAAACTTTATTTACAGCATATTATATTAATAATTATACGTTGCATAACATAAGGAAATCTCAAAAGACAATAATGTTTTATTATATAAAATAAATATTTTGTTTTGGTAAAAAACATGTTATAGGCTATGCTTAAACTCCAACATAGACAATAAGTGTAATACTAATCGATTATAATACTGTTATTTGTGATTGTATCTATCTAACTCGTTGTTGTAAAAATTTGTCTATCTATTGCGTGTTGATGGTAAATAAACGTTCAAAAAAACATTTTGTTTTATTTTAAATACAATTAATACTTCATTGAAATATTTCAATCTCAAGAGTTTTTAGGTGGTAGCTGTGGTCTGTTACTACTGCTCGAACATGGGCTGGCTCGACCGGGGAAGTACCACCCTCTAACAGAAGATCGGCGTGAAGTAGCCTTTAATGGCTGCGTTTCGTCCGATGAGTGAGAGAGCCGGTTGCCCTTTCCATATTCCCACCCTTTCCTTATTCCCACCCCTCCCTATCCCTAAAAGACAACGTTGGCAACGCATCCGCAACAAAGATGTTGCGGATGTCCATGGGCGACGGTAACTACCTTCCACCAAGTAGGCCGTCTGCTCGTTTGCCACCTTTCACATAAAAAAACTGATAACACCGAATTCGTATAATGATTCCAAAATGGAATAATATTTTCAGAAAGGATTAATTAATCTTGTATAAAAAAATACATCCTAAATCAATAAAATTTAGAGAAAAAATACATACAAGAGAAGAATTAAATTTAAACATAAACAAATAAACAGTACAAAATCCAAGAAGATATTTGTGCGTCGGTCTCAAGGCCACACATATTTTTATATTCGAAAATTTTAAATCGCGTTGTGATGATAGAGCTTACGGTTCCTTGGGAAACCAACATCCCCAAAGACCATGCCATCAAGGTCAATAAATATTACGAGCTCAATAACGAATTAACTCGAAATAGGTTCGTCGTGGATTTGTACGCGGTAGAAGTGGGACCGAGGGATAGAACAGCTAAATCTTTCTACAACCTACTAAAAGACTTGGGCCTGTCCAGAACTCACATTAATTCATTCTTGGTACGCACTTCGAAGGCAGTACTAGTCGGTTCTTTTCAAATTTGGTTAGGTAGATAGAGGAGCTTGGACGGTGGAGGTGAGCGTTTAACGCGCGTTAGATAGGGGCCTCTTAAACCTAGACTCCAGGTCAGGCACTGTTGAGGCTCCTCTCCCTGCATCGCGATTTACCTGGCACCCGCACAATGAATCCATGAAATGCTGAAAAGTTTCGTCTCTATATGTATATACATATAATGACATTCGGTTTAAAAGGATTAAGCTCCAAGATTTATTGATATCTTAAATACAAGTAATCTTAAACAGTGTCTAAAAGTTATTTTCTGTCCATAAAAGATGAAAAGTGGTTTCTTAAATATTCAAAATATAGTGCTATCGATAAAAAAAATGTTTTATAAGCGTTAAGTCCTTACACCATTTCAATATTCATTTATCGGTAATACTAAACTTTTGCAATATGTCATCCAATAATTTTGTAAATGGATCACATTATAAATAAAAAAGGTCTTTTTATTATACATATTTTTAAATATGAATCAACAAACTTAGTTCTATAAAGCTGATGTATTTAAGTTGCTAGAAATAAATAAACACATATCAGTATTAATTATTTATTCAATTTGAACTTATCAGGTACATAAGATAGGATACCTAATTTATTAACAATTAATCAATGCAATTATTGCTAGAGGCAGTTTAATATTACATTATACTAAAAAGTAAATAAAAAATCAATTACTAAGAGAAATATTCTAATTGAAACAGAAAGTATTTTCTTTCATAGCCTAACTAATATTAACTATTTCAATATTTTACCACCAGTTTGCTAGGTATATTGACTTTAAAACAGATGGGTATCTTGTTTTTATCTATAACATATGAGAAAAATTATTGAAAAAATAGTAACAGTCTGTTCAGTTTGACGATGCACACTTGTAGTAAGGTGACAAACCTTGAGCCTAGGTATGTCATGAAAACAATTAACCGTAGGCACTAAAAAGATTTCACCGACTGTGGTGTACCATTTTAGACAGTACATCACTATATTATACATTTATATAATCAAAACATATTGGCTTTAGTTTATGACTATTACATTATTTAATTTAGTTCAAAAATTAATCATTTGTATTAACTTACTTTCTTTTTAAATGCCAGAATATATACTTTTTCACCCAAAAGTTTTTATTGAATGAAAACTATCTTGCAAGTAACTTCTTCGAGCTATACATAAAGTAGCCTTCAGAGAATTTAATATGCTTGTACAATATGTAGTACATGAAACATAAAGATTTATATTATAACACATTAAAATAAATTGAATTTGAAATATTATTTCCATACATTTTATACATAACACCAACTTTATGCCACAATAAGGTTATCATATACTTTTATTGAAAACTTAAATAAGATTTTTGAATGTTTCAACTGTAATGTGAAGGAGAATTTAAATTGTTATACATTGTATGTGTGAAAAATGATATATTTTCATTTGAACATTTTATAAGTACAGAATAAGATGCAATTTTAGTATTCTATTAAACAAAAAAAAAATCTTAGTGCAATGGCATTCAATTATATATTTTATAATGTCTACATTCAAAGTTCAAAATCAGATACACAATGTTAATATTGCTTAATAACAGTTCTTGACAAATTATCACATAAGACAGTGAAACATATATACTGGGCAAACCCTGGCTAAAGCTGGGAAATTGCCAGGAAGAAGACATACATACATACAAAAACAGACATACATATAATGTATACATAAGGAAACAAGAAGATGGATTACTTAAGGGTAAGTGATTACCGAAAAATAGAAAATGAGTCTTCATATGTGTGGTAGTTTAGTTGGCAGAGAAACGGCCTTTAAAAGAACTGGATTAACTTTGTGGTTATAATAAATTAATATATATTGGCATAAATTAAGGATCATAGTAATTTTTAACCAAAATGCCATTTTTATTCTATCTTAAAACAATATAGTATTGGTCTAACATTTTCTTCCGAGTATGATTGGTGGGATTGGCATATAAAATATAATTAATTGGTTTACTTCACCTCTATTTAAAAGGAAGTTATTTTTATGAATGCCATAGTTATAAAATCACAACAAGTATAACTAAATATCAATAATGATGTCTTTGTTGTTTTTACAGACATAATTAATTGTCATAACTGTGTATTGATAAGATTTAAGTGAATCATGAATCAAATACCTTCAAGCAATTTCTCTGTTTCGGCTTTCTTGACCTTCTTAGCTTTAATATCAGCCATCGTCTGTTCTATAGAGCGCAAATCCTTTTTATTCTCGCTCGGTACCTCCCCATATGTTTTATTCATGTTTGTTTTCTGAGCAGCGTTTATAGCCGCGTCTTCACCTATCAAATGTGCATATTTCTGCTTATAGAATGTACCGCTCAATTGTTCTTTGTCGTGTTTCCGTTTCCTACTTCTCTCATTATCTAATGCGGCTTCCTTTTCCATTTCGGTACGTCTCTGGGCCATTTCTATTGCTTTTTCTTCATCCCATATTCCACCTGATCTACGTACTTCCAATTCGTCTTCGGAGGGTCCTTTGTCTTTGAGGTATACTACACAATATCTGTCGACTCCCTCTTGGCCGAATGAGTATACTTGTGCCCCAGCAGTCGTGGCCACATCTCTGATTACCGATCTGTACATCTGATCCATTGGATCAAACTGTAGATACGGTTTGTTACCATCTTTTATAAAATCACTAATTTTCTCTTCAATTCTCTTACAAAATTTACTTAAAATGCTCTTTTCCTCTTTCTGCTTACGTTCCAATGCCTCCTTATGTTTTTTCATAGCTTTCTTTTCTGCCTCGCTAGTAGAAGGTGGCTTTTGCATGGAATTTAATATAGAACCTAGTAGATCCATAATTATATTTGATTTTGACTACAGAATGAAGTATAGGCAAGTATTTCTGATACTTTTGTTTGCCAGTCTGTTGATATTTTGAAACTATCAACAAAGTTGTCTGTGTTTAAACCTCTTAATGATAAAACAGCTAATGCTGTGTTGATCTGCTCACAGATTTCTGCACCAAATGATATGCTGTGGCCGGCTAACTCTAATATATCTTCTAATGGAGGTTGAAGACAGGTGCCTTTAATTAACGGCAGATCTGGAGACAATTCAATACCTCTACAATTTCCTAGTAAAACTTTGTGTTTTAAACAAAGATTTTCGAAAGCTTCTTCTATCACAGTCCTGAAATTTTTATCATAAATTATGAATAACCTTTTATAGCTTTTAATGATATATTAAATTTATATAATTGAATTTAGGTTTATTATAAAATATTTAATATAACTAGTACATACCGTTGATGTTTTATCTCTTGAATATCTTCAGAAATAAGGTTATGTAAAGACGATAACAATTTGCTCTGCAATCCTCGGAACTCTTCGAGAGGCGACCCAGCTACTTGCGCCCTAAAACAACCACGCATTGAATATAATGTATACAACTATATAAGTTTATCACTTCAACAATATTATTTACTCTTTTATATTTCGGCACCGTTGAATAAATTTATTAATAGATATTGCGCAGTTTTGGCAGATTTTCAAACACGTTTTGGAAGTATTATAAAATTCCTCGTAAACCGAAAAGAAGTCAATAATTTGTTTTTGTATTGTCGTTTCCATTATAAATATCAAACTTCATTTTTATACCCGTGCCCGGTAAAGGTACCGATTTGTTGGTTAAAAGATAACTTTTGAAATCAAGCCTAGAATATATTTGTTAATGACAACGGTCTGAAAAAGAAAACAAATTATAAATCAACTGATATGCGTCAGTTTAGTTAGACAACTATAGATTAAAAAATGTAAGACTGTTCAAGAAAATAGGTAATAAATATTATAATTTAAATATTTATTGATTAGCATTGGTTTTTATTTTAATAAAATTGAGATTAAAACTCGATTAATGTTAATATTAATGGATTCAAACTATTAAAACATATTATTCATATCGTAATAATAAATCAAATATAAAATAATGAAAAAAAATATGATTTTATGTATTTATTTCAACAAATATTAGTATTCTAAAAGAATAGAGCCTTGCATTGTATTTGGACTTCTCTTTCAGTTTCATTCAATGTCAGAGTGATAGTTTAGTGGCGGCTGTGGCGCTTTGGTCGGCAATCATTTGAAGCATTCAGTTTTGATCTTTTCTCTTAGGCGTGAGTACGTAGTACTCACTCGCGCATAATTCCGATTCCAAATTCGTTTCGGGTCTATTATTATTTACGCGTTTTACAATTATCACTACACATTGTTATCGCGTTAAGTTAAAATGAGTGTTTAACGTGTTTTAACACAATATTTGCATTTAATGATAGTGAAAATGAATGGTAAAATGCACAGCGAAACGGGCACTTTCTCATCCGATGGCATGAGAGCCGAAATATTAAATCCTTTCGTCCACAAGCTTGAACTGGACAATACATACGACAAGATAAGGGTAAGACATAACAATATTGTTAGTCAGTGCCTCATTAAAAAATAGAATAAAAATATACAACCGAAGTCTATTGCGCAGACTCGGAAAAATTTTGCTACAAAGTTACTGCATATTCGTATTATGTTATTATTCGCTATTATTTTAAAATAAATTGTATTGCGAATTATTAATATTACAAAATAATATATGAATATAAAATGCAAATATGTCGCATATTATCTTAACAAGATTATTGAAGGTTATTCCTGAGTATAATATTCAGTGTTTCCCAATCATATAGGCATTATATTGTAGGTTTATATGGTTTATGCTTACTCTACAATAACTTAGATCACTTCAGTATATATATTGTTGATAAGTTATTGTAAAAAGTACGGAAGCTAAGGATTTTTTGCTGGCAACTTCCAGGTGCCGGTCATAAAAAAAACCAGCATGAAATAAAAAGTTAACACAAAGAAGTTTTTACATTTATATAAATTATTTCTTCTATTTAGAATAAATTGTATTGCTATTCGCTGCCTGCCCTTGAGTGTTTTCGAATCCTTTCAATCGTAAACTAATACCATCTCGTATAACCTTCTAATGGCTTCATTGATTGCTGCATGTAGATTAAATAATATAATAAAAATGTTTTATAAAATACGTCCCATTAAAATATTGATGTTATTGCATTATGTAAATATATGCGTTTTTGTTATATATTTTGTTAGACACATTTTTATAATAATAAATAGTATTGATGCAATACTGTCTGGCAATTCGAGGTTTTTGTATTTAAACATACTTGGAGCGAAGAAAAAATTGCAGTAATTTCGTTATTAAATTATAATTTAAGTTTGAAATGATTATAATATTAAAACATAAAAAATTAACAACAGAAATGATAAAATATTATTTGACAATGAAATTAATAAAATTCTTTTTTCAAATACATCGATATCGGCTGTATGTTGAACGACCGAATCAAAATAATTTTATTATGATGCTAGTACATTTACGGATTTTTTCCCTCCGCTTGTCCTACATGACATTGCTTCTTGTTGAATTAAATGATTCTAGGTCAACATGAAGGTTAAGTTTTGATTTTCTTTCGAGCGTTAAAATATAAGAAACACGTGACGGACTTTAGGTAGCGTTGAAATTAAGTTTTTTTTTACAACTCCAAGCGATAGTAGACTACATTCTACTTATAAATGCGAAAGTTAGTGATGATGTGTGGATGTTGATTTTGTAGGAAAATATACAAAAGAAATTGCCGTGAAAGTTTCCAATAGTGTAAAAAATATTTTGTTTTACTACAAATTATTATATCTCCAGTTGCCTTGGAATCACGTTTGAATCTTGCTAGTGTTAATGAAATTTTCATTATAATTGTTTAAAAAGTATTTTTTACTAATAATGGCTTTAATTTATCATTTCTTTCCGTGTAGTTTGCACAAACACATCGTAACAGCATGTATAATAAAGTCACGTGACTTCGTTTAACAGACCTATTATTATTATTATAACACATTATTTATTTTTGAACACAATACCAAAGATATTGTAAACGGAGTCACAAACAAAAACTATTTAACTGTTAATCCATATCAGCTTGTACCTAAGAGTTCGCGAGATTTGTCTCGATTTAAAGACAAACCGACAGACACATTAAGAAATAAAGCCTTATATCAAACCTTTAGTTTTTGGTCAACATTTTGAGATAAGTACATGAATTTAATATGTTTTCAAGAGCTTGACTCCAATTTATGTAAGCCATATATCTGTAGAAGCTTCTGGAATAGAAAGTTTCTATGCCTAGTTCATATGTAGTTATGTAAAAGCACAATATAATATTTATAAAGACTATTACATAGCATACTACAAATAGTAAGTTAAGTTTATCTAGTTTGAAGAAAACGGCAAAATACTATCAAACAAGAATAAAGTCGAAATAAAGAAGATTTTTTTCTAGTTCCATGTACAATAGAAAGTTATACATGGAAATAGTTATTTGTATATTAATAAAACAAACATTATCTGGTAATGTTATAAAAGAAAGTTATGGATAGTTTGATAAGTGCTGTACCTTGAGGGAAAGTCTTTAATACGTATACAGACATAGCTTGTAGTTATATATTACTTGCGTAACTTTAGAGTGAGTGTATTGTGATAGAAACATCTAGAAGCCTGAATAAACCTTTGAAAACTTGGAAACTCTACTTAAAAACGTAAAAGAAACTAGTAAAACAACTTTAAAACTTAAAAAAATAGTTTTATAAGCTTCTGTCTTCGTAAAAGTGAGTGAATTGTGATAGAAACATCTAGAAGAATGAATAACTCTACTTTAAAACTTACTAGAAACTAGAAAGACTTTGAAAACTTAAAAAAATCGCTTATAAGCTTCCTATGTTGTATTTCAAAATATTTAACATTTAATTGTTTATAACGTATAGTTTTGGGAAGGTCGAGATGTTTCAAGGCTCCAAAGATTTGCATATCATGTGCCAAAGAATGCATTTTTTTAAATATATATTAGTTTAGTTCTTCCTTCAGTTGAAAATAAATGTTTTTCCTGTATGATAATATTATTTTAAATGTTAATGGCCGTGAAATATAAATATTATTTCATTAATGGAGGTGCTCTAAATATACATATTAGCTGACCCGGCAAACGGCCTAATAACTCAGGGGTATGAAAAATAAATGTTGGCCGATTCTCAGACCTACTCAATATGCTCATAAAAGTTCATCAAAGTCGGCCCAGCCGTTTCAGAGGAGTTCTATGTCTAACACCGCGACACGAGAATATTATATGTATACGAGATATAGTATCTATATAAGCACGACATTTTTTATATTTTCGTATATAGGTACTAAAAGACAAATCAATGAACAATTAAGAAGAGGAAAGTCTTGTAAAAATATTTAATAATTTTAATTAAAAATAATAATTTAGGGAATTAAATGAGAAAAGCTTGATTATAATCTATTGAGTAGTTTTACTGTGATGTTTATTCATACAAGCATAAGACATTTATACTAATTATTGACTGCGGTTTTGCCTATATCTTTACCCTAGCCCCTTTAAGATACGCGTAAATGATGAGGGTGACCTGAGGTTTCATTCGATTTTCGTCAGGCAGACAACAATTAAAATAATGCTTACTTTTGAATTAAATGTCGTATATACTTTTATATGCACAGTGAGATCTAAGGTTTTCGTGTAAATTTAAATCAAACTAATATTTTAGGATTATCACGTAATTTTTGCTTCAAAGCAACCGAAACGTCAGGAGTAGGTATGTAGTTTTAAAAAATAATAAAATAACGCGTAGTAATCCGAAAAATATATTTTTTACTTTTATATGCCTTTCATGAAAAGATTTCGATTAAAATTACAAACACTTTAATTTCATTTATTAGTAAATATATGTATACAATGCAGACCCACCTTTACGTATGTGTAGGTATACAATGAATATATTATCAGTGGATAGACGTAACATTAAGACACACATACACTCATATTAAACGACCTTGCCAATAGTTTATTATAATTTGACCGGTCCTAGACGGAGCGTTGAAAAAAATTAAATTAGGTAAATATTTTGTGTCCAAACATTACAATTCATGCACAATATTCTTGAGTTAAAATATTTAAGTTTCATTAAAATTGAGTATTGTATATCTCTCTCAGAGAATTACAAAAGTCAGGATTTCCTGACAAACTTTAGTAGCTATAATATTAATAGGTCAGTAGAATAATGCCTACCAATAACTGTTTCAGAAAGAGAAATTATAATGCCATCAATTTATTCTTCTGATTTACGGGATTCCGTAAAAAAATTACTGTTTATTTACCTTCATTTTAATTATTTGTAATCAAAATTGTTTTGTTTATTTTTAAAATTCGAATTAATTTATCACAGACAACAAATAATAATTTAAAGAATAGCATGACATTCAAACCCACAGAGTCGCATAACCCGTTATTGCCACAGATAAAAAAAATTATATATAAACTCAACTCGTTTCTAATTACATCCAATATTGAACCTGTGACCTTTCCAGTCTAGATGTTTAATATTTAAATATCTTGTAGACATATAAATCTGACTGCCACTGCTTTAGAGTAATAACTACATATACTCTTAAGATGCATATCTTTGACTTAGACATTTGTATGAAATAAAATATGCTTAAGCTTTTTGGCAGCTAACGGGTTTATGTCTAATCTAGATATATCTGCAAGGTTTTTTTATCACATCGTTATACAGGGTGACTGGTGAATTACTATCAATATTTAAGGAGAATACTCGGTACATGATTCTCATTCGAATTATGTAAAAAAAATAGGTACTTAATTTTTGACCAAATTTCCGTATAAATAAATAAAGTGTTGACACGTTCCAAGTGTTCCAAGTGTGAATGCGTGCGACGGCGTGCTGATACAACAAGACGCCGCCCCGCGCGAGTGTGTGTGTGTGTGTGTATATACCTAATCTGTAGGGTGTTCACACGATGCGTAATTAATTACATAACTTTTGGTTAACTTTACTTAGAAGTTTATTAATATTTATGTTATATTAATTTTTATTTTGTCATATATGATCGTCAAATATCACGTCCTCAAATATCGATAGTAATTCACCAGTCACCCTGTATATTTCATATGTCAATAAAGTCTAGATTCCCATGAAGCAATTAAAAAAAGGAAATTCGTGTTAGTCACGAGTTACTTACACTTGAAAATAACTGACATTTCTGTTAAGTGCTAAGACATACGTATTTCAGTAGTCTTATTTTTGTTTAAACTTCCACTGCTTAAGAAGAAATGTATTTAAAGTACATATATTGATATAAATGAAATTTTGGTTTAATTGACTAAAGTAAGTTTGTTAATTTAAAAAGTACCTAGTAAAAAACCTTTTTAACGCATCAGTAATATGCATAACCAGCTTTAAAAGTAAAATGCAGTTTTACGACTAACTCGTATAATTAATTTTATACATTCAAATCATAACTTATGATTTTTTTATTAATTTAAATCATTACTTTACAAGTTCTATTTCTGTATTTAAACTATACCCATGCTGTTATTGATATTTTTTTTAAATAATCGTATTGAAATGGATTTACTAACGAAAACCTATCATACAAAAGGCTGTAAAGTGTGAAGAGTATAGTTGCAGTTGGCCACAGCAAACTACTAAAGATATTCAATACACACGATCATGATTCTTCTATTGTACAAACTACGGCTTACAATTTTCATGGTGTTTTTTATGACCTGTATTAAAACAATATACAGTTTCACATAAAAATAAGACTCTGGTCCTGATATTAGTAGCTTTTAAGATCACGTGGAAGTCATGTGACTTATCTTTGGTTTATTTGTCATTCTTTTGGAATTTGTCATACTTTTAGTCCAGTCATTATAGTAAGTTCACCTCGGAATTCGAGATACCCAGCTGTAAGTCTGTAAATAGTTGTATATTGACACCCTAAAAGTTGTCTCAAAACCTACATATGGTAGGGTGTAAGCAACTATTAAATTTCAATGTCAAAGGTCACAAAAATCGGTTTATTGCGCTTTTTTGGAAATATCTCATTTCCTATGAGTTTTTTTGCTATTTGTATTTATTATCAATATTGTAGAATACTAAATTCTCTACAAATTTTGTTTCAAATTTTTTTTTATACGGTGTACCGTTTTCGAGATAGAGGGCGGAGAGCGCGCGGTCACCGCATCACTTCAGGTCAACCAGTGCCTCCGATAAAAAACGCGCCATATATAGTTGATGAACAATCAATAAATCAATGATTATAAATATTTGTCAATTTTTATTAACTATTATATTATATTTTTAACTATTATATCATCTTCGTTGTACGCTTTTCGTCAAGTCTACAAAACTTAATAAACCTGTGCAGCTTTCAAATATTCCACCAACAAGTGCAGCTGCTCATCAACATTTCAACCGTGTATATTATCAAGTTCAAACTTGGTTAGGACATGATTTGGAACCCCAGGTATGGGGTTGGGCAATGCGAAATGATTTTCTGGAGCCTATCATGACAATTTTACTACAATTTTCTGCAACTGCAAAAGTGGTTGTGGTTCGCTCTCCGCCCTCTATCTCGAAAACGGTACACCGTATAAAAAAAATTTTGAAACAAAATTTGTAGAGAATTTAGTATTCTACAATATTGATAATAAATACAAATAGCAAAAAACCCATAGGAAATGAGATATTTCCAAAAAAAGCGCAAAAAACCGATTTTTGTGACCTTTGACCTTGAAATTTAATAGTTGCTTACACCCTACCACATGTAGGTTTTGAGACAACTTTTAGGGTGTCAATATACAACTATTTACAGACTTATAGCTGGGTATCTCGAATTCCGAGATTCTTACCTAATTTAAGCTTAAATGACTGGACTATTTTGAAAAGAACGGATTGCTGGATACAAAACTATTTAACACCGTGGTAAAAATATATTCTAATGAGCTCCACGTGAGAAGCTGCCCAAGTTAATAGATTACATAACATAGCTTATATAATAGCTTATAAAAGTTATTTAATTACTGTATTATATTGTAAATTGATAATATATATTCCGTGTCAAGGTTTGAACCAGCACGCGTTTTAGGCTTGCGTGACGTTCACGATCGCCTTCACATTTCTATATTCATTCCCATTATAATATATTTGATTGATTTATTGTTTAACGACGATCATGGATAAATTTAAGATAGAATCTTCTAAATACATATTTTGGTTAATAACAGTTTGAGAACTATGAATATAATAATATGTAGAAGTTTAAAATATATACAAGTAAATATTTTGATTGAGACTGTGCCTTTTTCATAGGACTTTACATACCTAATATTTTAAAATATGTAGGAATTTTCTTTGCGTCATCATCAGCCTATCAGAGCCCACTGCTGAGCAAAGGCCTCTTCTCACATGGAGAACATTAATCACCACGCTTGCTCAAGACGGGTTGGTGATTTCAAACTTATAATTTGAAATAATAAGTCCAGGTTTCCTCACGATATTTTCCTTCACCGTCTATCAGTGGTGTCCAAATACTCTTAGAAAGTACATATGACTCGAAAAATCACATTGGTACTTGCCAGGTTTCGAACCTGGGCCGTCATGCACGAGAAGCGGGCCGTTAACCACTAGGCCACCACGATTACCTTTGCAAATATATAATTTTTTTTTAAATCATCATAGAGACGTGGTATCCGGAATTTGGCATATTTAAATACACAAACAACTTTCAAACTTAATGTTTTTAAGAGAGTAATAAACTAGAAGACAACATCCGAGGCTGTAAACGTCGATGATGTGTTAAAATAGCATATTTATTTGTGAAAGCTGATTTATTCCTAGTTGTATTTATTTACGAACTATTCTTGATTATATTTATTGTTCTTTAGACTTATGAAATTTTCTCTGAAAGTAATTTCATTCACGTTTGAAGAAATACAATCTGATGATACAATAATATACATATATGTATATTTGTTACACGTTCCTAAAACTAAAATCCATCGAGGCATTATAACTTTTTTATCGGTCCTGTGATCTGGCCGTGTATTAATATTAAAATAAGGGAATGATTTTATAAACGGATTTAACATTAACTGTGAAAGATCAAAGACAGAATTACTAGTTAGTTAGTTTTGTCTTATTAAATTTAAGAATATGTACAGAATATAATATGGAGATGAGCGTTTAACGCGCGTTAGATAGGGGTCCCTTAAACCTACACCTGGGTCGCAAGTCCCAGACACTGTTGAACCTCCTCTCCCTGCAACACGATGAACCTGGCATATATAATACATCAGACATGGAATAATATCTACTGCGCGTTAAACGCTCATCTCCAACGCCCGAGCTCCTCTCTCTACCAAACCATTCTTTTCCGTAATAAGCAGAAGCTTAGAAGTGGTATCTTCATTGATATTTGGTCATAAAATATACGGTTTTAATTATAATAACTCACTAGTGACATGTAGCAATTAATAAAAAACATAACGTAACAAAATTTAACTCAACAAAGATGAGTTGAGAAAGAAATGGATGTCCATTTAGAAAAGGAAAGAAAGAAAAGTACTTTTCATTTTTAAAAAGACTTGCACTGTTCAATACGATATAGAATCTGTTCGATGACTCGACTTTAAACAAAAATGTAATTGAAGTATATTCAGGTTATGTTAAGATTATTGTTAATAAATTATTCGCGAGCATACATACATATAAATGTATCTTACTGTCTTTGTCTAATCAATTTTTTTTAATGAGCTTAAATCTTCAATAATATGATCAATGGGTTCAATTTTATATGATTCATTTTTAACATTTAATGTACAGATCAATGCACTCTCGTCAGTATATTATGTCTCCTATTTAAATTTAGTCTGTTATATTTCTAATTTTTTTGCCTCTGTCACGTACATACAAATACAAAGGTAATTTAGTCTAATTTAGGTTCAAGATCTACTATAATTACGCTGTCGTGTTTCTAGCCTATGTTTTTTTGTTTCAGACGGCGATCTTCACAGTAATTCTTCTGCCATTCAGAGTGATTGTAATCTGTTACCTGATAGTGTCTGCTTGGTTTCTTGCCTGCATCGGCTTGTATGGACTCAGTGAAGAAGACTTGAGAAGGAAACCAATGACCGGCTGGAGAAGGTACGTGTTTTTCTTAAGTTTATGACGTCATCTTTGGTTAGGATTTAAAAAATCGGTCATATGCAACCTTTTTGTCAGAAATCAGTCGGATTTTTGATGACATCTTACTTTTGTGTTTTTTTCATGGTATTACCTAAATATGAATATGATAAAAGAATTGAAATTTCACTAATTTTAACATGCTCATTACGTAGTGATGCGCCGATTGATCGAAGCGCATAACCGATAATGTCCTTGGGTACTTCGATGCTTACTAAATAAGTTGCTTTCTCGTAGTCAGTAGTCGACGCACGTTTGTAATTTCAGTTACATAATTATTAAACACCCTGTCTTGCATAATTAATGAGTTAAAAGCGACATAATCGATACCAGGATAAGAAAAGACTTGCTCTTTCCAGGGACTACAAGATTCCTTAAAACTTTCGATTTATTGGTAGTTTATGAAAAAAATATAAGCAATACTTCATTTTTCGTTCCCATCTAATCAAAATTGTAAATAAATTCTAAGATATTTTTAACCTAAGTTCCGCTTAATGTCTCCGGTATTGTTATATTTATGTAATTTAGATTTTTTTAAGGGAAAGTTACGAAAGACTACTATTTTTGTCCATTACAAAAGTACACAGTATGCTTAATTCAGTTAGCTACATTTTGCGTGACAGAACAACCTCTAGTAATTCTATGGTAAATTACGATTTGTGTACAGATCTAAGATAATTTCAATATCTAGCTTCTCAATGAGTGTGAACTATTGTGACTATTGTTCGTGTATTAGTTTTTAGATGATTGTATTGTTATAACAATGGCACACATTGTCTAACTGTGCCGTCTAAACTCGCGAAAGATTGGTAAGAATGAGCGATACTGAATAGGGAGATAAAATTTCTGGTCTAAGGTATCGAATACTCGAGACTTTGGTGGGATTTAGGGATAGTTAATGAGATAATTAACATCTCCGATGATAGTATTAATTTTTATAATTGAAATTTAGTAGAAATATAAAGTTTTATTTCCTTGTACGAAAAATATAATTAAGTTTACGAAGTACTCGCGAAAATCTTAGATCTCATTAAGTTTACGAAGTTTGTCAAAGATTCAATTAGAAGTATCTTATACTACTTACTCCGAGTGCGATACGTTATACTGCCAGTTACTAGGTTTTTCACTCACAATCCTTTTTCGTAAATTCGTAATCCTTTTCATTACAAAATATTGATGTACCATGGGAATATCAACCTTATAACATGGATTCAAATTCATACATATTTCGAAGCGTTTACCGTTTTTCATACAATAACCGACGTTATGTGCGAAGATGTATTAATGAAATGAACGATGAAAATCGTTAGATTGAACTATTCATAGGATAATAAAATCTTCAGCATCTAGATAAACCTATGAAGAATATAGTTATATAATTACATCATTATTCAACCATATTCGAATAAATATTCTAATAAATGGAATTATTAATTCAATTAAAAATAAATTTCAAATCAAACATATTATTCAATAGAATGGTCAATGTTAAATGTATATTAGTCGCTGTAATTTAAATACTTTAATAAAATAATAATGTTCGAATTATTAATATTATAATATAATTTGATAGAACAATTAATTGTTTTATTTAATCTCTTAAAACACTTAAACATAAATTTAACGTAATGGGATTATAAGAACCAAATTGAGTTCGAGGAAACCTATTGAGTTTCCTAACTTTATTGGATTATGCATACATAAGTTTTCTTTCACGTCTGGAAATTTGAAAGATATTTTGATTATATAGAGAGCTATATACTTATATATGTATGTAATTTCTACTCTTATTATTTAATAGATTATAAGATGTAATGATTATTTTTGATAATGATTGGCTTATACCGGACGTCCAGACTAAGAGAAAAACTATGTCTAGAATTATGGTATTTAGTTTTTGTTGATGCATTTATCTGTTTTGGAGGTCGTCGTACTAAAATTAATGATTTGGATACAATAACCTATTTAACTAAATGCAACGAGAAATAACACTTTGTTATTTTTAATAGCGAGAATTATTTAATTCATTTACATTTAGTTTTCTTATGAACTTGTGATAAAAAACAATGTTTGAGATTTTTCTTATAAATAATAGTTTATGTATAAAACTAATATTATTAAAATTAACCATAATCACGGTTGCTGTAAAGTAGGCGAAACGTCGGGAGTATGTACTTAGTTTTTTATCAAAAATAAAAATCGTATAGTAAATCCGAAAAATATTAGTTTCATTTAAATGAGTACTCGCGAAAATCATAGATCTCATTAGTTTATGTATTTTGTTTTAGTTAATAATATGTAACTTTTTTATTACCTTTTATTTGGCTGAGACTTTACAAAGTATTTACAAATTATTTTAATGTTTTTTTGTTATTATTTTATTATACCTATATAATTATAATAGGTTGTTTTTATAATATATTTTTGAGAAGAATGTTATTAGAGTCAAAACACGACGAATTAAGCAAAGAAATATAATTAAACGTATCTTTATTTAAAGATATGTTTCAAGAAAGTATGTCTTCAAATTTCAAGGCTCAGTTTAATCAATGCTCTAAAGATATTGGTGCGTTTTTTCAAGTATTGCTTAAATTTAATACAAAAATTTCACTTTAACTTTTTTAATGAAGGTTGTGCCGGATCGTTAATTTCGACAGACAACATTCTATTGGCACAAAACAAGAGTATCGAGTAACAAGATCACTCTAAAGAAATTAAGCTTTTATTCCGAATAACCTTTTAATGTAACCTATAGTTAATATTTAAATTTAAATTGTTTTGTATAGATAATTATAATGTTCTATCCATAACTTTCTATTACTAAAGCTATAACTGTTTCTAGAATACAGAATAAACCTAAAATTTATACATATATGTAGCAAAGTATAAAAACAATGATATAGGTTTCGGGCTCTATCATAATATAATTCATCTACGAAATTTTTTTGTGAGTTTTTACTTCAATTGACACTATAGTCAATATTTATGTTACCTTTAAAGGCGTTTAAGTCTCAAATTGCCATCGTAATTTTTGTAAGGTTAGGTATCATTATCGTTTGAACTACTAAGAATTTTTTTGATACTCATTTAACTATAGTGATTTACATTACTTGCGATCGAGACATTTCTTTGGCACTGCATCTGTATTCTAAATATTCATTAATAATAATAGTTGGATTATAAAATACGATTCAATGAATATCATTTTGTTTTAATATTATATATTTTTAAACTAAAATACATTTATACTCATTATTGGAAAGTTCTTTTATCATCATGAAGTTAGAAATAAATTGTTCTCTCTGATTATAGCATAAAATTGTAATCGTTAGAATGTTCAAAGTTCTTTAGAGTTTACATGAATTGTTTTAGATTTATATTATTTCTGAATCAGTGAAGTATGTGTTATAGTTCAAAGCTAAATTAGTTCACTAATCTATTGAAGAGATTTGTATACGGTGTATTAATGAGATCTAAGACTGAGGAGTATTCATTTAAATGAAACTAATATTATTCGGATTACTAAGAATATCTCATTATTGTAAAAACCACATACTTCTGACGTTGCAGTTACATTTCAGCAACCGTGATCACGGGCAGACGGGATGTGAATGGTTTTTTCAAAATGATAAAATACGCGTATTAATTTGAAAATATTGGTTGCATTTATACTATACTGTATTGTATTATAAAGCGTATTGTAAGTATATTTTCTGTTGTATTCTGTTTAAACATTACAAAACCTTGGAGTCAAGTGGAGCAAAGTGCAACGAATCAGTCAATACCGTGCTGTGTCTCAACAAAAACGAACGATGAATATCAATAAATGAGATATTAATTCGTGACAAACAAACAATATTAATTATTACTATTCATACATACAGCCCGTTGAGTTGATAGTGGTGTAAACAGTGACGTAACTACGAGGCTATTGGTAGAATTCATCGAATGGGCCCCGTGCCCCTCACTACCCTTATAAAAAGCTGATAGTTCAATAATAGTATTTTTTATTTTATAATACTTATTTAAACACTTTTATTTGTAAGTTTACTAATAATCATGTGAGGAGGCCTTTACTACATAAGATACGTATATATATATATACAGGGTGACTGGTGAATTACTATCAATATTTAAGGAGCATACTCGGTACATCATTCTCATTCGAATTATGTAAAAAAAATAGGCACTTAATTTTTGACAAAATTTCGGTATAAATAAATAAAGTGTTGACACGTTCCAAGTGTTCCTAGTGTGGACGCGTGCGGCGGCGTGCTGATACAACACTACGCCGGAGCACGCGTGTGTGTGTGTGTGTGTGTATATCTAATCTGTAGGGTGTTCACACGATGCCGAATTAATTACATAACTTTTGGTTATATATGTATATATGTATACAGGGTGACTGGTGAATTACTATCGATACTTGAGGACGTGATATTTGACGATCATATATGACAAAATAAAAATTAATATAACATAAATATTAATAAACTTCTAAGTAAAGTTAACCAAAAGTTATGTAATTAATTCGGCATCGTGTGAACACCCTACAGATTAGATATACACACACACACACGCGTGCTCCGGCGTGGTGTTGTGTCAGCACGCCGCCGCACGCGTCCACACTTGGAACACTTGGAACGTGTCAACACTTTATTTATTTATACGGAAATTTTGTCAAAAATTAAGTGCCTATTTTTTTTACATAATTCGAATGAGAATGATGTACCGAGTATGCTCCTTAAATATTGATAGTAATTCACCAGTCACCCTGTATATATATGTATATATTTTCATCTGCCCGGGAGCCCTTTCCGGCTGGGGGCCCGTGGCATTTTGCCGACTGTAGTTACGCCACTGGGTGTAAACGTAGTAACAAACGCAGTTTTATTTAACTGAAATTCTTTATATAATTATGAATATATTTATTATGTAATATTTTTTATGCAATTGTTTATGAATGTTTCCATGATTTAAAAACGAGGTTGACGTCTTGGTAAATTCCATTATGACCTTATTAGTATTGTTAATAAAATGGAAGGTATGTTGCCATATAAGGTGTTATACTTTCCCTATATATGTAATTTTGTATGTCTTTTTTAAATTAGTATCCTATGTTGGCTATGGTTTTGCAAATAGAATTGTGATAGATGTGACGTCTAACAAACAAGATTTCAACTATGATTCTTTTTACTTTTTTAAATTGTTCATATTATAAAAATTATAATTCGTTGCCATAAGTAAAAATATATGTGGAATAAACCTCAGGACTTTGAACTTAAGCTGATAGTTAAAAAAATAAAGACGATGTTTAAGTTGACTTTCTGGAACATTATTTCTGATACAAGTAACATCGAATGCAAAAGTTAGTGTATCATAAAGATGTTATCAAGATTCAAGATGGTATAGGTTGAGTGAGAGCTAATTCTGGCGGAATACATCAAACTCTCGTTACTATAAACAAGAAAGCGAGAAAGTTTTGTCACTGACCCGCTTACTATGTACTTTGTTTCCGAGAAATAACATTTGCTATTTTAATTGTTTTTTTTTTATTTCGCATGCAAGGCCTCGAATGAGGTTGTATATTTTTCACGTCTATAAAACTGGTTTGAATTATTTTCCTTAGTAATTTTAATGAAAGTGTACCAATTCTCATATTATTTTTTGTGTCACATTTTTTTTAGTATATTTACATTCTTTGTAACGGTATTAAAAATATTAATTTTTATATTTTTATTTAAAGAGTTTATTTTAATTCTACTGAAATTGAGTATATATTTTAAGACAACATCTTTTGAACAAATATTTGATTATGTGCATTGTGCAATCTTAAATTAATTACTTACTGTATATATTTTTGATTATTTCCTTTTCAATATGGATAATTGAGTAAAATCCCTTGCTTCTGAGAACTTCCCTCACATACACGATTTTGCTTACCATAAAATATGATAAATGAGATTCTGCAAGATGACAGTTTTTTAACTATTATTTTTTATATAACATTCGTCTGAGTTTTGTATGTATTGAAACTTTTTGGTTCGAGATTTTATCTAACTGTTAGATTATGTTAAACTACTGATAGTAACCTCACAAACAGTTTTTTGTTGCATCTAACAGTAGTCTTTCATCGCGATCTAGACTCAAAAAGTCCTAAAAAAATTACAAAACAATAATGTAACTACAAATTCAGTAAGTGTATTGTATATTAGGATGTCATATTTAAAGTCACGAATCAATAGATTTATGTGGCTGCTGAGTTTCCCTCCTGTCTGCGCGGGCGCATCACTTGTTAGTTAAGTCAAGGTCAGCAGCTAAGTACCGGTCGGATGTAGCGGTACTTTAGTGAAAAGTTTTAAATATTTCTATATATTTATATGATGCTCGACATTAATGTGTCTTATTTGGAGCGTTCAGTATTGTTATTTTAATTTTTCATTGATTTATTTTGTTATTACAACTTGTTTTTGAGTTTTTATTAAGTATAGAGCTATATTTCAGTGAGAATAAACGGTTATAAGAGTACTAGATTTGTGAGTATTTAGTTTTATTGGTTTAAAGACAGCGTTTAGTGGAGATTCTTCAAAAAATTTTAAAACGAACTTTAATGAAATACTATAGATATGTGATAAGATTATTCATTAAAACAGATCAATTGTTTCAAAAAACTAATTAATTAAGTTTTTTCTATACCAGATTATCGTGATTTCATCAAACTGGTCGATTATAAAATCACTTTACTAACTAATCACGCGGTCTTATTCTAGCAAACTCCGCTTCTATATTCTGTCCCTCATGCGGTTGGTGGTGGTGGCTGCTGGTTTCCACCGCGTGCGTGTTCTGGGTCGTCACCACCTACCGACCAGCCCCAGGGATGCGCCGGTGGTGGTGATGGCACCACACTCCTCATTCTTCGACGCCATCGCCATCGTCTGCCTTGGCGCCCCAAGTGTGGTCGCTAAAGCCGACACCGCAAGACTTCCATTCATTGGACGTACGTTATGGCATGTGTAGATCGCTATTATTTGAAGCTTAAACGAGCAGTAGATTTTGATGTTTTTGGTATAATGTATTCGATGTGTCTTTTTTTTTGTTTCAGTTTTGTTTTTCTTGTATTTGCGTGCTGTGTGAATTTTTGTTTTTCCTTGTAGACTAAGCTAATATATTTGCTTTTCCTTGTTTTGTTGCTATTTGCTACCAATATTGAGTTGGCGTTTACTTGTATATTTAAACACTAAACATAGTATTGGTTAAATCGAGTTATTTATGTCTTTTTGTCCTTGAAGGTCGTAAGCCCGAGTCTTTTCTTTAAAAGTTTTCTTGTTCGTTTCATGTTTTAAACTTCATTATTAACTTGAAGTATTACATACAATATAAAAGTTCGCTTTACAAGAAAATCACGTTACGAATAAAATAAATTCCAAATATATATACAAATTTCTTTATACACAAATGTCATTTACATAATAAGAAGATTTGATACAAAAAATAAAAGATGCCGGTAAATCTAACGGCGTATAACAGTTTATGAGAAATTCACAACCAACGTATTGAGGTCCATCGGATTAATGTGTTCGGATTTGTCCGTTTTATTGGACCTTGACCTTACTTAATTTATCATCACGTCATCATATAAAAGTCAGATTTATTTAAATTTCCTCTCGCTCATGTTTATTATTTTCCGGTCAAAGTTTCTTTTTTACTTTACAATTGTACTTTGTACCTTTTTCTCAACATTTTATTGAATTGTATTGTACCTTTATTTTCAATTGTACCTTTTGCACAAAAAATACAGTGTCAGATTGGCAGTGAGAGCTCTCGTGAAATTTACTTGAATGTGGCTCTCTAAAAATGTTCTTAGAATGTTTGGAATTTTTCTATATGAATATAGGTCATAATATGGTCATATATCTTCTCAAATATAGTTCTACGGTACATGTGTATGTCACTGAGCTCTTCTTAAACGGCTGGACCGATTTGAATGATTTTTTGTAGGCCTAGTAGATGAGGGGTATGTCGCTACATAGGTTATTTAAAAATGAAAAGGCTGCGCGAAGGTTACATAAACTACACATTTCTCTCTAAGCGTAACTTCGATGTTCACGCGGACAGAGTCGCGGGCTAAAACTATTATTTATATGAATATGTACGTCAACATTCACAACAGCAATAGTTCTTACACACAACGCGAACATCGTGACACACATCTAAGAATCTCGTGTCGAATCCACTTTATTTGCTTAAACCAGTTTATAGTGTACTCTCGAGACCGTTACATTTGCTTAATGGCCTCAACCAACCGAACAGAACTGGTGTATGCTTATCGTCGTACCGTCTTAACGGCTAATTAAAATCAAAATTGACGTTTGGCCAACCTTTTACCGTTTACGTGCCAAGAATTTTACAGCAATAAGTACCAACACATTATCAAACAGTTTACATAATGTTTTGTAATTTTTACTTAATATATTGCCATGAAGGTACATCTTTGGTTACACAATGTACATATTATTCAATACAGAATTTCACTCATTAAACTTTATTAAGAATATATCCGCGTCGAAAATTTTATGTTTCCTTGCTAACAAAAAACCGGTTGTTAGACGAGGAATATCAAAAATTTTATTCTACAACATTACTGTTCTTATCCTATACACAAAAAAGTTTAAAGTAAAAACTGGTTTGAAAATTATAGATCTCATTACGTCGGTGTTATCCTATAACATTAATATTGAATTCACATTCGCAAAAGTTTGTTATTAATTTAGGTCATGCATGTTTTAGTAGAGCTCAATTAATAGTTACTTTTATTTACTATTTAGCGTTTTCTCCTGATAAATCATATCCAAAGTATCTACTCTAGTACCTCAAAAGTTAGTTAAGTTAGTTAAAAATAATTATATACTTAGTTATATGAATATCATAAAATTAATTATAATATTCTTCTTCTACCTCGCAATTCCCAGCTTTAACCAGGGTCTGTCTTACATGTTGTGAATAGTTTTGTCTAATTGTTTTTACGACCGGCAACCTGCCGGACATCAACCCTCTTTGGGAATGCATTTATCAGTATGTATAAATACCCTTACAAAGTACATATGACTCGGAAAAATCACATCGGTACTTGCCAGATCGATTCCGCGCCCTCATGCATGAGAGGCGGGCCTTATAACCACTAGGCCACAACTGACTAAAATTCATTATAATAATCATCTCTTCGATTTCTATTGACATATATAGTACAGCTTATTTACTGTATATATTTGATACAAAATGATTTGATATTAATCGTTAATAAATATTATATTTGGTGATTTACAAATGAAAAGGCTAAAAGGTGATTAGAAAAATGTATTATACTTTCTAAAAGGAAACTAATATCGATAATTTATATAATAAATTTATATAACCTGCGAATAATATTAAAACATAAATTTTAATTGGACATACGTGTAAAGTAAATTGGCAACTTGAAACGAGATAAGTTTTTACCGAACTAGTCTATGATCTGAAATAATAACTCCTGAATAATAAAAAATATACCTTCACTCGTTGTTATAAAGTCTATTTTCATATAATTACAATGTTCCCGTTATGTCTGACTACCCATTCTTTAATTAGGGCTATCAAGGCGTACAATGTGACAGGTAATTTCACGAATGTCAGGAGTTTTGCAAAATAAACACGAACTTCATTCACTTTTGTTGTTTCATTAATTTGTTATACCATGTTACGGTTAGTTCATTAGTTGAATAACCCTATTCTTTACCCCTAACCTTGAGTAATTGCCTGCATATTGAATAGACTCTGATCTAATGGTCTTTTATTTTGTATAAATCATATTTAAGGGACTATTATACATATCTCAATTGACAAGTAAGAGTATAGAAAACTCCTAACATAAAAAATTATTTCGTTTTTTTGTCATCTTGCTGTCACCAGTTTTTGGCGACAGTAGCTTCTTAACTTGTATTATAATAGATCTACTCGTAAATAAAAAATCTCATTAATCAGTCATCATTCGAGACACTAATAACTATGGTACCGTCTTTCACTAGAAACGCCACAAGTTATTATGTCTATCATTACCAAAGGTCGATTAAACTTTAAAAATACCTTTTTCCTTCTATTCTTTTGTTACAAATATCTTGCCGTTATAATGAGTTAAGAACTATAAAGTTAAATGTAATTTAACGTGAGTGTATTAAATCGAGCGTTACTTGCAGTTGACGTAACAATGTAAACGCACTTGCGTACTTTGATGACTTTCTACGTTTTGTGGTCGATGTAGAGTTGAAAGACCGAATATAAGTTGGATTGAGGCAAAAAATAACATGTTCTACTTTATAAATGTGATCTGCAAAATTGTTATTATCTTCCATATAAATAGCAAACTTTGTATCTGGATGTATAAACGTAAGGAACATTTATCTTCTTACACAATCTATTCATATTTTTTACGGTCTTCTTCGATTCTTGTTTTTTTTTTCTTCCATTGTTTATAGGTTAAGTTGTGAAAGAATTAATATTAAATTAAGTTGAAATGTAACAATTCACGCATCGGTGATAATTTGTAAAACAATTGATGATATGGTGCTGTAAAATGTGTTCCACTAAAATGTTATGAACGAGAAAAAGTATTAAATAATTCACTTATAGCTTTTGAAAAAATATATGTAGTCAATCTGATTTTTTATTTCAAAAATGTCTGTTCATGTAATTAAATTAATTTTGTATATAATCAGGACAAAAGGGAAACGAATGATGTCTTCGTTCAGAGCGATAGTCTTACTCAATCATTGTACAATATTTACATTGAACAAAGTAAACAGCTCTCTTCAATTTCTATGATGGATCGTGGCATTTTATAGAATTATATAATAATCTTAACTATTCAATCACTAGCGATAATTTTGTTGGATATTTTCCACGACGTAAATTGGTTGTTAAAATATATACCTAGTAAAATTTTTACCTGCGTTAAGATGGTGATGGGTGACGGTGTAAAAATAAATAAGAGAACTTAGACGATCACCAGATTTTAAAATAATATTTGTACAGAAAATAAGAAAATTAATTTCCTATAATAATCAACAAAATAAACCTCTTTGTGTTCTAGACTAGCTTTAAGTCTCAATCCAGTGTTTGCCTTGATATGGTATAACTTACTACAAATTTTGTTTAAAAAAATAATCACTTCAATTGACATGGCCACATGATGACGTCATCATCTTTGTATAATATAAAGAAATGTTTTCATTGATTGTAACGGATTCTACATTCTTTCTCATACCGGATAACTCAACCGGATTTTTATAAGTGACGTCAAAATTTGTACTGTTTTTCATCATATCAGCTTTTCAGTGTGTATTGAATGTGCCGTATAAAATGAATTGCATACATTCTAGGTCGTTGAAACCGCTAATATGCTTTATCGGCAAGATGTCCTACTTGGCTGGTGGGATGGCGATATCTATCCGTGGTCGCCAGGCTAGCCGCAAGGAGGCTCCCATTCTGGTCGTGGCACCGCATTCCTCGTTTTTGGACAGCTGTATAGTGTATGCGACCAGGATGTCTTCTGTCATAGTGAGGAAGGAAAGCATGGACAATTATGTGGGAAGTAGGTGGACATTTTTGTGGTGGTGGTACTTTTTGTGGTGGAGGATTTACTTTGGATATCTAATTCTAAAATCTCTTATTGATCGATGTTTTTGGTGTCGGTATGTTTTTGGTCCATACTTTTTCATGGTTTCGATGCGAGATTTTCTTTTGTTTTAGCGAATAAGTATGCAGTGATGTATAAAAATTAAAATAAATACATAAAATAGTTTAGTTTATAAATAAAGTATGATAACATAAATCTCGTAACTAAACTGTCTGTAACGTCAAAAGAGTTTAAAATGCAATTACCCCACGACTCGCTCGGTTCTCAGCGTATTGATTTTTCGTTTACAGAGAAGCCAAATGCATTTCAGTCTAACTAAATGCTAACGTTGCTAGCATTCGTCTCTTTGATCATTACGGTACCTGATAAAAAATATTAACTGCTGACTACGCCATATTACTGTCAATGAGATTTGAATAAAATTAAATGAGTATTATTTATTTAGTCGGCTGACGTACGGTGTAGATGAAATAATTTATCTTGAACGACTGTTCGAATTCTTTACACTCATGATTAATTAATCTCAACCATTGATGGTGATGCTTTTGTAATGTTTTCAATGTATGTGTTTTAAATCGTGTCAACATTTCTTTATATTTGAATAATCTTTTGATCTTTGATTTATTCCAAATCACGACGACGGAGATTACGCTTCAATGGGTTTCTGAAAGAAAGAATAATATTATTTCGGTTCGTTCGGTTCCCCTTTTGATACGCTCATTAAATAGCATTGAATATATCAAACGAGTGTTGAATATTTTCATAACTGTACCGAATCACATTTTACATCAAATCTTTTTGTATTATAACAGTAAATATTGATTTTATATCAATATACTCTCTAGTTGCGTGTGTCCGTGTGATATTTTTAGACGCACGTGTTTATTAGGTTAATGTCAGACAGAAATATTGGCTTTGAACACATAACTACTTATATGTATGTTGTTCTTTGGTTTTAAAATTGATTAGCTGATGAGCTGGTCATATCAGATTATGTATAGTTATTACCCCTGAAGACTCCCATTTCTTGAAGAATTTTAACTATAAAGTTTATGTCTCCATTTAATAAATAAAACTGTTCTGATAAAAAAAATATTCTCTTAAAAATGGAAAAAAACATTACTGATTGGCTGTTAATTTATTTTCGGTCCTCACATTTGATTTTATATTTACATATTTTGTACGAAAAAACTTTCTTAATATTAATGTCCTAAATGTAGATTAATAAAAGATTTTTTTTAATAATATCAATTAAAAAATTCATAAATATCCAATTAAAAAAATCTCAAACATTATTCTGTTATTATCTCGGACAGGTTTCTGGTCAATTTATAAAAAAACGTGTTTCCATTCAGATAATATTGTGCAGTTTTTTGTTAGAGGAAATTTGTTGTAAATTATACACCGCTATTCGGTAATGTGCTATGCGAGGAATTCTTGTACCGCTAAAAGATATTTAAAAAAATGAATCTAAATTCTAATACAATCTAATACGCTTAATCATTAAGATGATACATTTCAATTTGTATATTATATTAAATTTTGTCAATAATATCGTTTGTTTGGTATATATATTATATACACTGTGTATATACATACATATATGTGAAATATTACGAAATCAGAAGGGCCTATTCTTTCGTTTACCGTCAGAACGTCGATGAAAGGTTTTTTTTTATTTTTTCACAAATAAGTAGGAAATGAATTTTACATACAATTTACACTATAAAAATATATAATAATTAGTATACAGTATGATTTTGGTTTTAATTTTAGTTTAGTCTTATACGAAGAGTAATTTCTTATTTTTTATTTGTAAGATATAAATTTGACTGGATACACAAAATAGAGCCTGTTCAGGTCGAAGGTTTTACATATTTTTTTATATGTTACATACATTAAATATATGTTATATGTAGTGATTTTATTATGAATTAATTTCAAAATGGCTTAGCTTCATTGAATATCATAGAAAGTTCGTTGTAGATCTTTTTATAAAATTTATTCTTTTAAGTAACAGTTTTTTAATCATATTATAAAATCAGTTAACTTATGTATCACTGTCGTAGTTAGTATTTAATAACCCACGCTTGTAAAACGCATGTTATAACATTATTTTTTACTTGTATTTTTTTATATGTGTAAAAGGAAAATGGTTTTAATACAAGAAAAAGCCAATTGTCATTACATTTATTTTTTCTAGGAATAATATTTAATTTTAAATCTGTGGTAACAAAGATTTTCAATATACATTTTTTCGTTTTCAGAAGTGTTATCCATAGTATAAATATTACTAATTAATATAAAACAACTCTTGTTGTATTTACAGAGTTAATAAACTACACACAGCCGGTGTATGTGTGGCGGGATGACCCTAACTCGAGACAGAACACGATCAAAGAAATTATAGAACGAGCCACCTCCAAAGAAGACTGGCCTCAGGTACACGAAATAAACAAAACTTATCCTTAGTTAAATATTGTCAGTAAATTAATCTATTTAATTTAACTATGGTAACATAGACTTTTCACGATCACACTTCGTACGGTGAGTTTTTAGTTCATTTATTACGTTGGTCTGGCACCGAACACGTAGTAGGAACTACATTGAACAAAATTAGAGTACTCTTACGATAGATTCGCATGATCAAACTTTGTAAGGAAAGTTTTCGTTTTTATTTATGTTGGTAAAACATGTAGTAAGGATGAAATATATTAATAAGAGTTACTTTCTCTTCAGTGAGATGGTGATGATACCAAAAATGTGATAGATATTGTTAAGATTTAAAGAAATAAGTGGACATTTTATATGTTGTAGTAGGTAGTCTAGTAATGTCCTTTTTCCTTACAAAAATAAAAACGTTTAAAAAAGAAAAAAACTTATAAAAACTTATCCGATTATTTGAAAAAAATTCTAATTTATAATATTCATAAGGAGCTTCATTAATTCATAGCATTTGTATTTAATTATTCATTCCCATGCAAAATATCTTACATATTTTTATTAATATTTAAGAGAATATTTGAATCAGGAAACCTTTTCTAGGAAATATTATGTTGACGGTTCTGAGCTCTTCGTTTTATTGGCTATTTGTTTGTGAATTACCATAAAACAAACTCAACAAAAAAATATTTACAAATACTGGCAACATTATTTATGTGTCGTCATGTTAATTTAATGACAACACAGGAGTAAGACATTATTGGAGGAAGTAATACGGATATATTATGGTAATTTTTTGGATTTATTTCTCTGTTCTTTTGACCTTAAGATTGTAGAGTAATATTTTAGTACAAATGTTTATAAATTATGCTATTTTTTTATCGGATTTATTTTGCGTTTAAAGTTAATTATTCTTTACATTAAATTTATTGCTTGTATAAAATCATAACTTAACAGTTAGTTTGACATAGTTGTATTTTTCAAACCGACTTCAAAAAACGAAGACGATATCAATTCGTCTTTGTTTTTTTTATGTTTGTTATTTAAAAACTTTTACCAAAATACGGTTCAGTTGAAACCCTTCGTGATCACACAACTAGTTTCGGAGATATTTCAAATAACATGCTGTCTTATATATCAAAGATATATTTATTTTGACTAAATTGAAATCGTTTGAATTTTTCGTTTGAAAAAAGTGTAATCTCTAACTTGTATGGATACGTAAAAAACAACATTAACCTTTACGTTTTCATTTAATGTTATTTTTTGCATATGACTAATATTAAAATAAGCGAAACTTAAAGTAAGTTGTAATGAAGAATATAGTGCGTTCATTTTAAATGACCTCTAGAGTTATATGTAGTATGAAAGCATGATTTGAACGAAAAGATTTGAACAAAATATACATTTCATATTTTTTTCAAAGGTAAAGGTAAATGTTAAGCATTTAATCTTGAATAGTTGTGCAATGGCCTTGGTATGTTTCTATATGTATGTTTCTGGAGTTAACCTGATGACTGACAGTTCCATCGTCCTGCTATCGTACAAGTATATTTCTGAATACGTTTAACTATCTGTTTGATAGAATATAAACTCGCGTATAGAGTATGGGTCTTAAGTTCACAGCGATACTTCAGGTAATAGATAATTTTACGAGAAACGATGTTAGTATTTATGCCGACCAGATAAGTTATGTTAGAATTACACTTTCTTATTAATTGGTAATATTATGCATTGAATCTAAAAGGCATAGTGTTATATATAAATACCATATTAAATTAATATTGATTTACATTTCGTTTAAAAAACTGGTTTAAAAGAGAAGGGTTGTATGACATAATTACTTGATTTAAAAAGGCTGTATACCTTTGTATTGCAGATCTAAAAGAAAAGATCTACAGAACTCCCAATTTTAATTCAATTCAATTTCATATTTTAATGACACTTCACTTCACTTCATACTTTTCCAAATATCATAAAAACAGTAATGAATTGTAACGATTTTGGAAATGAGCTCATTTGAATATTACTTAGCTAGTTCAATCTGGTTTTATCTGGAATCAATAGAAGTTAGAAAGTAATTCAGATGCCTTGCAAATGTACTATAAGATGGGGCTTCTTTTTGCGTCTGAGCGTAACGCCTTTATTTATGCCATTGAATGAACTGGGTCAAGTAATTTCGATACCTTCATGAAGCCATTGTTCGGAACATCAAGTCATGGTTCTAATAAAGCCCAAACAAACAGCACAGATGGCGACTGAGATTTAATATTCAATTTAAATCTCAATTTCACACGCTTTTCTAATCATGATCTATAATTATTTTGACTCGCCTCTCCTACTGCTATTGAATTGTAACTGCATCTATCAGATACGCTATAATAACTAGCATAATTATTCTACACTTTCGAAAGTGTAATGAGAATTAATTAATAATTTTATGTAAGCACTCATTAGATTTTATTATCAGTTTTACTTTCTTCTATATGATCCAGTGGAAATATTAATTTTCAATTAACATTTATTTAAATTCAAATCGATAAACTATCAACATTCCCAAATAAAAAACAAATATCCATATTTAGCATCCAGAGCGGTACGCCAGAAAATTAAGAAATCGATGGGGGTGGGTACATGATAAATAACAGGACCAACTGACAGACACTAACATCTCGTCTGCCCGTGATCACGGTTGCTTAAAAGTAAACGAAACGTCGGGAGTATGTAGTTTAAAATAGTAAAAAAAAAGTAGTAATCCAACAATATTAGTTTCATTTTAATAAATACTCGCGAAAGTTAGACCTCATTATCCAGATTTGGCATAAAAATATCTTGTATTCTTTTTCTATTCCAGGTGCTAATTTTCCCTGAAGGTACTTGCACGAATCGCTCTTGTCTAATCACGTTCAAGCCTGGTGGCTTCTACCCTGGGGTACCGGTACAGCCTGTAACGATCAGGTATCCCAACGCTAAGGATACCGTAACATGGACCTGGGAAGGACCTGGCGCGTAAGTAATCCAGAAATAACATCTTCATGCTAATGTCTCTGTTCAGCAATAAACCGAAAACTCGCCTTATATCTACTGCTATAAATTTATAGGCTTTACGCGATGTCCCGTTAACGTAATTTGCTCATATAAGCCCTATTGTATTGTTAATATTACTCCTATATATTTTCCCTTATTAAAATTTCCCCTCATTAAAGATATAACTAATTTTTTAAATATTAAAGAATATATTCTTGGCTGGTTTATTGTTACTATATTTTTTTTTAAACAAACAATGTTTATTTTACACTTACTTTTATTTATGCGGGAAAAGTGTTTGTTTGGTGTAATTATTCGCCAGAAAAATTTATAATAAAGGTAAATATAATAATTAAGGAAGTCCGGAAGTGGGATTTACTTTTTTGTTACTTGAAGGTAATTTAAACATGGCCCTGTTCAATGTGAGGCTGTTATAATGCCAAGGGCGGGTTTAGTGTCCAATGGCATTAACATTGTATTATAATTATACGTGAACTTAAAAGTCCATATATACAAAGTAAATAAAATTTGTATGTATGTTTGTAACTTAAACACCACACACAAAATAATAAATTTTTGTCTCTCTGTTTCTCTCATTTATCTCTTAAAACTTTGTCCCGATTTATACTTGGTCCTTACTTTCAGGATAAATAGCTAAAATAATTAGGAATTACTTTTAAAATTTTATTTTTGAAAGCCCCATTTTTTAGTAATACATACATATATGTAAAAAAAGATTTTTCGCGCGATCCAAGTTGCAGTCGCAACTCGTTTAATATCTATATTTTTATATATGGCAATTTCTTGATTTATTATGCTCTTTTGGGTCGACATATTTAGTTGCATAGACGTTGATTTTGTGTGGTGTCTCCGTTCCAGATTGAAGCTCCTATGGCTGACGCTAACTCAAGTGCATAGCTCCTGTGAAATCGAGTTCCTTCCCGTCTACTATCCCAGTGAAGAAGAGAAGAAGGATCCCAAGCTGTACGCACGAAACGTTAGAGATGTTATGGCCAAGTAAGTGACTAAGTGTAGGTTAGATCAGTTTGAATAAGTTTAATTTTGACTTCTTATAAGTGAGGTAGTTAGTTTTCATTAACTCATTTATTAATTCATTTGTATTAGGTGTACCGTGGTAGAGACAGAAAAGTATTATCCTAAATCAAACTCAATATTCTCCCTTTTTTTGTCAATCTGCATATCACAATTAAAATGAATTCTGCTAACTTAACGTTTCTGTTTACTTTTTCCATTGATGATCTATGCCATTTACTTATTTTCTTGATATAGATATATTTCCGAGTACATAGTACATGTATATCTTTTTCTGTTTTCATATACTTTTCATGTATACCTTTGTTAAACAAGAATTTGGGAACAAAAAAAACTTTAAGGAATATTAGTGAATTTAATACTGACTTTTATCGGGATAACAAGAAGAAGCAGTCATGAGGGAAAAGGTATATGGAGTAGAGTTTGCCGAAAACTGAGGCGTAAAAGGGCAGAATATAAAGGATAATGTTATTAACCCTTAAAATAAGATTAGGTTACAGTCACTGGCGCTTCACTGAAGTGATAAAGCTAACTTTTTTGGTGTAATGGGTAGTCCTGGACCCATCCCGGGATCCCAAAAACCTCTCCCTGGTTCAGAGCAATATACCGTTTTTATCAAAATAAAGCTTAAGCTAGGTGCACCCAAATTAGACCCAAAGTTTAACTACTCAAGGTTTAGAATTGAAAATCAGAGCGTTTTCTTATCAGCACTAATTAAAAGTCAATATAACTTAATGTTCCAGAGCCCTAGGAGTGCCAGTTTTAGACTACACGTATGATGACTGTAGACTGATCGCTCGCGCCAAACAGCTCGGCATACCTGGCGGAGCGTTATGTAGGGAGGTCAGCGAACTTAGGGCACATTTGGGGTAAGTTTTTTATTTCGACATTTGTATACTAGTACTTTTAAATTACAGAAAGGAAATCTTTGCTCTTTTCTAACATACTAATTGAGTATCGTTTGACTATATTCCCATTCTGATGGTAAGTGAAAATGAAGCCGTCTATGGTAAACGCACTATACAAATAAAAGTCTATTTATTAATTGCATGAAGATTTATAAATTTCTTAGGAAATTGGTTGCCATCGAATTAAAAATTGAAGCCAATTGCTTCGTTAATTTCATTAAAGACATCATCAGTATATTACTTCGTATATTAACGGTTTTGAATACCAATTTATTATCTCCAAAGAGATTTCTCATTAACGTGTCTATCATAGCTAAATGCTGGAACATTTAATGACCTCTTCCTGTTGGTAGGTTGGACAGTTCCCAATCAGACTTGGACCCTTCTCCAGGCGCCTGGTATGACTTGCAACAGTTCGCGCGTCGCCTCGGAACAGACACACAGAACCCACACGCTCGACGGCTTTTCGACATTTACAAACAGGTAGCTTAAAGACCTAGTCTCCTAGAAACGGCAGGAGATCTTCGCGATATTAGCTCATCCCTACTAATATTATAAATGCGAAAGTCTGTCTGTCTCTGTCTGTCTGTCTGTTACGCTTTCACGCCTAAACCACTGAACTGATTTTAATTAAATTTAGTACAGAGATAGAGTTGACCTTGAGAAAGAACATAGGATAGTTTTTATTCCAGACTTTTGAAAGGTTCTCTTGGAAACGCGATATAACCGAACTCCACGCGGGCGAAGCTGCGGGCGGAAAGCTAGTTTATATATAAGGGACGTTTGGATAAAACAACATTGTGTGAGTTCATTGACCCGCGGAAAAAATACCTGGCCGTGAAGTACTTGAATACTCGATGACACAAAATAAATATGATAATCCTGTCCATGCACCGATCAGACCTATAGTCTTAGGTATAGTTTCAAAAGTCTTAGTTTTGTATTGTAATATATTTTATAGCAAGTTTTGTAGTTCCCTGAAACTGTAGTCGCGAGGCAGCGGTTATTACAGAAATTTCCATTATACAAGTAGAACTTTGTTCATTAAGACTTCTCTACGTATTGTTAGAATCAATTTTTTTCTTTGTTGTTTGTGTGGTATTTAATTAAATCTGAACTGTTAAAATATATAGTCAGATGTAATGTATTACAGTTTTCTTTGTAAATCTTATCTTATATCTTTAATTGAGCATTGAGAAATAACAAAAAAGAGTCGTTTAAAATATGACTCTGCCTGACATCTATCGGCGAATAGTAATACTACTTTTTGCTAATTGCTTTATTAATTGCCTTAACGACACAACAGCAGATGGCGTTGTTAAGTAAAGGGAAGTCAATCAGTGTTTGTTTCAAGGTTAGACTAAGAAATTAATTGTTGATTAATATTGTTTTGTGTCTTCTAAAAGTATTCACTTAAAATACCTAAACGAAATTACAAAATAAATACTAAGAATTCCTAAATACCGAGCATAGCTCGGTAACCAGATATTGATTCATTACTTAACACGAAAACGTTTGAGTAAATAAAGGGTGATTATTATCATTAAAAATATTGCTTTCGTTACATCTACAATGTATATTGTAATCCAATATATTATTTTAACTGGATGTTCTGACTAAATAATCCTGGCAGATTGGGCTCCTGAGTAATGGAATATTTGGAACGTAGCTTTTCAGAAAGAAAAGTTACTTATTTGTCAGATTGTTATATTATGCACTTTATATTATTTTTATATCTTTAGTTAATTTTATTACTATTTTGTCATACTCGTATCATTATATTATTGGCTTGATGTCTTTTATTGTTTAATACATTAAGTACTAAATATAAATGCATTGAGATGTCAATGTAATTGTGAGTTAACGACGATGAATTCCAGTGTACGGAAAAACCAATATTGGTTTATGAGACACTGTGAAAACTTAGACATAAACGTAAAAAATACCAGCATATAATTGTAATAAATAAATAATAATAATAAATAAAATACGTAGGCTGGTCCCGTATCATTTATATTCCTAGGGTTACAGTATGTATATACCACATGTTTCATTTCTGTTCCCCAGAGGTCCAACGGGCTGGTATTCTTCCCGGACTACCAGCTGTGCGCGTGTTATCTGTCTCTACAACATGAACCTGTCGCGACGCTTCTACAACACGCCTTTAAGGTACGTCTTGAATAGACTTTCTGCTATTTTTTTAATTAGACGAATATCCTATGATAGCTGTATCGATAAAACAAAATGTAGTTTTTGTGGCTTGCTAATGAATCAAATCTACTGGAGGTAGAAAATAAAGACATTACAACGTGTTTTTTTGTTACATTATAACTACATAATCCCAGGGTTTGGCATTGCAGCATCTGTGATTAGGAACAGACGAGATGAGTGTCAGTTAATCTTGTTGCACTCAGAATCCGCTTACTGAGTTTGTAATATCCAAAACTTAACTTTCATTTACATGAATACACGCGAAAATCTGAGATATCATCAAATAAAGACGTGATAATATATTTTGAATTTAATGAATTTGTTTATTATAGTTGTGAAGAAAAAATTAATTAAAAATTGCAGACAATAATAAAATCTACAATTATTCTAAATAAGAATACATGATATAAGAGTATATATAATCATTGCATGCCGTTATCAGCCTATCAGAGCCCACTGCTGGGCAAAGGCCTCTTTCTCACATGAAGAAGGTTTGAGCATTAATCACCACGCTTGCTCAAGACGGGTTGGTGATTTCAAACTTATAATTGTGAAGTTATAAGTCCAGGTTACCTTACGATGTTTTCCTTCACCGTCTGTCAGTGGTGTCTAAATACTCTCAGAAAGTACATATGACTCGGACAAATCACTTTGGTACTTGCCAGGATCGAACCCACGCCCTCGTGCACGAAAGCCTTTAACCACTAGGCCAACACTGACTTAAAACTACTTCAATGTTTGTAACATTCACAAAATTAAAATTCTCCTTAATGCCATCAAATCGAAGTAAACAGCCTTAATTGTAGAGTGATAAAGAACGGTACCACCGGTCAGATGTAAATACTAAAAGTGTGACTATCTTAATAATTTGTGATGTGACCGAAAACGAAATCTTTGATGAAACTGATATTTTTAAATTACTATTCGTTATTTTATTATTTTAGACTATATACTACCGACGTTTCGTTAACTTCGCAGAAACGTGATCACGAACAGACAAGAAGCGACAAGATATGTGTATTGTGTATATGGTAGATACATATAAAAATGTAATATATATGTTCATTCCAGCTGTACGAGGCGTCAGGTCGTCTCAGTCGTAACCAGTTCGAGCACGTGGCCGGCCGCTGTCTGGGGCTGTGTGAGGAGGACGCGGGGCACGCCTTCACTCAGGCCGACACGGATGAGAAGACCTTCATCACCTACGGTTAGTACCACCACACGAACACTATACAGGGTGCTCAATAACCTAACTTGTTTACAACACTATACAGGGTGTTCTGCAACCTAACACACTCTTCTTCTACCTGGCAATTTACCAGCTATAGCCAGGGTCTACCTTACATGTTGTGAATAGTTTTGTCTAATTGTTTTTACGACCGGCCGCCTGCCTGACATCAACACTCTTTGGGAATGGATTAATCAGTGATGTCTTAATACTCTTAGAAAGTACATATGACTCGGAAAAATCACATTGGTACTTGCCCGGGCCAAGATCGAACCCGCGTCTTGGTGCATGAGAGGCGGGTCTTTTAACCACTAGGCCACCACTGACTTACAACCTAACACACTATACACGAAGAATTTCCCATTTTTCATCCATAAAACTATCGTTGTCCTATTATTTGCGATTATTTAAGGATAAAAAGCTGGTAACACTATGATTCTTAGATCTTAGGGTACTATTCTTAGTTTGGTGTTCTTAATTTTTAATATTAAAACGCTTTATTTTGCATTGAATTTATGTAAGATGCATTCAGTCTCTAGCATCTTTCACAAAGTGTTGAAGAGTTGATGTAGTTTAAGAACATACTTTCGTTTATACCTAACATAGTTACGTCATATATTAATTAGTAAGGGTCTTGGTTTTAATTGTCGGCGAAGATAGCTCAAGATTGAAAGATATTTGTGACGTCACATCAAGGGTTAGGGGATGGGGTGAAGTCTTTAACTTGTGTGACGTAGTTTTGTATGGCCTCTCAGTTCAGTTGTTAATTTGATTCTTTATTTATCCTTGGTTGGTCCTTCCTCTTACCTATAGAAAAATAAATGTTTGTTTAAAATTATTGTTCAAATTCTAATAAGATAAGTTATTATCATATTTATAACACCAAATAAACACATATTCCAGATGACTTCATAAACTTCGCTCAGAAAAAGGCGGAATACTCATTCATCTTCACAAGTGATTCAACAAAACCTAAGACTCAGTGATGGCGGGCCAGCGTCCCGACCGTTTGTAGTCAGGTACCGCTTATACAGAATTAATGAAAAAAATAACGAATTGAGGGGAAATTATCGCTATGGCAATCCCTATTCTAAGGATATTGAATTCTCTTTGTCCATTTTTAAATATTTTATCATTAAATCCATATCTTTTAACACGCAATAACGAAACTTTTGTCAATATAAGTACATTTAGAGATATTATGTATTTAACAGTATCTATTTTTTCTATTATGAGAAACTTGACATATATGCTTTTATGACTTCAAGTAATTATGAGTAATATTTGGTTTTCCATGTAATTTAACATACATATGAATATTTGCTTATTGCAATGTTTAGACTATTTTATAAAGCAGATCTGTTATTAAGATTTACTACTTAATTTGAATGTCTGTAGTTATGTTCACTAGGTACAAAGTAGTCGAATAGTACCTACTTCCATACTATAAAAGTTGGTAAAATATTTTCGCTATTCATTTTGTTTAGTCTGCAGCCTAAAATGGCGGGAATATTATTTATATCTGTCAGTTGACAGGTTGTGTCAGTTATCACTTGTCAATTTCTGATTTAAATTTTCAGTTTGCAGATAATATTCTAGTTTTTACGTTAAGTATTTGGTTCTGTCTGTGTTTATATTTTATGACTAGTTATTAACTTGTTGTAATTAACATTATATGTAAATATTATATTGCTTAGCGTAAGCGTTGCATTCACAGAGCTTCGACGTTATTGTTAATGTGATAATCTTTACCGTACCGAAAATATAGACGGTTTAGCAGATGTTGCTTACAGTTTTGATATTGTTCTAATGCCTACTAAGAATAAATTTTGTGTCATAGCAATCTGTTCGATGATGTGCTTCCTTACCAAACAACAAATGAGGTTTGTTGCTTGTTATAAGTCTTTTTAATAGCCAAAATATTCATGCATACCATTAACGCCAATAAAAGAAAAAATAAAAGTAGATATAAACAAAATCTAGACTTCTGTGTAATAATTATAAATGTAATAGTAGATTTTTAAAATAAGTTATTTGTAGTGCCTAAGTCAAATTTGAAACCTGTAAATAGAAAGTAGCATAGGATAAAAGTAATTACCAAATAGATAATGATTGTTTATTTTATATTTCTTTTACATAAAATGTAATACTCATTGACATTAATCAATTTATTTTAAACAAGTGTATAATTTATGAACTTTTATTTTAATAGAATATATTTGCAACATGTAGGGTCAATTACAATTATGTGTACTACATTGCAATTAATATCAATTTTTAGTCTGGCTGTATAACAAGGCTTCATCTTATTAAAAATATATCTTATAAAAAAAAATACTAAGATATAAATTTCTTAAATTATATTTAGAGGCTAAGTTTTAAAGTAATGTAGCTAAGCCAGACAAGCTTGTAAGTACATGTAGGTGTCCTGTTCCAAAGTGAGATTATTTTTGTTTGACCATTCCATTCTTGTATTGTTTTTAATATTATTGTATTAATTCTTAATAAAATGTTTTACATAAAATGTATTTTTTTTTTCTAAAATTTTTAGGCCCAAAAGGAGGTACAAGAAAAATCATTATTGGTCGCTGGTTTCATGTTTTTGGAAACCCTTTGTGGAGACGCGAGTATTGATCGCTATCCAGGAGTACTCTATATCTCAACAGCAAATATTTCGCAATATCAACCGCTTTACCGCAGATTCAGCAATTTTCGCTACCTATACCCAATTTTACTAAATTACTCTGATCTAGGAGTGTCATTTGGAATACTTTGGAATAAAATTATTGCAGTGGCGGCGACCAATTACGAATTAAGATGCGACATTATATTGCTAATGGTATTGAAAAATCTATTATGTCTAACCACCTATTGTGCATTTCTTAACTTATTGAATGGATCGTATATTTAGAATTCTCGTCTTGCCAATTAATAGACTTTAATATATCTGTATCTTTGGTCATTTTGTTTCTAAACTTTCATTCTCTTTTGGGAGTGATGTAACGACGTCATTATGTGATTTCAGCAGGATATGTCCCTTGGAAACCGTTTTAGACTCTCTCCAAAACTATTGCGATCCCTGAATATAATTGACGAATCAGCCGATAGAACGAGCCAGAGCTACAACTTCAACATCTTTATGACTCCTGCATCTAACTTTGATAAATGGATTCTATTAAAATCATAGACTAGAAAAGGCCAATTCAAACAAGGTTGCGAAACAGATCGTATAAAATTATTTTTATGACAAGAATTCTTTATAAAGAAGAGTTCTTGACATAAAATAAAAGCTTAATTACTGTTTAATTTGGTATAATAATATGAAAATTAAAAAAAACATTCAAACGAAATACAAAAGATCTTAGCATGATAAATATGTATTTACTTCAGTTATTTGGTAGATTTTATTTATTGTGCTCTATGAAATAAAGAGATACGAAAAGAAATCACCAATTCGAGAACAAGATGATAAAACATATATTTCATGATATGGGAAACTTCCCTGTAAAGTTTTTCAACATTGCCATTTCATTTGCATCTGGTCCGTAGTCACCGTATTCCACATCACGGAACAGGTTCCTCAACTGCGCAGCTAGCGCATATATCCTGCGCACCATAAACTCCACATCAATACTGAGAGCTAAACACTTCTCATACAGCACAATGTACCATACAAATTTTACGCTTGTATGAAATTTGTCAATGGTACCGTATATATTGTCCATTTTGAGTCTTATCTGCATCAACGATCCGTACAAAATGGCAATATTGTAGGCCGGATCCTTAGAATACATCCGTCTGAGATTCCGCGTGTCGTTCAATCTGTCCCTCGTTATATAAATAGACTGCTGCATTAAGTCCAAGGCTTTTTTCTCGAAATACCTATTCGAGATGTATCCGGGCGTTTCGTGGAACCTTCTAGATTTGTTCACTTCGGTTTCGATCATTCGTAACTTTGAGTGAGCCGTTTCGTACACCAGTTGGTTTAGCTGTGGATCCAGTTCGCTCAAGTCCAATGGATCTTCTTCTGAATCGATATCTTCATATAAATATTTATTGACCTTCTCACCACTAACCTCGATCATATTAATTGGTATATTTGAAGTCATGATTTTATTTATGGCCGTCTCGTTTATATTTACCGTCTCATTATCAGCGAATGTGAAATAGCAAACTGGAATTAAAGGAGATATTTGAATTTAATGATAGTGTCGTACAAAGAAAAGGTCTAGTAAAATTGAGATAGTATTTCCCAGGTGCTCCTTTTTAAGTCCTTCTTCTTGCCTTTGAATACAGTGAGTTTATGATTATTTATGAAATATGTGATAGGTAATGTTGGAACGTTACTTGAATAAATGCTGAAATTTTAATAGTAGCTACTCACTATTTATAAATACAGCCGCCGTGTATGCGATATTCATTTTACGATTCATTTTATAGTTCTTTATATTAATCATTTAGAACCACATAAATTTATAACTATTTTCATAACCACTTTACTACCGTCTTAATGTCTAATAGATTTCGTTTAAAAAATATGAAAAACGCATAAGGCCATATTATAAGGCCCCTTATTATTTATTATATTATTATTAAAATATAATTGGGGTGTTAGGGGCGAATAATAAAATTAATGCATTCTATAAAAATGTATCCTACAAATCTTGTAGGTATGTGCATTTTATGTATATACTTCCGTAGTTTTTTGTTTCATTTATTCAATAGGTATAAAAAAATTTATGTAAGCGTAAATGTTTATTTCAAAGATAAAGAACAGAGTTGACTGTTTTAAAAGAATTATTTTTCTTGCATTTAGTTGCAAATTTCCAAAGACGGTGAAATTTGTTGAAAAAAGGTCAAACGAGTTATTTGTTTAAATTCCTATCTCAACTATCTGTTGAAAGTATAGGCATATAGTGTTCTCAAGAAACAAGAACAGGTTAAAACGGGCAGCCTTCCATGTGAAAACAGTCTCGGTTTTCTAAAAGATAGTTTTTAATATAAAGCTAGTCATTGTTGATAGTACAGAATTTTCAAAATCGTTAAAGCAGATCTCACAATGAAGTGGCGTATAAGAGTAGTTTTAGTTTTTATGAATTATTTTATTTACGCTAGAAGCGTATTATTCTATCAGAATCGGTCCGTTCTTAATTCAGCTGCTATTTGTTTTGTTTCACAAATAATGATAACATACAAAGTTATCAGGTCATTATGACGATTGAATAACGTAAAGCCTATAAGGCTGTGTTTGTCTATTTTTAACTCACAATAATGTATAGATTTATCAAGTTGCTTCGTCACAAGATTCACTTCTCCAAGTGAACTCTAATTTATAACTTCATAAGACGTTGGTCCCGACATTGTTTTGTGTAGAATCCACTTTATTTTGAATCAATAATGCAGATAAAAATCCGCAAGTATAAGGTTCTGCGGTTGGTTTTGGGGGGAAATAAACAAAACGAAAACATTAAACTCAAAAACATTCCATGTTTTATCGTTTCTATTCGCTCTCGTATATACTCTTACTATATTTTTTTCCATTGCTGTAAATTTAATTCCTATGCATATTTCGAGTTTTTAATTTTATTAGCGTCCATTCTTTCCCTTTTTCCATTTCCCTTATACAGGGTGACTGGTGAATTACTATCGATACTTGAGGACGTGATATTTGACGATCATATATGACAAAATAAAAATTAATATAAAATAAATATTAATAAACTTCCAAGTAAAGTTAACCAAAAGTTATGTAGTTAATTACGAATCGTGTGAACACCCTACAAATTAGGTATACACACACACACACACATACGCGTGCGGCGGCGTGGTGTTGTATCAGCACGCCGCCGCACGCGTCCACACTTGGAACACTTGGAACGTGTCCGCACTTTATTTATTTATACGGAAATTAGGTCAAAAACTAAGTACCTATTTTTTTTACATAATTCGAATGAGAATCATGTACCGAGTATTCTCCTTAAATATTGATAGTAATTAACCAGTCACCCTGTATAATATGATTCCTCAAATAATGAGCGTAGATTCAAACCAGTCAAAATTTATATGAAATAGTTCACAGAGCAAGTTTGTTTTAAATAGTAGGTATTATTTAAAATAAAGAATATGCACACACAGGTGTATCAATTCTACTATTTAACTTAATTTAAGACGAAAATACCTATATGATTGTTTAAATAATTTAGAATGAAATCATCAAAACTGTTATCTTTTTTGTCGATGTAACCAATAACGTGTTGATATAGAACTAGATAAGTTTTATGCAATTCTAACATAAATTAAATAATTAATATCTTTTTGATTAAATGAAGCTATGAAATCGGACTAATTTATTACTCAATTGGACTATTTTACACGTAAGTAAAGATTTAATTGCAACTCCTTTTTTATGCTATGCCTTCTTTGACATTTGAATTGTAGAATATTTTGCGAGAGAGTCAACGTTACCCTATCTTGGAAAACTGTTCTTTAACATAAGGTACGAAAGAAGTTTTAGTTTTGATCACACTGTTACACCCTTTTAAATTAAGTGCGGTGTTTAAATTGTCGATGGAAACAAAAGTCTTAGTTATGGTACAAAAAATTGGGTATGGCTGTTAAATGCCTATAAATTTAACGCTTTACAGGCTCGTCTAAAGTTTCAAGGCTCATTGAAATTAAATATCATATGAGGGTTAGGTATATTAAAAAATATATTTTTGTTTTGGCGTCGTATTAGGCGCATTGTGTCGGAAATGGTATTTCTCATGTAACTTGACAAGGACCCACCAAAAGTACAGAAAGTCGACGTGAAGTTTGGCAGCTTTGTGGTGGAGGATCAAATACGTTTCAATCACTTGGAACTTCCCTCTGTATTTGTGATTTTCGTGTCTAGAAAGAGTTATGGTTAGTATTTTTATTTCGTTACAATAAATGCATCTTAATGTACGGTATGCATTTAGTTGCATGACTGGATTCAGTGATGCATACGCAACGCAACAATGTGTCAAATATGTTTATTATTTGTAATCACGTTTACATTTGATTCTGTTTGCTTTCTGTTTTCCTAACTTAGGTTCGTTTTTAAGTCTTTAATAAGTTTATTATATAAATGAAGTTATTACTCGTAAATCGCTTACTTATTAACTTGCATGGTAGTGTATACGTCGTTCATTCTCTTCCAAATCCTTCTTATTCTTCTGTATAGGAACGCTATGCGATATGACGTGTCCTTTGGATTGTAGTACGTTTCACTTTCTATCTGTTTGACTTTGTGTCTCGCTTGATAAATCAGTTGTAACATAATGTCATAAATTTTTGCTCTTTCTAATAGTTCTGTGGCTCTTTCTCTTTGCCAACCTTCTCCGTGGCTTCCTAAACGTCGAGTGTTGAATTCCTCCAGAGCACCATCGTCTGAATCATTAAGGCTTCTTCTCATCGCTTCTAGTTTCTTTGTTATGTTATTCATATCCAGCTTCTCCAGATCAATTGATAGTCTCTTAACAACCATATTCGAGGGATAATCGTCCATTACATCTTCAGATAACGATTTGAACATAGCGTCCAAACTTGGTATGGTGATGTTCGTGTAATTCACACCTGAGTTCACACCTTAAACAATTCATTTTGATTAGAGACATTGAAAGATAAGTTTCTTGAAGAAACTTGCCATTGATTTAAAGGTAATTAAAGATTAAATACATTTTAATGTTGTAATGAAGGTAATAAGTAACACGATCCAAAACATAACTATATCTAAATCAATCGTGTGTAACAAAAAAAGTAAACATTTTTAGTGCTCGTTAAATATTATTTAAGTATACGTTTTGATATTCATAAAAGATAAAATTAATGAAATAATTATTTATAATGTTATGTAGAAAATTGCTTGTGTATCAAGCGTATTTAATGAGCTTTAAAAATTAAATAACAGATTTTTTTGGAGTTAATCACGATATTACTAATGGAATTTTATACTTAAATTCTATTTATTTGTTTCCTATAAATAGCATAATAAGAGACGAAACTTCTCAGCATTCCATGGAGTCACCGTGCGGGTGCCGGGTCCATCGCGTTGCAGGGAGAGGAGCTTCAACAGTGCGTGGGACTTGCGACCCAGGAGTAGGTTTAAGGGGCCCCTATCTAACACGCGTTAAACGTTCACCTCCACTGTCCAAGCTCCTCTCCCTATCTAACCAAATTTGAAAGGAACCTACTAAGGCTGCCTTCGATGTACGTTCCAAGAATGTATTAATGTGAGTTCTGGACAAGCCCAAGTCTTTTAGAAGGTTGTAGAGAGATTTCGCTGTTATACCTCTCGCTCCCACTTCTACCGTGTACAAATCCACGAAGAACCTATTTCGAGTGAGTTCGTAATAGTGAGCTCGTAATATTTGTTGACCTTGATGGTATGGTCTTTGGGGATGTTGGTTTCCCAAGGAACCGTAAGCTTTATCATCACTAATCGCTTTAAAATTCGCGAATACAAAAATATGTCTGGTCTGGAGGCCGACGCAAAAATATCCTCGAGGATTTTATATTGTTTTTCATACGTGTCCATCGTTATAGTCCAATCCGATGCCGCAATAGTAAACTAAAAGCAATATACTGAAGAAAACATTGAGCGCAATTTATGTATATTAATTAATTTAAATTGTATTTATTTCAATATATAATCCTTATAAAAAAAAACCATAACGTGTTTTTATAAAAATAATCTATATGGGCAACGAAAAAATTACTAAGAATACATCTGATTTATTGAAAAAACAAAAAATGTCAAACATTGGATTGGAGCTGATATTTTTAGGAGATGCAACCTAACCATAAGTTTGTATGTTCGAAATAAATACGGAACATTGCTTATTTTTTTGCAAGAACCTACTTCGCTATCATCGTTTATGAACGATAAACTTAAAATGCTCATTATTTAGTGTAGAGTTGCAAACTTATGGTTAATTATACAGTATATTTTGTCACTGTTCCGGCAAATTATATTTTACGCGTACTTCACGTTTACTATTTATCTCCTCTAAATATTTTATAGTATCCCTGATGTCAACATCGCAGCGGACTAATTTCTCGTAAAGTTTCGTCATAGAATACAAACTGAACTTGTGATGGTTGCGTTGTTTTTGAGCTGCGCTCACCAGTTTTTGCTGTTCGTACTGTAAATGTCTCAACCTGTTGAAGAGGTATCCAATTCTGTACCTAGTGTCACCACGTAACGGATGTTTCTCTGCTAGGCCCTTCTTTATTTGGTATCTAGCGTGAATCAGGAATGTTATCATTAGGTTAATTAATTTTTCCTTCTTATCATTTTCTTTGATAGTTTTGTCCTTTCCAATGTTGTCTTCTGAGTCTTGATAATAATATCGTCTCGATAGAATACCAGGTGTGTTTTTGTAAGCATCAGTTATATTTCTCATCGATTTAGTTATTTCATTGAATTCTTTAACATCGAAACTGTTTTCCATGTTGGAAAGTTTTAAATCGGTCATATCCATAATATGAACCGGAATTTCGTCTTTGAGAGTACCTTCTTCTGGAGTTCTTTCAGATAACTTGTAGTTTAGATCACCATCTTTCATAGGTGGCAGATGGAGATCATCCATCGTAGTGATATCACCAAACAATAGACGATCCAAATCAATAGTATTATCGTATACTCTTATATCTATAAAATTAATTGGATTTTCGCTCCCACCTGCTATTAAAAAATTGAGGATTATGATAAAAGAAAACTCTCTGTAAAAAATCATTTCTTAAAATACAGGAATGAGAGATTTTTTTTTGGAATTATCGGTTATATTTGTTCGAAAACTTGTAATTTAAAATATACTTACTGAGATGAATGAATAGAAGCAGATATTTTAGAATCATATTAGCAATTTACGACACCCTTAACATGTTAATATTATATCAAATGTTTATCATATGGTTCTTTTTATCGCGTGCCATTAAATCTCATTTATTATTCTGCAATTAAAATTTATTATTTATAAACATACATATATCGAACGTAATTTAAAATTTTATAGAATGAATTATTTAGATTCTTAAAACCTTATAATAGAAGAGACGAAACCTCTTAGCATTCAATGGATTAACAATGCGGTTGCCGAGTCCTTAGTAATACAGGGAGAAGAGCTTCAACAGTGCCTGGGACTTGCGAGCCAGGTGTAGGTTTAAGGGGCCCCTATTAAAAGCGAGTTAAATACTCACCTCAAGCTTCCGAGCTCCTCTTCCTTTATAACCAAATTTGAAAAGAACCTACTAGGGCTGCCTTCGAAGTACGTTCCAAGAATTAGTTGCTATTAGTTTTGGACAGGCTTAGGTTTTTTAGTATGATGTAGATTTAGCCGTTATACCTCTCGCTCTCACTTTTACCAGTTACAAACCCAGGACGAACTTATTTTTAGTGAGTTCATTAGTGAGATCATAATATTTATTGACGTTTATGGGATGGTCTTTAAGGATGTTGGTTTCCCAAGGAACCGTAGGCTCTATCATCACAACGTTTGCTCATTTGCCCCTTTAGGCCATTAAAGAAAAACAATGACTACATACACTTCAATAGAATATACATATTAATGGTTCATACTTGCGACGCATAATACATATAATACAAATCACATGTTGACATGTAGATATGATGACTGAAATATGTAGAGACTTTATCTGGGTCTATTTCAATATGTCCACGTCTTTTTTCCTTTCTTTATATGAAATAAAGATTTTTTCTCTTTTACTATATATTAAATCAGTAGAAGACGTTGATATCATCATTAACTGATGATCTATTTCCTGGAATCTAATTTTGTTGAAGTAAATACTGAATCGTCTGAAGCTGAGTTCGATTTAAATGCATGAAATTTTCAACATTACTTAGAATTAGTGTTGCAGATAAAAATCTTAAAAAATATACATACTTTTACTCATCGTTCTATAGCCTTCTATAGCCTCTATATTAATAAATTACTACTTGTTAATTTTCTTTTATATAATTATATTGTAACAGCTGATATTATTGTATAACATTTAGTAAGAGATTTCTCCAAGTTTTTTTTATGGATTCGAGTGATGGATTGTCATATGATATAAATTTTTAATACGACGATTTTTTTTATCTTATGTTAAATTTCAGTTTGACTTCAATGTAAAAAATTACCTGGTATGAGCAATGTCCAAGATTGTAACTTATAGATATAGATGGATGAACCAAAATTAGCTTAATGGCATTATCACTTAGCAATGAGATCCCTTTAAAATATTTTCATTTTGATCTAATTTATCGGAAAAATATATATAATTTTTAATTTGTTTTAGCTCTATAGAGAATAAATATTGGAAACATCTAGTTTTGTATTATTCATAATATTTAACATGTCTATCCATTTATGATGATTATCTTCATTCATCACAATAAAAATACAAGAACTGTTCTAACATTAACAGAGGCTACATAAATATTTTATATTCAATTAACAGTATTGACGCTTTATCTTAAACAAGATCAATATGAACATTAAGTGGCAAAAAATAAACCTAAATAAGAAAAATAAGCAAACCATACAAAAATGATTTAAAATATTGTCAAGATTTAAAAAATAAATATTTTCATAAAAGGTTTAAAGTATCTTCTTCTTCTACCTGGTAATTTCCCAGCTTTAGCCAGGGTCTGCCTTACATGTTGTGCATAGTTTTGGCTAATTATTGTTACGACCGGCCGCCTGCCTGACATCAACCCTCTTTGGGAATAAAAGGTTTAAAGTATGTGTAACGAAAATAGAAACGTTTTTGTCCTTCTAAAAGTATGCGGTTTAATTTAAAGAACAAGCAATAATGTGTATAATCAATTTTAGTCAACGAATTTCCAAGCATGTTTCCTATTACTTATAACCATTCTCAACATGCGCAGGCAGTTGTCATGGTTGAGGAAGACCAGATCTATGAGTAGGTCCACATCAAACCATAGGTCTATCAACCTTTCTATTGCTTCTAAGTTTTGCAGCAGATTGAAATTCTTGAGAGAGTACTGTCTCTGCAACGTGCAGAATTTAAATGATTTGTAGGCGAAAGTGGCGAAAATTCTACACGCGTTATCTGTTTTGGACATGAGGAAGCCCATCTTGTAGACGGATATCTTATTGTATTTTGCCCTTAGGTCCTGCATGATGATCATTTTGTTTCTGGCCTGGTATATCGCCTGCTTCATCAGCTCGAGCAGCCTGTTCCTCACTTTGAACTGATCGAATTTCGTATACGCTATCCTCCCTGGTGGCTTATATTGTCTCCTAGCGTCTTTATTCTTATCGATCACTACTCTAGGGTTTCCGTTTTTGACTTTCACCGCTAGTAGTTCATCCGTCGGGTCCATGCGTTTCAGTATCGTCTCTAATTCGTCTTTCAGTGTGCTGTTTAAGCCTTTCAATCTATTTCTTTCCTCAACCTCCATCCATATCTGACTAGGTTTGAACTTATCCAGATAGTCCTTGAAAGTCGAGTTATAATTTTGTTTGACATCAGTTAAGTTTGATGTCGTACGAACTATTAGCATTCCGAATACTATAATACCTAAAATATATATAAAAAAAAAAAACAAATAAAAATGCTTAAAGTATTTTCTTTTAATAATAATAACGTACCTATCATATTTCTAAACGTATTTTATATTCCACATCGTACAACAAACACTGAATCAAAACATAATATTGAACTATCAAGTTTTAAAGCCCATTAATTCTCTTTATGGAAATTACAATATAGTTATTTGTTATAACTAATCCCGCGGTTTTGCTCTTGGTGACCAAAAAATACTGCAATATTAAAAAAAACTCATTATACATATATGTTGTTTTTGTAATACATATTATATGATACATATGCAACATATTGTATATTATTAAGTTATATGTATATATACATATATACAGAAAGTCGTTTATATTCTGTTTTGTAACAAAATAGTTTTAATTGCACGAATGTAATGAGCAAGTAATGGGATTTAGTCTTGCAGAGAATAGCGACCCATATTCGTAGCGTCGTAGCACCGTAGCATCGTAGCACAAACATCGTAGCTCTCACCATTACAGAAAGTGGTTTTTAAAGTGAGATAAAAGAAAGGTCTTCTAATAAAATTTAATAAAAAAAAATTCATGAAAATATATAAAATATAAATAATAATAAAATTAATATTTACATAGTAAAATATGAAAGTTTTAACTATAATAAAACACAAAGATATAGTCCAAATATAATCTCACTTTCTATTTGACTAATGAAAATGGATAATCTATAGAAAATGTATCTGACAGTTGTTATACTTTGAGCAAACAATTCGTTCTTACGAAAAGTAGAAAAGTTTGTAACGAAACTCAACATCGAGACGAAAATCGATGGAAACAGAAAACTTTACTCTAATTAAAAACAGTTTTAAATTACTTTTACTTTAAAATACAAATAATATCTTGAAAGTATTGTACTAACATCTACACAAGACGAGCCTTCGGTAATCCTTTAATAATTCGTCACTCGCGCAAGCCTAAAGCTTTCTGGAAACTCATATTTTATTTGAGTAGAAAGAAAGGTTGGTCAAATAAGGTCTACAATCGTCAATACGTGCCGTCCCTCTCTTATAACAAAGACACCGATCACCCCTCTCTGTCTAACACTCGCCCATAACGACCACAGATTATTTAAATATAACTTATTTTTCACGTATATATTAAAATGGTTTTTTTTTTCTCAAAAATATACAAAAAATACGTCAGTCATTGCAATTGTCCTTACAATAATGAAAAAAGTCATCCTTTAAAAGTATTAAAATAAAAAATCCTTATTAAGACAAAACTATATATTTTCCAATTTCCATATACATAGAATATATCCTTATATATGTATCTAGTATAACTTTAGGTATAATTATAGTGTTATTATTATTGTCTCATCTGTTTTATTAATCTATGATCGTAGTATCGAAATACGGTTTTCTTACCCCTCGGTTCAGTGTAATAAGGTGCGTTCAGACGTCCACACGTTTGAGTAAAGAGAAGATAAACACGAAAATAATTATGTATATGACATCATACGACACGTGAAAAATAACAATATATATACATGGTGTTATTATAAATTAATATATTAATGTTCAATATAATATAAGTGGCGTGAACTTAGTTATGTTAATAGTATTGGGTTCCGGCTTTTTGTGAGACAACCACAGGTGAGTTTTCTTCAACTTATTTAAGTATTACTTAAATATTTATATTTATTATTTAATAGTAAGGATTTAGGAGTCATTAAGCTATATTTTTCATATATTTTTAATTGTTACATATGTATTTTTTTCTTTGTTTATTACGAGAGCTTTTTTTGTTTTTTTTTTTTTTTAATGTGCCAACATTATTGAATATAATTTGTAAAGTTTATATTTAAGTATAGTAACTCTTTTGTAGGAAACTTTTCTGCCAAATATTATTTGATAAAGAAATATGTTCTAACGTAATTGACTTTTTCGTTTGTCTATTTTCTTTGAAATTAAACATATTGCTTTATAAATTAAAATGTAACTTTATAATGGAAATTAAATGAAGCCTGTTATTTATATGTTTGTAAGAATATATTATTTCAATTACTTGAAAAAAGTTATATATTTTGTGTCTCCTGTTAGTCTTTCAGTATATTTTGATAGAAGCTATTTTCAAAGTATTCAATATTTTAGTTTTAACATCTTTGTGGTTTCTTTAATTAAATATATCGACAGAAATAAAATTCAATCGTTCAAAAAATAAAGCTCAAAAAATCGTTGCCAAAAATATAATTTATGAAATTTATTAAGAAATAAAGACGCGTAGTTTATACTACGGTTATAAAACTCGCGAAACTCTTAGATCTCATTACCTATATAAGTTTTTTTATACAATTTAAATCAATAATCAGTAAAAATGCTTCTTGATTTTAACTATTTTGTTAATTGATTATTATCTGTAACAAATTCTATGTAAGATAGAACACGTGGTATTTGCGTGTTAGGCATTTTATAGTATTTTTTGTTTTTAAAAGTTAACTGTTTGGTAGAAATGTGTGTTTTCGTATGTTTTTATATCGGTTAAACATTAATAGAATAAATATTTTACTATCAATTAAAATAATTGAATCAATTTCTCAATTTTAGTATATATTTTTTATATTGTCTAATTTATTACAAAAAGGAATAAAAGTGATTTAACAGTTATGGTATAAAAAATATTTTTTTCTACATAAATAAAATTAAAAAAAGTTATGAATTGTTGGCTGAATATTTCGTATTATAATGATTACTTATATATCTGTAGTTAATGCTTTACAAGTTAGTCTTGGTATATGACCAGTATTGAATGAGCTCTTTCAGAAGTAGGACATAGCGTTACACTAAGAGGGAGTATTGATCCTTGAATATTAAAGTAGTGGATAACTTGTAGAATATTTATACAAGTCGGAAACTATAGTAATACAAACCGAACTGGTCAGTCAGTCAGTTTGAACAAGCAAAGACACAGGAGTCAGTCTAATTAGAAATATATTGATATTTCATCTAGACCAAGATGGAATGAACTAAAAAATATAAAGTTGGAACGAAGAGAGAAAGCAATTTCCATTATTGAGACTCCATTAGACTATGAACTCGTGAAATACTTACGACGTTTGTGTCACGATTTTTATATATATAGGTTAAATAGAAAAAAATCTAAACGAACAAAAAAGATAATCTTTTATAAATTATATTATTATATTTTTTCAGTTAAAAGTAATATCAATAACAAAGTAATTTCTCATATTAGAATCGACCTATTCTTGAGCACCGCCCATCCATGGCATCCCTTGCAACTTATGTAACTAGATACTTGGCCAGGATTATTTTGGAGTAACGCCAGATATATAAAGGGAGCATGTTATTCGTCTTGCGTTATGCCATCGATCGTTTTTTATATACAAAATAATACAAATGATTCGATGGAGAATATTTGACGAATGAACATCTTTGTAGTAGGTTAGAATTTATTATTTTTCGACTGAAACATTCGTTCTGTTATTTTTCTTTCACGCTTTTATCAAAATGTAAGCTTCATGTGTGTTACGATTTTAAGAAAACTTGAAGAATTTTATTACTTTTGAGTGTATGTAAGGAATTATATTATCATAAAAAAAAAGTTAATCTGACATAATCAAAACCGTGACAGAAATAATTTCGCCAGTTATAAAATTTTACGAATACTATTAGTGAATATTTTTCCCATTTAAAGGTGTTTAGAATTTGTTCGAGTAATGGCCTTATAATTACCTAAACCTAAGTTTTATCTAGGTTTATTAATATTCCCAGTGTTTATGAAAGGTCTCGGGTCGCGTGTTAATTGGCCAGTGTGGCATTAGATGCCAGGTTAGCCTGTGGCATTTATAATTTCACACACTTTATATACAAGAAATATGATAGAATAGTGGTGGTCAACGTATTCAATGATTAATATAAATGAATTTAAGAATCGAATTACGAAAGAAGTTACCTAAAGGGTAATTAATTACCACTATCTCTTCATCATTTTATATTTTCACATAAAATATATTTACTAATTACTTTTGTATTACATAGAATATGATAGTATCCATGATATTTTTTCCTTTATTAATAACTACATTCATCTTTTTCATTCAAATAAACTTAGATAAGTATCGGTTACAAGAATTTTTAAGAAAATTGTAGTATAATTTTTACCGAGAATGCAGTTATTAAAAAAACCGTTATTCCAAATGAATGCTACTGATTCGCTTTAACCAGTGTTGAATTAAAATATATATTTAATATCTCAACACGATGTCGAGATATCCGCTATATTGCGGGACAGAATTCAAAGAATCGCCTCATCAGACGTTCTTGGGAGTGCTTCCTAACGACTATATGTAATAAACGAGACGTTGGAATATCTTCAATAAAAACTAGAGTTGTTTATAATATTGATCATTTATTAAGCTTATCAATGAAACTTATATTTCCGTATATACCAACGTGTTTTATTATTGTTAAAAACTACATAATCCCGATGTTTCGGTTACTTTTCAGCAACCGTAATCACGGGCAGACGAGATGTTAATGCCTAATGTGACGAGCTATTAAGCTTGTAGTAAATTTTCATCAGATTTAAAGATGCCGTTGTTGAAACCGTTTATGATTTTGCAAGTTTCGTGATGTTTAAAGAATGCTGACAATAATATGTATTAGTTTTAAGTCCAATTTTGTTTTTTATGTTTATTTATTCTTAATATTTCCTTAATGGAAGTAAAAAGGTTTTTTGTTTATATCTAATTCATGGTTGTCTAAACTTATTCTGTATTGTTGGTCCTATAAAGATTGCGTGTAAAGTCTTCCTTAGAATAAGGAATTGCGTTGCGGCTTTTAAACGTTAATTGCAAGCTCACACGATAATAATGCTGCCTTATTTCGTGATATCAGTTTATGAAAATAATTTCTTATAATTGTTAATTTCAATCGTATTAAATAATGAGATGAGGGAATATTATTATTTG